GGAAATGCAAATCAGGGTAGGCATTATGAGAAGAGTAGGGAGATTTCTCCAAAAGCTAAACATAGAGCTACCACACGGGTCAGCAATCCCACTACTGGGTATGTATCCAAAAGAAAGGAAGTCAGCATATCAAAAGGATACCTGCACCCCCGTGTTGATTACACCACTATTCACATCAGTAAAGATATGGAATCAACCTCAGTCTTCATCAGTGACTGAATGGATAAAGAAAACGTCATACACTGCCGGGCATGATGGTTCACGCCTGTAATTCCAGCACTTTGTGAGGCCGAGGTGGGTGGATCACTTGAGGCCAGGAGTTCAAGACCAGCCTGGCCAGCTCTACTAAACAGACAGAAATTAGCGGGGCATGGTGGCGCATGCCTGTAATCCCAGCTACTTGGGAAGCTGAGGCAGGAGGACTACCTGAACCCAGTGAGCCGAGATTGCGCCACGGCACTCCAGCCTGGGCAACAGATCGAGACTCCGTCAAAATAAATACATAAAACATTACACTCCCTCCCTCCCACACACAGAGGAATATCATTTAGACATAAAAAGAATGAGATCCTGCCATTTGCAGCAACAGGAATGACATTCTGTTCAATGAAATAAGCCAGGCCTAAAACAACAAATAGCACATGTTCCTAGCTATGTGTGGGAGCTAAAAGGTTTATGTCATGGAGGTGGAGAATACACAGAGAGTTAGCAGAGTTTTGGAAGGATGGAGAGAGGCTGGTTAATGGGTACAAACATACAGTTAGATGGAAGATAGAAGGAATAGGTTGCTGGGCACGGTGGCTCACACCTGTAATCCCAGCACTTTGGGAGGCCGAGGCAGGTGGATCACGAGGTCAAGAGATTGAGACCATCCTGATCAACATGGTGAAACCCCGTCTCTACTAAAAATACAAAAAAAATTAGCTGGGCACGGTGGTGCGTGCCTGTAGTCCCAGCTACTCGGGAGGCTGAGGCAGGAGAATTGCCTGAACCCAGGAGGTGGAGGTTGCGGTGAGCCGAGATTGCGCCATTGCACTCCAGTCTGGGTAACAAGAGCGAAACTCCATCTCAAAAAAAAAAAAAAAAAAAAAAAAAAAGAAGGAACAGGTTTCCTTGAAGCTTTTTTTTTTGAGATGGAGTCTCACTGTCTCACCCAGGCTGGAGTGCAGTGAAGTCATCTTAGCTCCCTGCAAACTCCGCCTCCTGGGTTCTAGCAATTCTCCTTCTAGCGATTCTCCTGCCTCAGCCTCCTGAGTAGCTGGGATTATAGGCGCCTGCCACCTTGCCCAGCTAATTTTTGTATTTCCCCCCTAATCCCATGCCCCAATTTTTGTATTTTTAGCAGAGATGGAGTTTCACCATCTTGGCCAGGCTGGTCTCAAACTCCTGACCTCAGGATCCACCTGTCTCGGCTTCCCAAAGTGCTGGAATTACAGATGTGAGCCACCGTGCCTGGCTGGAGGAATAGCTTCTTCCTGAGACAGAGTCTTGCTCTGTCTCCCAGGCTAGAGTACAATGGCATAATCTCAACTCACAGCAACCTTCAGCTCTCAGGTTTAAGTGATTCTCCTGCCTCATCCTCCCAAGTAGCTGGGATTACCAGAGTGCACCATTAGACCCAGATAATTTTTGTATGTTTAGTAGAGATGGGGTTTCACCATGTTGGTCAGGCTAGTCTTGAACTCCTGACCTCGTGATCCTCCCACCTCAGCCTCCCAAAGTGCTGGGATTACAGGCATGAGCCACCACGCCTGGCCTATTTTATTTTACTTGATCTTAGTCAAAATATTTTATTTTTGAAATGGTGTCTCTCTCTCTCTGTCACCAGGCTGGAATACAATGGCATGATCTCTGCTCATTGCAACCTCTGCCTCCTGGGTTCAGGTGATTCTCCCACCTCAGCCTCCCAAGTAGCTGGGATTACAGGCGCCCGCCACCATGTCTGGCTAATTTTTGTATTTTTAGTAGAGACAGAGTTTCACCACATTGGCCAGGCTGGTCTTCAATTCCTGACTTCAGGTGATCTGCCAGCCTTGGCCTCCCAAGGTGCTCAGATTACAGGTGTGAGTCACTGCACCCAGCCAGAAGAAGTAAGTTCTAACGATTGATAGCAGAGTAGGGTGAATACAGTTAACAGTAAGAGACTGTATTTTGCAAAATAGCTGGAATAGAGGACATGAAACATTCCCAGTGAGCGATAAGGTAGAAAGAAACTAGCTAGGCAGAGAAGGCAGACCGTCCTCAGCAAGAACTTTCCTTCCAACAAAATGCAGCTAAAGAAATAATTTCCCTTCTAATGAAAAGCAGTTTGCCAGGCACGATGGCTCATGCCTGTAATCCCAGCAGTTTAGGAGGCTGAGGTGGTTGGATCACAAGGTCAGGAGTTTGAGACCAGCTTGAGATCACCACCAGGTGGTCCACCTGCCTTGGCCTCCCAAAGTGCTGGGATTGCAGGTGTGAGCCGCCACGCCTGGCTATCATTACAATTTTTATCCTCATTTTCACGCTGAGTGGGCTGAAGAGGAAGAGGAAGAGGAAGAGATTGATTTTGCTGTCTCAGGGGCGGCAGAAGAGGAAGAAGATCTGTGTATAACCCAGAGTAAACTTGTGCTGTTCGAGGGTCAGCTGTACACAGCAGATACACAAACACGCAATACAGTTGAAAATTCTTCAGCCATACAAAAATGAAGTCCTGCCATTTGCAGCAACAGAAATTAACCCCATGTCAGAGGTCGACAAATACCGTGTGAGCTCATGTATATGTGGAATCCACAGAAGTCAAACTGTCACCGGAGGGTTGTCCAGGTTCTTGGCGTGTTGAACAAAGAACTGAATGACATAGCCGGGTGCGGTGGCTGACGTCTATAACCCCAGCACTTTGGGAGGCCAAGGTGGGTGGATCATCCGGGGTTGAGAGTTCAAGACCAGCCTGACCAACATGGAGAAACCCCTGTCTCTATTAAAAGTACAAAATTAGCCGGGCGTGGTGGTGCATGCCTGTAATCCCAGCTACTCAGGAGGCTTAGACAGGTGAATTGCTTGCACCTGGGAGGCAGAGGTTGTGGTGAGCCAGGATCGCACCATTGCACTCCAACCTGGGCAACAAGAGCTAAACTCCGTCTCAACAAGAAAAAAAAAAAAGAATTGAATAAAATGCACAAATCAAGTAACAAAAGAAAATGCAAGGAAGGAAAAAAACAACAGAAGAACGGAGTAAAAAAAGCACAGATTAAAAAACTTTTTAAGTTCTGGGTGGGGTCCACGTGCAGGGCGTACAGGTCTGTTACGTGGGTAAACGTGCTGCACTTACCAACCCATCACCTAGGTACTGAGCCCGGCATGCGTTAGCTATTTTTCTTTTTTCTCCCCCCAATTTTGTTGCCAGGCTGGAGTGCAATGGCTTGAACTCAGCTCACCGAAACCTCCTCCTCTTGGGTTCAAGCGAGTCTCCTGCCTCAGCCTCCCAAGCACCTGGGATTACAGGCATGCACCACCATGCCCAGCTAATTTTTGTATTTTTTAGTAGAGACGGGGTTTCTCCATATTGGTCAGGCAGGTCCCAAACTCCTGACCTCAGGTGGTCCACCCACCTCGGGCTCGAAAGTACTGGAATTACAGGCGTAGGCCACGGTGCTCGGCCCTGCTTTAGCCATTTTTCCTGATGCTCTCCTTCCCTCCATCCCCATCCACCCACGACAGGCCCCACTATGTGGTTTTCCCCTCCCTGTGTCCATGTATTCTGATTGTTCAGCTCCTACCGCATGAAAACATGCGGTGTTTGGCTTTCTGTTCCTGTGTTAGTTTGCTGAGGATAATGGCTTCCAGCTCCAACCATGTCCCTGTAAAGGACGTGATCTCATTCCTTTTGATGGCTGCATAGTATTCCATGGTGTATATGCACCACATTTTCTATATCCAGTCTATCATTGATGGGCACTTGGGTTCATTCCATGTTTTTGCTATTGTGAAGAGAAAAGCACAGATTTATCAAAAACAGTTCAGAGTGAGAGTGGAATTAAGCCAGAAGCTCAAAAGCCTCCCCAATTAGACTTTTTATTAAGCTAGAAAAAACCCTGCAACACCCCTAGGCAACCCTCAGAGGCCTCCAATTGGTTACATGCTATGAAGGATTGGGCTTATGACCAATCAGAGGCCATAGTGGAGACCTGGCCAGCCGTCCATCAGAGGCTGATGTGGATTGTTATCATGGGAGCGAGATGTGACCTGGACGTCACACCTGCTGCTCTCCTGTCTGTAGGAACCGGCTGCACCTGTTGAACCCCGTTCCCTTAATCCCCTACTTTTCTGCCACAAAACCCATGTAAACAAAGCAGAATTAGAACTGTGGTTGCTGGGGGCTGGGAGGAGAGAAAAATGGGGAGATGCCAGTCAACGGGTAGAAACGTACAGTTAAAGGATCAGGTCAGCGTGGCATGGTGGCTTACACCTGTGATCTTAGCACTTTTGGAGGCCAAGGTGGGAGGACTGCTTGAGGCCAGGACTTTGAGACCAGCCTGGGCAACATAGTGAGGTTCCATTTCTTTTCTTTGTTGAGATGCAGTCTCACTCTGTTGTCCAGGTTGGAGTATGGTGGCACAATCTCGTCTCACTGCAACCTCTGCCTCCTGGGTTCAAGCGATTCTCTGGCTTGAATGGTACGGGAGGGTGGACTGTGTGTCATGAATGGTACGGGAGGGTGGGGTGTGTGTCATGAATGGTACGGGAGGGTGGGGTACACACAGTCCACCCTCCCGTACCATTCATGACACACACCCCACCCTCCCGTACCATTCATGACACACAGTCCACCCTCCCGTACCATTCATGACACACACCCCACCCTCCCGTACCATTCATGACACACAGTCCACCCTCCCGTACCATTCATGACACACAGTCCACCCTCCCGTACCATTCATTACACACACCCCACCCTCCCGTACCATTCATTACACACAGCCCACCCTCCCGTACCATTCATTACACACACCCCACCCTCAGCCTCCTGAGTAGCTAGGATTACAGGTGCACACCACCATGCCCAGCTAATTTTTTGTATTTTTAGTGGAGACGGGGTTTCACCCTGATGGTCAAACTGGTTTCGAACTCCTGACCTCAAGTCATCTCCTGCCTCGGCCTCCTAAAGTGCTAGGATTACAGGCATGAGCCACTGCATCTGACCTCTTTTTTTGTTTTTTTTCTTGAGATGGAGTTTGCTTTTGGCATCCAGGCTGGAGTGCAATGGCATGATCTCAGCTTACTGCACTCACTGCCTCCCGGGTTTAAGTGATTCTCCTGCCTCAGCCTCCCTAGTAACTGATTACAGGCGCTCACCACCACGTCCTGCTAATTTTTGTATTTTTAGTAGAGACCATGTGATTACAGGCGTGAGGCACCATGCCCTGCTGTGAGATCCCATTTCTACAAAAAAAAAATAAATAAATAAAACATTAGCTGGGCATGATGGCACGTGCCTGTGGTCCTAGCTACTTAGGAAGCTGAAGTGGAAGGATCGACTAAGCCCAGGAGATTGAGGCTGCAGTGAGCTGTGATTGTGCCACTGCCCTCCAGCCTGGACAGCAGAGCGAGACCCTGTCTCAACACATAAACAACAATCAGTTCTGGCAGTCTGCTGGCCGGCACGGTGACTATGGCTAACAGTACTGCATTGCATGCCTGAAATCTGTTAACAGGGTACACCTTGGCCGGCACGGTGACTATGGCTAACAGTACTGCATCGCATGCCTGAAATCTGTTAACAGGGTACACCTTGGCCGGCACGGTGACTGTGGCTAACAGTACTGCATCGCATGCCTGAAATCTGTTAACAGGGTACACCTTGGCCGGCACGGTGACTGTGGCTAACAGTACTGCATCGCATGCCTGAAATCTGTTAACAGGGTACACCTTGGCCGGCACGGTGACTGTGGCTAACAGTACTGCATCGCATGCCTGAAACCTGTTAACAGGGTACATCTTGGCCGGGCGCGGTGGCTCAAGCCTGTAATCCCAGCACTTGGGGAGGCCGAGGCGGGTGGATCACGAGGTCAAGAGATCGAGACCATCCTGGTCAACATGGTGAAACCCCGTCTCTACTAAAGATATAAAAAATTAGGTGGGCATGGTGGTGTGCGCCTGTAATCCCAGCTACTCGGGAGGCTGAGGCAGGAGAATTGCCTGAACCCAGGAGGCGGAGGTTGCGGTGAGCCGAGATCGCACCATTGCACTCCAGCCTGGGTAACAAGAGCGAAACTCCGTCTCAAAAAAAAAAAAGGGTACATCTTAAGTGTTTCCATCACAAACACAAAAAGATAACGATGGAGATGGCTGGGCGTGGTGGCTCACGCCTGTAATCCCAGCACTTTGGGAGGCCGAGAAGGGCAGATGGCAGATCACCTGAAGCCAGGAGTTGGGAGATTAGCCTGGCCAACATGGTGAAACCCTGTCTCTACTAAAAATACAAAAATTAGCCAGGCATGATGGCATGCGCTTGTAATCCCACCTACTCGAGAGGCTGAGGCAGGAGAATCGCTTGAAACATGGGAGGTGGAGGTTGCAGTGAGCTGAGATCGTGCCACTGCACTCCAGCCTGGGCAACAGAGCGAGACTCCATCTCACAGAGAGAGAGAGAGGGAGGGACGGAGGGGGGGAGAGAGAGAGAGAGAACTATGGAGGTGAGGGAACAGGTTGACTAGCGGATTTGTAGTAATCATTTCAGAATGTATACCTGTATCAGAACACCATGATATTCATGGTAAATATACTGAATTTCTATCTTTCAGTTATGCCTCAAAAATCTGGAAAAGGCTGGGCGTGGTGCCTCATGCCTGTAATCCCAGCACTTTGGGAGGCCGAGGCAGGTGGATCACCTGAGGTCAGGAGTTCAAGACCAGCCTGGCCAACATGGCGAAATCCCATCTCTACTAAAAGCTACAAAAATTAGCTGGGCGTGGTTGCAGGCGCCTGTAATCCCAGCTAGTTGGGAGGCTGAGGCAGGAGAATTGCTTCAACCTGGGAGGCGGAGGTTTCAGTGAGCCTGGGAGACAGAGCAAGACTCCGTCTCAAAAAAAAAAATCTGGGGAAAAAAAAACCCCTAGAGTAGAGGAGAAGGAAGCAAGTCGGGCAGAGGGAGAAATGAGCTGAGATACAGACCAACCGCAGCCTCAGCTGAGTCTTCAGAGACTTTGGAGGCTGGAGTTGCCCTGCAGAGGCCCTCAGCACGGCCAGGATGGTGAGAACTTTATACCTAGTGGGCTGCCCTGGGAAAAGGTGTGACTCAGGTGAGGGACTCACTGCACAAATGCCTCTGTTGGACGCCTTATTTATTTATTTATTTTAGAGACAGAGCCTCACTCTGTCATCCAGGCTGGAGTGCAATGGTGTGATCTCGGCTCACCACAACCCCTGCCTCCAGGTTCAAGTGATTCTCCTGCCCCGGCCTCCTGAGTAGCTGGGGTTACAGGTGCCTGCCACCACGCCTAAATAATTTTTTTTGTGTTTTTCATAGAGATGGGTTTTCCCCATGTTGGCCAGGATGACCTCGATCTCCTGACCTCGTGATCCACTGGCCTTGGCCTCCCAAAGTGTTGGGATTACAGGCATGAGCTACTGTGCCCGGCCTTGTTTATTTATTTTTGAGACGGAGTCTCCCTCTGTCGCCCAGGCTGGAGTGCAGTGGTGCAATCTCCACTCCCTGCAACCTCTGCCTCCTGAGTTCAAGCAATTCTCCTGCCTCAGCCTCTTGAGTAGCTGGGTCTACAGGTGTGCACCACCACACCTGGCTTTTGTATTTTTGGTAGAGACAGGGTTTCACCACGTTGGCTAGGCTGGTCTCGAACTCCTGACCTCATGTGATCCCCTTGCCCTGGCCTCCCGAAGTGTTGGGATTACAGGCATGTGCCACCGTGCTGGGCCTGGACGCTTTAATGACCTTCCTTTCTGTCCCACAAGAGCCCTTGATTTAGGCTTATTGGGTCCATTTTACTGAGGAGTAAGATGACTTGCTCAACCTCAGGCTCCATTTTTTTTTCTTTAATGTTAATGGGAAGCACTCAGAGCTCGTTCTCTCCCTCTCCCTCTTCCGAAGGAAGAGAATGGTCCTCAATGGGGAACGTCAGTTGCAGCAAAGCAGCTCCAGGAGCTGGCTTCTTGTTCCGGAGAGCGCCCCATGCCTCCTCTGCCTGGTTTCCTGTGCTTTCCACATCCAGAGAAGCTTCTGTAGCGATGAACCATAGAAACGGTGCCTCGTTGAAGATGAAGTGTCATCTTCAAGCTCATGCTCTGAATTGAAAGTATGATCTGTGGTCGGGCACGGTGGCTCACGCCCGAAATCCCCGCGCTTGAGGAGGCAGAGTCAGGCAGATGGCTGGAGCCCAGGAGTTTCAGACCAGCCTGGGAAACACGACGAAACCCTGTCTCTACTAAAAATACAAAAATGAGCCGGGTGTTGTGGTGCACAATTGTAGTCCTAGCTCCTCGGGAGGCTGAGATGGGAGGATCAGTTTGACCCTGCAGGTTGAGGCTGCAGTGAGCCCAGATCGCACCACTAGACTCCAGCCTGGGAGTCAGAGCGAGACCCTGCCTCAGAAAGTATAATCTTCAAACTCAAGCTCTTTGTGGGGAATGGGTACTCAGAACTGGGTACTCTGAGTCCAGTTCTGGCCGATACCAGTGCGACGCCCACACACTTGCTGGTGTCCTGTTTCCATGGAGAACTCTTCACTTTGGAAGCATCCCTGACGTCTTTGTCTCCAACAAAAGCCCAGAGTTGGGGCCCCTCGGGGGCTGTCCCTTGTGGATCTTGATTTCTGAGTACTCGGTGGTGCTAGGGGCTTCCTGGTCTGCAGGCTCCCGAGGCCTCAGACCTTGGAAGCTGAGGGAGGCGTAGTGGAGCTCCTGCTCCTCCCCCGGGGTGGGGGTGGTTGCACCGGGGGATGGGTAGTCTTGGGAGCTGCCTGCTGGGCATTTATGCTGTTGACCCTGAATGCAGCGGAGAAAGGGGTCAAATTAGGACCTTGGGGGCTGAGAGAGAGCAAGGAGGATGCATGAGAGGACCTGGAAGCTGAGCTCTTTCACTCCACAAACACTGGCTGGGCCCTCATTCATTCACTCATTCATTCATTCACTCATTCAGCAAATATTTGAGAACAATAATGCCTGGCTCTCGGTAATTCACTGCCAGACTCAAAACCCTCACCACAATCACTGGGGAGACACCATTATCCCCATGATCAGACGGAGAGATGGAGGCTGAGTACACACCCCAAACTCACACATCTAATCAGTGGTCAGGCCAGGATTCCCATCCAGGTCTGAGTCCAGCGCCCGCTGCCTTATGGAACAGCTCCCCTGTGCCAGTCCCTGGATATTCCCAGGGGAACTAGGCAGACACCATGCCTGACCTCAGGCAGCTTGCATTGGGGAAGGAGAAGCAAGCATTAAAGCTATAGTCTGCCAAGCATGGTGGCTCACGCCTGTAATCCAAGCACTTTAGAGGCCAAGGCAGGCGGATCACCCAAGGTTGGGAGTTCAAGACTAGCCTGACCAACATGGTGAAACACCGTCTTAAAAAAAAAAAAAAAGCTATAGTCAATCAAGTTACTATCTAATTGCAAATTGTGAATGGATGCCCAGGAAGGAGGAGGTGTGAGAAAGACAGGGATTTTCTGGGACCTGGACTGACCCAAGGGACCTCTGAGGATCTACTCAGACACAGCTGTGAAGCTGAGCTAGGAGCCCAGGAAAGAAAGGTCACTGTAGGTAAAGGATTCACCTGCCCAGAAAAAGGTTTGGCCCTTTGTGCCTAGGCATGGGTAGGGAACCTCTAACTTAGGGCCTTGCAGCATCCTGCTGGTAGGGGCATCCCCGTTCGCCCGGGACCACATGCCAAGCCACTTGTCTGCGCCAGCACTGGGACTTACGGCAGGGCCTACGTGGTGTCAGTTTGGCTCTGCGGGGGCTGAGGAACTGAGGTCATTGGCAGGTAACTGGTGCCTGCGTGACCCATCCCCAGCGAACCCGGGACCCAGGCTCAGGGGAGCTTCCTGGGTGGGCGGTGCGCCGATGCTCCGAGCTTCTGTCACACGCCCTTGCCAGAAGAATTGGGTGCTGTTCCCTCAGCTCCAGTGGGAAAGGACACCCAGAAGCTGCGTGTTTGGTCTCTCCCGGACCTGCCCTGCGCGCCTCTCCCCATCCCCGATTTTCATCTGTTATCAGTCACTATATAAACGGTCACCACAAGGATCTCAGCTCTCAGTGAGTCCTAGGAGGCTATCCAACCTCGGAGTGCTCATGAGGACCCCACAACCGCAGATGCTGTCAGAAGTGAGGATGGGGACCCCGAGATTTGTAGTAGACAATAGTTATTATTTGGGGAAAGGTCTCTCTGGCATCCTGTGTTGAGGAGGAGAGATAGGAGGGAGGGCGAAGGAGTTGGGGGTCCAGGGGGAAAGGAGGAGCAGGAGGTGGAGGGTCCATTGGAGCTGAGCACAGGTAGGGGATGAACAGGCCTGGGGGGGCCCTTGGCTCTGGGAGGGTATGTGGGAGCAGTGGGGAGAGCCCCTCACAGATCACAGGCTGCATTGATGGGGACCCAGGAGCAAAACCTTATTTGGGGCAGGATGATTGTGCGAGTCACCAAGAGGCGTGGCCATGGCCGTCCAGGAAAGGGGAACAGCCAAGGCCCCAGAGGACCGAGGCTGGGCTCTCAACCGGGAGATGGGCCCCAGGGCAGAGGGCGCGTCCTGCTCAGCGGCTGCCATCTGCGTGGCTTCCTTCCTGCAGGTCTTCACCCTGAGGGAGGAGGCAGGGCCCTTCAGCCTCCAGGCTGGCCCACGGCTTAGCAGAGGCTGGAAGGCTATGGGGCTGGTGGGGTGGGGACAGGTCCACCACGGGACTTCTTTTTTATTTTGAGATGGAGTCTTGCTCTGTCGCCCAGGCTGGAGTGCAATGGCTCGATCTCTGCTCACGGCAACCTCCACCTCCCATAGGATGACTTCCACAGTGAGATCTGGGGACCCTCACAGATGGCCCGGATCACCGTTCTGGAGCAGACTCCTGCTCTGATCCTCTCGCCCAAGGTGCAGCTCTCACACCCACTGCCCCACCCAGATTCCTACAGCGGGGACTGTCTGGGATTCTAGAACCCTCCCCCTTCCCACGCCCTGCACCTTCAGCCTAAAGATGACGCTCACCTGAAGATGATGAGGCAGAAACAGAGAGAGAGCAGCACAGTGATGCCAGCTCCCAGAGTGGCCCCCAGACCAAGTCCTCCCCTCCACTCCTGATTCCCTGCAGAGGAGTAAGGATTGGGGTGATGCCCTCCCAGCCCGGAGACCCTCTTGCCCCTCCTCCCACAGACATAGAGCCCTCGGATTCTCCACCCCCACCTGCCACAGAGCAGGGACCATGTTCCCATCCTTTCCCACCACGCCCAGCCCCTCTCCCCACAACTTCATCTTTCTAGGATCCTGTCTCTTTCTCCCTGAGCCTCGGCCCCCCACAGCCCCCTCACCTCGTGGCAGCTGCAGGACGGAGCTGCTTTGGGCCCCGTGGACATTCCAGGCCTCACAGCTGAGCCTGAGGTGGGAGCTGAGTACTCCTCGGAGGCTCAGGGAGCTGTTGGCCCAGGGTCCGGCTGAGCTGGGGGTGACTTTGAAGGAGTCCTGGCTGCTGTTACCCTCCAGCAGCTCCTCTCCAAGCCACCAGCGCAGAGAGGGGGCCGGGCTGGCTTGGGAGGAGCAGCTGCAGTTCAGACTCTCAGCCTCCCAGGAGCAGGAGGGGCCCAGCAGCTGTGGGGGGTCTGTGGGGAGGGAGGACAGGACTCAGCAGGGACCCCTTCCTGGGACCTAGGTGCCCCCTTTCCCCACTCACAGTGCACAGAGAGGCTGAGAGAGACGTGCTGGGACCCCAGTGGGTGCTGAGCATGGCAGGTGAGCTCTCCTTCGTGCTCCATTTGAACCCGAGGCAGCTCCAGGACCGCGGGGTCTGAGGGTGGGAAGGGGCTCAGGGTCTGTCCCCCCCCGGGTCCAGCTCAGCCTGGCTGGGGGACTGCTGTGGGTGACACAGGTTATGCGCAGGCTTTGGCCCTCCAGGACCGGGAGGGATGTGCCGTTCCCAAGGTTTTCCAGGACTAGAGAAGGAAGAGGCAGAATCGATGTACAGCTTGGGGCGCAGGGACCCTCCTGCGTGGGGACCCTCCAGACACCTGGGCCCCCAGTTTAGCACTGAGAGGCGCTGGCTCCTCTGTCCCCTTTGCTACCTGTCCTGTTTGCTTGGGAAACCATCACTCTCAGGTTCTCTGGAGGATCTGAAATGGAGATGGGACTGGCTCTAGATGGGCCAGGGGCTTCCCTCTGGGTAAAGGGAACTGTCCTGGGAGACTGAGGTGGCGGAAGTTGGGGGGATAGATGGGCACAGCAGAATCACCCACTGAGTCCCAGACACACACTGCACGAGTCTACACAGGTAAGAAGGTTGGTCCCCTAGGCCTGGGGTTCCAGGTCTGCTCAGCTCTGGGACCCTGAGCCCAGCCCCTGTGTCCCCACCCGTCCTGCCCTCTCAGATGGACTCCGGGCCCCTGCTGGGCACTCACACTGCACAGAGAGGTTCAGGGCTCGCTGCTGGGAGCCAAGCCTATTCTCTGCTCGGCAGGTGTAGCAGCCTGAATCCCCGGCCTTCACCTGGGGAAGCTCCAGCCCCAGGGTTCTGGGGCCCCAGGGGTGGGACCAGGAGAGCACTCTATCCTGCAGCACCCAGCTCAGCGTGGCGCGGGGCTGGCTGTCAGCAGCACAGAGGAGCCTCAGGAACTGGCCTTTCTGGGCTTCCAGATGTGTGAGATTTTCCTGGAGCTTCAGGGCTATATATATAGAGAGAGAGACAGAGAAGGGCCAAGGAAGGAGCACATCCCCTTGCCTACATGCAAATGTTTCATTCCCATTAAGAGGACTGGCCTTGCCCCAGCCCGATGGCCCTTGGTACCTGGCTCATTGTCACGGGAAATGCTGATAACAACCTCTCTGGGGGCGTCTGCAACAAGATGGTGAGCTGGCTTCAGGGAGAACAATTGGTTCCTCATACCAGGAAAAAAGTCCCTCAGGGAAAAGAAAGTGGGACCCTCCGGAGAAGACAAGTGACAGCCAGTGCCGGGGCTCACGTATGTGGATGGAGGACCAGACACCATTCCCATCCCCTCCCGGGGCTGCGCTGGCTTCCTGGGACCCCACAGCTTCCTCTCCCTGGACCCTCCTGAGCTGGGAGCCACTCACTACCCTGCTGGCCTCCACCTCCCCACCCCCTGGGTCTGCCTGCAGGCCCCACAGTCCCAGGCCACACTCACAGGCCACGTGGAGTTGGATGGTCCTCTGTGCGCTCACACCCGTTCTGGAGAAGTCCACATGGCAGGTGAGGTTGGTGTCGTGGTCCTGGGGTCTGGGCGTGAAGCTGAGCACTGAGAAATGGGGGCTTCTTGGTCTGGTTCTTCTGGAGGAGAGGGCAGCCCCCGTCCAGGAGAAAGAAGGGAGTGGACAGTTCTCGAAGGCCCAGTTAAACACACAGATGACCGTCACCGGCCGCGCGGGCTCCAGGGTCTCAGGGATGTAGACATCGGGCTTCTGAGTCAGGGCTGGGACAGAGACAGGGTGGGGGGTGCTAGTGCTGCAGGGGTCCCTGAGAGCCCTCTCTGCTCAGCCCATGCCCAGGGTCCCTCCCCGATGTGAGAGGCAGGAGTTCCCACCCCATTCCATACCTGTTACTGTTAGATGGAACCTGTTCAAGAAGTTGAATCTCACATAGCTTCCTCTCTCCACCCGAAAGAAGTACCGTCCCGTGTCCTCCATCTGAGCGTCTCTGATCACCAAGGAGCAGCTCCCCTTGCTGGGATACCCCATGAGCTGGAATCGGTCCCGCGTGCTCACGTCCACCTCTCGATTCGGGTTGTTTGTGGCCACAGGAGCACGGGTATATGTGCTGGTCATTCCTTTGAACCAGTAGCCATGAGTGGCAGTAGACTCATTCCAGCCAACCCGGGGGTAGGAGAGGTTGCAAGGCACGAAGACACACAGGCCCTCCTGCACCGTCACCAGCTTCTGCACTTGAAGACTGTAACTGGAACCCTTGTTCAGAAACCCTGGGGAGATGCAGAGGTTCAGCGACAGCCCCAGCCCCTGCAAGGGAACCCCAGCTGCCGACCCCACTCACCCTCCCCCAGTATGGGCAGCAGCAGGGACAGCAGCAGCATCTCTGGACTCTGGGGCTGGGCCTGTCCCAGGACCATCTGGCTTCTGGGCCAGCCTGGCTTGGAAGAAAACTCCTCCAGCAGGAAGCCTGGTGGAGGGACAGTGACCATCGGCAGAGGAGGAGCCTGGGGAACCGAAAGGTCCTGAAAGATCCCCTCCCGACTTCTCCTTTCTCAGGGAAAGCAGCAGGGCAGAGGGCATGAGGACCTGCCCCAAACCAGGAAGGAGCCACCCTGGGCAGCCTCGGGGGTGGGCAGTGTTAGGAGAGGACTGTCAGGGGACACAGGTGAGTTATGGCTGCAGGTGAGGTGATGAATGCAGAGTCCCATTCATTCTCCAGGGGGCCGTGGGACACTGGAGGAGTCTACAAGGACGCTGATTTATGGTGGTGGCTTTGTACCATGTATTATTGCTGTACCTCCACAGAGGGTAAAAACTGAGTCAGCCATACAGGCAATCGGTCACATCCATGTGACCAACCCCCAGTACACACTCCAAACAGCAAGGCTGTGGCAAGCTTGCCTGGGTGGCAGTACTTGGTGCATGCTGTCACTCATCCTTGCTGCAGGCATTAAGCGTTTTCTGTATGACTTCACTGGGAATGGTCACCTGGAAGCCCACACATGGTCTCTTCTGGATCCTGCCCTATGAACCTTTTTCTTTTGTTGATTTTTATTTATTTATTTATTTGAGACAGAGTCTCACTCTGTCAGCCGGGCTGGAGTGCAGTGGTGCAATGTCAGCTAACTGTGCCCGGCCATCTCCAGTTTTATTTCTAATTGACTTCATTTGAATCTTCTTTTCTTGGTTAATCTAGCTAATGGTCTATCAATTTTGTTTCGATTTTCCAAGAACCAGCTTTCTGTTTCATTGATTTCTGTATTTTTGTTTCAGTTTCATTGAGTTCTCTGATCTTACGGTCTCTTCTTTTGCTAGCTTTGGGTTTAGTTTGTTCTTGTTTCTCTAGTTCCTTGAGATGTGACATTAGGTTGTCAATTTGTGATCTTTCAGGCTTTTTTTTTTTTTTTGAGATGAGTCTTGCTCTGTTACCCAGGCTGGAGTGTAGTGGCGTGATCTTGGCTCACCACAATCTCTCTACCTCCCGGGTAGCTGGGATTATGGATGTATGCCACCAGGCCTGGCTCATTTTTTGTATTTTTAGTAGAGACGGGGTTTTGCCATGTTGGCCAGGCTGGTCTCAAATTCCTGCCCTCAAGTAATCTGCCCACCTTGGCCTCCCAAAGTGATGGGATTACAGGCGTGAGCCACTGTGCAAGGCCTGAGTTTAGTGTTCATAGTTTACTGGAGCCTAATTCAGCTCTTGGTGCTTTCAGGGGTGAAGATTCCCTATGAGTTGCTCGGTTAGAGGGTCTGTGTGTGCTGGCTTTCAGTCGCTGCATGCAGCAGCAATGTGCTCAGCGTATGAGCAAGTTCACCGTCTCCTGTGGGTTGGAACGGAAGAGGTCTTTTGAAGCTTACCTCATTCCACTGTGGTGTGCGCTTTTTAATTAATGTATCTTTTCCCCAGTATTTTATTCACTGGGTTGAAGAGTTATGGCTTCAGGTCGGTAGGGGAGGGTCCCTGGGTAGAAAGAGCTGTGGCTGAAGCAGGGGGTAAAAGCAGTACTCAGTGGCGAGCTGAGGCCCCACCCTTGACAGAGGTGACCTGGGGAGCTCTTAGTGACATGCACTGCCGTTTGGTTTTTTTTTTTTTGAGACGGAGTTTCGCTCTTGTTACCCAGGCTGGAGTGCAATGGCGCGATCTCGGCTCACCGCAACCTCCGCCCACTGGGTTCAGGCAATTCTCCTGCCTCAGCCTCCTGAGTAGCCGGGATTACAGGCACGCGCCACCATGCCCAGCTAATTTTTTTGTATTTTAGTAGAGACGGGGTTTCACCATGTTGACCAGGTTGGTCTCGATCTCTAGACCTCGTGATCCACCCGCCTCGGCCTCCCAAAGTGCTGGGATTACAGGCTTGAGCCACCGCGCCCGGCCCTGCCGTTTGTTTTTGACAGGATTTCAATCTATCTCCCAGGCTGGATGGAGCACAGGAATGTGATCACAGATCGCTGCGGCCTTGACTTCCCTGGCTCAAGGGCTCCTCCTGCCTCAGCCTCCCAAGTAGCTGGGATCACTGGCACATGCCACTGCACCTGGGTAATTTTTGTTTTCTGTAGAGTTGGGGTCCCCCTTTGTTGCTCAGGCTAGTCTCCAACTCCTGGCCTCAAGTGATTCTCCAACCTTGGCCTCTCAAAATGCTGAGATGACAGCCACAAGCCACCACGCCTGGCCACTTCCTTCCTTGTACTAATTTTGGCTTTTCTCCTTCCTTGTTCCTTGGGGTGCATTGTTTTTTGTTTGTTTTGAGACGGACTCTCGCTCTGTTGCCCAGGCTAGAGTGCAGTGGCGCAATCTCGGCTCACTGCAACCTCCACCTTCCAGGTTCCTGCGATTCTCCTGCCTCAGCCTCCCAAGTAGCTGGGATTACAGGTATGCACCACCATGCCCGGCTTTTTTTTTTTTTTTTTTTTGTATTTTTGTATTTTTAGTAGAGACAGGTTTTACCATGCTGGCCAGACTAGTCTCCAATGCCTGACCTCAGGTGATCTGCCCATCTTGCCTCCCAAAATGCCAGGATTACAGGCGTGAGCCACCACTCCCGGCCTCAAGAAACATCTTGATATTCCTCTTAATTTCTTCCTTGACCCAGAGGTCATTCAGGAGCGTGTTTAATTTCCATATATTTGTACATCTTCTGAAGTTCCTCTTATTAATCACTTCTAGTTCCATTTCCACTGTGGTCTGAGAAGTTGTTTAATAGGATTTCAATATCTGTAAATGTCAGATTTCATTTGTACCCGAACGTTTGGTGTATCCTGGAGAATGTTTCACGTGCCAAAGGGAAGACTGTGTTCCTCAGCTGCTGGACAGGGTGTTCTGCAAACATCTCTCAGGTCCCTTTAGTCTAAAATGCAGTCAAAATCCAAAGTTTTGGCCAGGCACAGTGGCTCACACCTGTAATTCCAACACTTTGGGGAAGCCAAGGCAGGTGGATCACCTGAGGTCAGGAGTTCAAGACCAGCCTGGTCAACAGGGTGAAAACTCGTCTCTACTAAAAATACAAAAATTAGCTGGGCATAGTGGTGCACGCCTGTAGTCCCAGCTACTCGGGAGGCTAAGGCAGGAGAATTGTTTGAACCCGGGAGGTGGAGGTTGCAGTGAACAGAGATCATGTACTTCAGCCTGGGTAATGAGAGTGAAACTCAGTCTCAAAAAAATAGAAAAGTCAGGGAGGAGACCCAGGGCCAATTCCAACTCCTTAGGAACCAGCAAACTAACGACTGTTCCCTGATCATCAGAGAGGCCAGCAGGAGGGACAGGAATTCCTACCTGTTGCGGGTGGTGAGAGGAAGTGTGAGATGAAATTATAAGCAATACCAGCTCTTTGTGCATGTGAAAACAGGGAAAGCACAGGCTCCAGGAGTGGCCACAGGAAGGTCATGGGGGCTGTGGGCCAGGGCTGGGACAGACCCCCTCCTAGGTGGGAGCTGGGGGTAAAGGGACTCAAGGTGAGGGGAGGAGCTGGATCAGAGCCTGAGCTTTGGGCTTTGGCTGGAGAGGGAGATGTCAGGGAGGTTCCAAAGTGGAGTTCTCCATGGGAACAGGACACCAGCAAGTATGTGGGAGTCGCTGGTGCAATGGCTGGAACTGGACTCAGATTTCAGCCCCAGCCAAGACGAATAGTTTGAGCAAGTTACTTTACTCTTCACTTTCCTCCTCTGCGTGGTGGACACAGTAAACCTAACTCGTGGGGTTCTTGTGGGCATGAGGAAGTAATTAACATAAAGCAGCCAACAGGGGAGAGTCTCATCTGAGTCACGCCTCTTCCCAGGGTAGCCCATGAAGTAGAAAGGTCTGATCATCCACCTGTAGTCCCAGCTAAAAAGAAAAGTCTGACCATTCCGGTCCAAATGGGAACCCCTGTGCAGGGCAGGTCCAGCTTCAGAGCTCCCTGAAGCCTTGGCTGGGGCTGTCCTTGGGCTGTGTCGTAACTCAACTGATTCTCTCTCTGCCGTTCGCACTCCCCCCACTGCCCTTATGGATCCCGGGGCACCTTGGAACCTCAACCTCCATATTTTACCACACACAGATAATCATCCATTATCTGAAATAAATTATGAATGTCTGAATCACATACCTCTATAATTAATTATATTTCCCTGATGATTTTGTTCCGTTCAGCAGTGTCCTTTTTTTTGGAGACGGAGTCTCAAAGTCTGTCACCCAGGCTGGAGTGCAGTGGTGCAATCTCAGCTCACTGCAACCTCCATCTCCTGGGTTCAAGTGATTCTCATGTCTCAGCCTCCTGAGTATCTGGGATTACAGGTGCGTGCCACACCTGGCTAAATTTTGTATTTTTGTTAGGGATGGGGTTTCACCATGTTAGCCAGGCTGGTCTCGAACTCCCGACCTCAAGTGATCCACTGGCCTTGGCCTCCCAAAGCGGTGGGAATACAGGCGCAAGCCATGGTGCCCAGCCAGCAGGGTCTTCTTTTTGCAGGATTCTCTTATAAAATTCCTTGCAGCTGCAGTCTGTGTTCCACTCACATTCTAACAGGGTGCTGGCGGTGGTCACATTCACCTTCTTTCCTCCTCCTTCCGTTGAACATGCATTAGAAAGAAACCACAGGCACCACATACGCAAGATGAGGCAACTCCCCGAACAGCCTGCCATGGCGCCAGCCGTGCTGCTGTGGGCTCTGCACATCTCATCTGCTGGGGCGCATTGCTGCAACTTTCATGCGGCACTTGCTTTCCACGTGTCACTTAGCTATGGGGATACACCCTGAGGAACGCATGCTTAGGTGATTCTGTTGTGAGCATCCTGGATGTGCTTGCCCAGTCCTAGGTGGTGCAGCCTACCACATGTCAAGGCTATACGGTATAGCCAGTTGCTCCTAGGCTACACACCTGCATAGCATGTTTCTGTACTGAAAGCTGTAGGCAATTATAACACAGTGAAAACGTTAGTAAAAAAACAGAGAAGATTTAGTAAAATATGGCATAATAGCTAAAAATGGGTCAGGTGAGGTGGCTCACACCTGTAATCACAGCACTTTGGGTGGGTGGATCACTTGAGGTCAGGAGTTCAAGACCAGCCTGGCCAACATGGCAAAATCTCATTTCTACCAAAAATACAAAAATTAGCTGGGCGTGGTGGCAGGCGTCTGTAGTCCCAAAATACTCGGAGGCTGAGGTAGGAGAATCGCTTGAACCCGGGAGACGGAAGTTGTAGTAAGTAAGCCAAGATCGCACCACTGCACTCCAGCCTAGGCGACCAAGCAAGACTGTCTCAAAAACATAAGAACACCACCATCACCACAAATATCTGACTAAATCTAAGCCAGGGCTCCGTTTTGGGGCAGAGGGCAGGGTGCGGGTGTGGGGGACAGGGAATGGGCTCCAGCCAGCATCAGCTCCATGTCCTGGTGGCACCTGAGCCATTCCCACCCCCATGCTGGGAGATCATTATCTAACCCTGATGACAATGCCCTCCTCTCAGAGCCTGGGGGAGGAGCTGCCAAAGTCCACGAGGGTTCAGAACCTGGGCCCTGGAGATAGAAGATACTGGGCTCTGAGAAGTGGGGCCACTGCCCAGGCTTTCCCTGAGCTCTGTCCACTGTCTGACCAGGGTCAGGTTGGGCTGGTTATGCTGGCCAAGATAGGGGAGGAGGACACACAGGCTGCGGGAACCTTGGGGCACTTGACTGGGCACTGCTCCAAGGTATGGAGGATGGAGGCTAGTGTTGACATTGTAATGCTGACCCGTCCACTCATCTGATTCAGGTGCTGAAGGGCAGCTGATGCCCCTAATCTTTTATAGACTTGTGAAAGAAAAATAAATAATGTCAAGCTAGGAACTGCTTAGGGCAAACCTGCTTCCCATTCTATTCAAGGTCACCCCTCTGCTCACTGACATAGCTGGATATCTGAGTGCCTCCTTTGGAAAGGCTAATCAGAAACTCAAAAGAATGTAACTGTTCCTCTCACCTATCTGTGACCTGGAAGCCCCCTCCCCACTTCAGGTCTTCCCACCTTTCCAAATGGAACCAATACTTCTTCTGTGTATCGACTGACGTCTCATATCCCCCAAAAACTAAGTTGTGCCCCAACCACCTTGAGCACATCATCAGGACCTCCTGAGGCTGCTTCACTGGCCCGTGTCCTCAACCTTGACAAAATAAACTTTCTAAATTAATGGAGACCTGTCTCAAATTTTGGGGGTTCACAGACTCACGTGCAACAAGGGGTCTAAGCAGGACAGGTTCGGGGGGGTTCCTTTTGTTAGCGAATGTCCCCTTCTGGAAAGGGGCACACACACCTGCTTTCAGCCAGGAGATGGTAAGAGGTTCCCTGGTCCCACCCGCTTCTCCTGAGCAGGATTTATCAGTACAGGAGAGTCAGGGCATCTGATACCACTTCCTGCCCTACCTGCCTCAGATTCTCCACACTGCATGTGGAAAACTAGTTTAGACAGTTCTTCTTCAAAGAGTTTCACTTTGTTACAAACAAGGTGTCCTTCTCCAGAGGCCTTTACTTGCTTGTACTGGCTGTCCTGAAGTCTTGTTTCCCTGTTCTTTGTCTAAAGTAATCTTGCCTGCCAATATATCAGCTCCTCTGGCCCTGCTGTGCTCAGGAATGCCCGCCAAGAAACCACCCTTTCCCTGCTGTAACAGCTTTCCCCACTGAAACTGTTCTTCCCTGCACTGTTCAAATTAGCTAGTCATGTTTGGCTTAGACTGTGCGGTCTGACCCCAACCAATAGGGGAATGACATAGCAGCTAAGGCCAACTGTGTTAGGAATTAAAAACCCTTGCCCTCCTGTATCCAATGTGCTCTCACCATTGCTCCATCCACGAGACACACCCTTCTATAGAAGCAGATTTGCCTTGCTGAGAAAATTTACGTTGAAGTGCTAGTCTTTTGCAGCACTGAAAATTTGTTTCTAAAAATGCATTATCAGAGCTACTCAAAAAAAAAAAAAACAACAACAAAAAAAAACAAAACCTCAGAGAGGCAGGTTTAACTTCTCTTTCTCCTCCTCCGTTTTGTTTTTTTTTGAGACACAGTCTCACTCTCTTTCCCAGGTTAGGGTATAGTGGTGCAATCATGGCTCACTGCAGCCTCAACTTGCTGGGCTCAAGTGATCCTCCTGCTTCAGCCTCCCAGGTAGCTGGGACTACAGGCACCCACCACCATGACTAGCTGATTTTTAAATTTTCTGTAGAGATAGGTTCCATCCTGTAGCCCAGGCTGGTCTCAAACTTGTTGGTTTAAGTGATCCTCCTGTCTTGGCCTCCCAAAGTGCTGAGATTACAGGCGTGAGGCACCGCTCCTGGGCCCCAGAAGAACTTCTTTTGCAGACACTGGGTCCTCAAACTCCGCTAAAACAATTTATTACGAAAGCACAGAGGTGTCAGGAGTAGGAGGGGTCCCCTCTGGGGGCCAGCCCAACCCCATCCAGCCTTGCTAGGACACTGGCTAGAGGGCAGGCCACGAGAGGGGGAACTTCACATTTGCTGGAGGGAAACTGGGGACCTCCCTGAGGCTAATCAGGACTGATGAGTATCCCAAAGCCAGTGGCAGGAATGCACATTCCAGAGCTTGTTCTAGAAGCTTATCTGTGTTTAACAGCAGGCCTTGAGTCGCATTGCTTCATTTTTTCTGTTGCACACTGCAAATGGAAAGTTCTGAAAGACAATAAAAATGGCTGTGAGAGTCTCATTCATTCAAGGAACACCCTCTATGCTCTTACTTTGTGCCAGGTACCTTCTAGGTACTGGGGATGTCATCATGACCATATGGGGCAGGGAGCCCCTGCTGGGTTTAGGACACAGAGGAGGAGGGTGGAGACTACACAGTAAACACAGGCTTCCCTCCGATGGGAACAAGGGCTGTGTGGAAACAGGTGATGTGATGAGCAAGTGGGTGGGAGGCGGTGAGGATGCCTCACGGAGAATGGGAAGGCCTTGGGTCTTCAGCAGCAGCAAGTGAGTAAAACCAGGATGACTGGGGCTTTACAGACCTCGGGATGGTAAGGGCAGAGATCCCAGGGTGGGGTCCAGCTTGGCCTGGTCTAGAATCTGAGGGGAGGGGGTGTGGCCAGCGCATTGTGCCCGGGGGAGGAAGGGATCTCAGCCTTGGGCCAAGGCAAGGAGCTGCCATGGAGCTGAGGCGGGGCGACCTTCAAGGTGCTAGAAGATCACCAGGCTCCTTAAATGCCATCTCCACATTTCCCAACCAAGGGGCTGAGCGAGTGGCCCCCAGGGAGCGTGTGGGTATGAGATGGTGGAGATCCTGGAAGGGCCGTCAGGTGTCAGGTTCTAAACGCCCTTTGTCCTGGGTGACAAAAGGCACTGTGAGACAGGGCAGCACCGACGGGAAGCCTGGGCTCGCTGCACCGATAAACAGGATGGAGCCTTTGCCCTTGCCCTGTGCCATGCCAGAAAAGCAGAGACGCTAGAGTCAGATGCAACCCTGCCCTCCAGGAGCCCGCTGCCAGCAGGAGACTGTGACAAGTGACCCCATGGTCAGCCTCATCTGGGACCAAAGATTTGGAGGATGCTGAGGAGCGAGGGTGTTGGGGAGGACCCCAAGCTGTCTGGCCTGGACAACTGGGTGCACAGAGGAGGAGCTGTCTATCGGGCTGGAGAGGTGGGGAAGGAGTGAGCCTGGCTCATAAGGTCATGACTTCACTCTTGGGGCGTCTGGTTGAGGCAGACAGCCTGCTACTCCACCACAGAGAAAAAGAGCCTCCACCCCTCACACCGGCTCAGGCTGTGCACAGGTGCTCTGTGAAGTGCCCGGCATACACGTGTTAGCTCATGCTTCAGCCTCAGGTGTAAGGAAGGGTTTCGAGAACGAAGAAGCACATGTAATCAAAGCGCCCATAGGCAGCTGGCTGCACAGGGAGAGAGGCCACCAAAAGGAGATGCTATTCAAGACCAGGACCTCGCAGTGGCGGTGCGGCCGAATATTGGGGCCAGGGGACTCTTTGCTGGGGGGCAGAGGTGAGGACGGTGCTGTGTCGCAGGATGTCAGGCAGCATCCCAGCCTCTACTGTCCCGCATCCTGATAACCAAAAATGTCTCCAGACATTGCCAAATGCCACCTAGGGCAGTGCCCAGGTAGAAAAGCACTTAGCTTTGGTTCCAGCCAACCCTGATGAGAGAAAAGAAAACTCTGGGAGAGAGAAGGGGCCTGGAGCTTCTGCTCCTCTCCAGGACACATCTCTGCACCCTTGCCAAAATTTACTGCAAAGTTAGTCTGTCTTTGACCTTGCAAAAATTCCTGTACACTTCCACACAGTGCTGATGGGAGTAAAGCAATCTGGTTACCACAGTCGAGATGACAGCTCCATCCACAGATGGCGCGCACCAGCCGGGCTGTGCACACGGGCAGCATTGTTTGTTCAATAAAAATCTGGGAAACTAAGCAAACGCCCAGCCGCTGGCTGTGAGGAGTGTCTGTCACCCACATGATGGGGTAGTGTGTGCTATGAACGAGACCGCAAGGCATGGAGCAGCTGCCTTTTGTGTATGGGGGGCCTAGGGGGCCAGGCCAAAGGAAAGTAGAGATGACAGGTGTCCGGGTGGAAGGACAGAGGGAGTCACAGATGCAAGAAAGGACAGAGGAAGATGGCGAGACACAGATGCTATTTCTGAGGCCCTGAATCCGGTCATGCCTGAAGCTCCCCCTTAGAATTTTCTAGCTATAACAGCCAATCAACCCCCTTTTTCTTAAAGCCAAGTTGAGCCGGGTTTCTGCTGCTTGCTATTCCCGGAGGTTGGAAAGTTCAAGGACCCTGTGGAGAAACCCAGCGTCTCCCTGGGAAGCTGGGCCCTGGTATGAAGGTGGAACAGCCTCTGGGAAGCGTCCCCTGGAGCCTGGGGCAGGGCTTGGGAGAAGGCAAGGGGTGAGAAGGCTTAAAACTCACAAGCTCTTCCCACTTGGATTCCACCTAGGGCACCATCGGGAGGCCAATGGGGTCATACGGTGACGCACGCAGATCCTGCAGCAGGGCTTCCAGGCTGTTCCTTAGCATGGCGTAGGGCGGCTTCTCGTCATACTCCAGGGCCATCACCACCTCCAGGTACTTCTGCAGGGTCTCTGTGGTCAAGACAGCCCCCAGCAAGGAAGAGCCTAAGAGGTGTCCCCCAACCCTGAGCCTGGGGCTCTGCGCCCAGAGGTGGAGGGCTGGGGGACTGAGGAGGATGAGGGTCTCAGCAAAAGTGCCCATTTGCTTGGTGCCTGGCATTGCCAGAGGACTTAAATGTCTTTTTTTCCATTTTGGAAAATATCATAACACAGGCACCAGTAGAAGGGCATCAACACCCAAGAACTCATCACTCAGTTTCAACAATGACCACGTCACAGCCAATCTAGTTACATCAAAACCCCTCCCCTGGCCTGCAGTGGTTTTTTTTTGAGACGGAATTTCGCTCTTGTTACCCAGGCTGGAGTGCAATGGCACGATCTCGGCTCACCGCAACCTCTGCCTCCTGGGTTCAGGCAATTCGCCTGCCTCAGCCTCCTGAGTAGCTGGGATTACAGGCATGCACCACTGTGCCCAGCTAATTTTTATATTTTTAGTAGAGACTGGGTTTCACCATGTTGACCAGGATGGTCTCGATCTCTTGACCTCGTGATCCACCTGCCTTGGCCTCCCAAAGTGCTGGGATTATAGGCGTGAGCCACCACGCCTGGCGCCTGCAATGTTTTAAAGCAAATCCCAGCTAGCAATGCAATCCACCCGCATATAAATACTTACTTAGCAAGTATCTTTAAAGTGGACGGGCCCTGCCTCACCTCTACCTCCAACCTCTGATTGACAGATTAAAATCCTAGAGGCCCAAGATTTACAGAGACAGAACTGGAGGGGAGCACCACTCAGGCAGGTGAGCCAAGATCTGCACCCAGGGATTTTAATAATTCAAAACTGAGCCTTAGAGAGCCCAAGGGGACAAGCTATCTGTTTCTGTCTGTCCATTTCTGACTCCAGCTTGGAGAAAAGCATCAACACTCTTCAGAAGGGCACTTCAAAAAGACACCCCCAAGCCCAAACAAAACAGCACAAATATCTAGTAACAGGGCCTGGATTTACAAGCTATGATGCAGCCAAACCATGAACGTCGCGCAGCTCTCAGTAACAGCTGTGGAGCATCTATGAGGAAGGGCATGAAGGATGGCCCCCGGGTTAAGTGAAAAAAGCAAGAGGTAGAATGAGATATACCTAAGGTGAGCCCATTTTTTGGTCATGAAAATGGCCAGGCACAGTGGCTCATGCCTTGTAAACCCAGCACTTTGGGAGGCCGAGGTGGGCGGATCACTTGAGGTTAGGAGTTTGAGACCTGGACAATATGGTGATATCCTGCTTCTACTAAAAATACAAAAATTAGCTGAGTGTGGTGGCAGACACCTGTAATCCCAGCTATTTGGGAGGCTGGGGCACAAGAATGACTTGAACCTGGGAGGCAGAGGCTGCAGTGAGCCGAGATCGTGCCACTGCACTCCAGCCTGGGTCTCAAAAACAAACAGACAAACAACAACAACAAAACAAAGCACAAGAAAAACACAAAATAGTTTTGTGAAGAACAACAGTGTAACAGCTATGTATCTGCCTGTCTGCTGTATGGAGAAGAAAGTGGTGTGTGGGTCTATAGTCCCAGTGGCTTGGGAGGCTAAGGTGGGAGGATGTAGGAGCACTGACAGCAGGCTGTAGAGACTGTCTGCAGAGGTGGACAGCTCCTCCCATCCCTGTATGAACAACTCTTTGCCATGGGACTTTCTTGCTTCTCCACTCCTGAGGGGGAGTCTGTTTCCCCATCTCTTGAGTCTGGACCGGCCTTGTCACTTTTTTTGATCCAGAAGATGTGGCAGAGCTGATGTTCTGGGATTCCCATGCTCTGCAGCTTCTATTCTTACCCTCTTGAAAAGCTGTCCTTATACTCCAAGAATGTTAAGAAAAAAAAAAAAGAAAAGAAAAGCTGTCCTCATACCAAGTGAAGATGCTGCCTTGCTGTCTACCCTACCAGAGGCTGCATGACCCCGTGGAGCAGAGATGAGCCATCGCAGCTGAGGCCTCTTAGACCTGCCAGTGGCAAGCCAGTACTAACCACCACATAGGAGAATGAGGAGCCACCTGAACCCTCCAGCCCCAGTACAGCCACCAGATAGCTGCACTGGCATGAATGTCGCCTACTAAGACAAGCAGGACAACTGCCTGGCTGAACCCTGCCCAAATCGCTATCCCCAAGAATTGTCAATGAATAAAATGGGGGTTGTTTCAGGCCACTATGCTTTTGTAAAAAGTGACATATAATAATTGTATTTGTGGGGTACACAATAACGTTTTGATACATACAATATATAGTGGTCAGATCAGGGTAATTAACATACCCAATGTTTCAAACAGTTATCATTTCTTTGTGTTAGGAATGTGAAATATCCCCCTTCTAGCTGTCTGGAAATGTATGTCATTGTCAACAAGAGTCATCCTACAGTGCTACAGAACACTGGAGCTTACTTCTATCTAGCTGTAGTTTTATATCCCTTAACGCTTAACAAATCTCTCCCTATTTCTCCCTTCCCTTCCCTTTTCCAGACTCTAGCAACCTCTGCTCTTATTTTCACTTCTATGAGATCAACTTTTTTTAGTTTCTGCATATGAGTGAGGGCGTGGAGTGTTCAATTTTCTGTTCCAGGCTTACTTCACTGAACATAACGACCTCAGGTTCCATCCACGCTGTTGTAAGTAAAAGGACATCATTCCTTTTTTATGGCCAAATAGTATTCCACCGGGAATATATACTACAGTTTCTTAGTTTTTTATTGAGGCAGGGTCTCCTCATGTTGCCCAGGCTGGTCTTGAACTCCTGGGCGAAAATGATCCTTCCACCTGAGCCTCCCAAAGAGCTGAAATTTTGGCTCACAGGTGTGAGCCAATGTGCCCGGCCCCACAATTTCTTTATCTATCCATTTGTTCAGGAACATTTGGGTGGATTCCCTATCTTGGCTATTGAGAATCATGCTGCAGTAAACCTGAGGGTGCAGATATCTCTTCAATTTTATCATTTCCTTTCCTCTGGATACATTCACAGAAGGGATTGCTGGGTCATACGATATTTTTTCATTTTTTTTGAGACAGAGTCTCACTCAGTCACCCAGGCTGGAGTGCAGTGGCGTGATCTCAGCTCATCACAACTTCCACCTCCTGGGTTCAAGAGATTCTTGTGCCTCAGCCTCCCAAGTAGCTGGAGTTACAGGTGTGCACTATCACACCTGGCTAATTTTTGTATTTTTAGTAGAGATGGGGTTTCACCATGTTGGCCAGGCTGGTCTCAAACTCCTGGCCTCAATGGATCCTCCCACCTTGGCCTCCCAAATTGCTGGGACTACAGGTGTGAGCCACTGCACCTGGCCCATATGATATAACTATTTGTAGTTTTTTGAGGGCCCTTCCTACTATTTTCTACAGTGACTGTACTAGTTTACATTCTCAACAGGGTCTAAGAGTTTCCTTTTTTCTGCATTCTTACCCAGATTTGGGATTTTGTCTTTTTTGTAACAGTCATCCTAACTGGGGTGAGATGACACCTCATGGAGATTTTGAGCTGCACTTCTCTGATGAATGATGTTGATCAATTTCTCATGCATTTGTTGGCCATGTGTATGTCTTCTTTTGAGAAATGCCTGTTCATCTTATTTCTGACCATACGTTTTGGGTGGTTAGTTATGAAGTAACAGGTAACTGACACATACACTCACCACACCACTAACATGAACAGGGAGTGGGAGGGGCAGGGAAGGGAAATGAACTTTCACTATTACACATTTCTGTTTGGTTTATTTTAGAAGCAAATGTTATATTGGTACTTAGACTGACGCCCAATAAAGAAAACAAGGAGGAAGTTTATAAGACCACAAAGGTGGAGGCAGTCTGAATGCCTCCCAGTGAGGAAGTGGTTAAGTGAATTAGAACACAGGCATGGATGGCTTGTTGTGCCCACAGACAGAGAGACAACTATTTTCAAACCTTGAAAACCGAGGCCTAAATTAGAAACACACTTTACATTAAAACCTGGTTTTCACATGCATACAAATATGTACCTCAGAAACCAATAATCACAAGCAACTCTTTAATTCCTGCAAGGCACTCATATTTTTTACCTGTTCTTTTTAACTTTAAAAATCCTGTTCCAGATCCAGTAAACTGCTTTCATGACTGACTAATAAGCCACAATCATGGTTTAAAAAATACTGATATTGGCCTGGTACGGTGGCTCATGCCTGTAATCCCAGCAGTTTGGGAGGGTAAGGTGGGTGAATCACTTGAGGTCAGGAGTTCAAGACCAGCCTGGCCAACATGGTGAGACCCCATCTCTACCAAAAGTACAAAAAAATTAGCTGGGCATGGTGGCAGGTGCCTATAATCCCAGCTACTTAGGAGGCTGAAGCAGGAGAATTGCTTGAACCTGGGAGGCCGAGGTTGCAGTGAGCCGAGATCGCACCACTGTACTCCAGCCTGGGTGACAGAGTGAGACTGTCTCACTCTGTCAGAGCTGTCTCAAAACAAAAACAGAAACAGAAACTGGTATTATGTATATTTTAAGATAATTTAAAAAATACTGACAAACTTCGACAAGCATCAACATAGAAAATCTCCGATTTTTTCTTAAATTAAAAAAAAAGCAAGATGGAGACCAAGATGCATAATACGATTATATTTAAAAATTAAGTGTGTAAGGCCAGATGCAGTGGCTCATGCTTCTATTCCCAGCACTTTGTGGTGAAACCCCACCTCTACTAAAAATACAAAAAATTAGCCAGGTATAGTGATGCACGCCTCTAATCCCAGCTACTTGGGAGGCTGAAGCAGGAGAATTGCTTGAACCTGGGAGGCCGAGGTTGCAGTGAGCCGAGATCGCACCACTGTACTCCAGCCTGGGTGACAGAGTGAGACTGTCTCACTCTGTCAGAGCTGTCTCAAAACAAAAGCAGAAACAGAAACTGGTATTATGTATATTTTAAGATAATTTAAAAAATACTGACAAACTTCGACAAGCATCAACATAGAAAATCTCCGATTTTTTCTTAAATTAAAAAAAAAAGCAAGATGGAGACCAAGATGCATAATACGATTATATTTAAAAATTAAGTGTGTAAGGCCAGATGCAGTGGCTCATGCTTCTATTCCCAGCACTTTGTGGTGAAACCCCACCTCTACTAAAAATACAAAAAATTAGCCAGGTATAGTGATGCACGCCTCTAATCCCAGCTACTTGGGAGGCTGAGGCACGAGAATCATTTGAACCAGAGGCAGAGGTTGCAGTGAGCTGAGATTGTGCCACTGCTCTCCAGCCTGGGTGACAGAGCAAGAACCTGTCTTAAAAAAAAAAGAAATTACCCTGTTTTTTTAAAAAAGCTATGTGTTTCTGTTTTGTTCTCGTTCAGAAGCACTTGTGAATTTTTTGACGATTTTTGTCTTTCTACAATGGGTACATATTACAAATGCAATTTGGAAAACTTAAAAAACAAACAAGGGGTGTTAGGAGAGGCCACCCTAAGATGGATCTGAGCCACCAGGTCCCACCTGTTCCCGCCTCCTTCAGGACATACCTGAGGGCCTGATCCAGGTACTGCAGGGTCCCACGAAGGGCCCCGGTTTATCGAGAAACCTGAAGAGACAGAAGCACATGTGAAATGTCTTTTAGGGAAAGAAGAGTAACCTTTTAAAACAGATCGCCTAAGATATATACACAGTCCACTCTGCCATCAGTTATGTTCTTAAAGTCGCTGTGAACACTGAATCAACCAATCCACTACCACTGCTCCCAGGGGAAACAGCACTGGCTTCCTGCAAGCCTCTGCTCACACCATTTTCATCAGCCGATCGACACGACTTGTTTTGTGCATGTTTCTGTTGAAAGACATCTTATGTAATAGGTATTCTTGATTCATTAGCATTGAACTCTATTTTAATCTGGGATCTTTAAGACGGAGAGGAGCCCTTCAATGATGAGGGAAGATCTAAGATGGAAATAAAGATTTTATTACGTACAGGTCCTGGGGGCACACAGCACACCCAAAGGACACACACACACACACACACACACACGCACACATGCACACTGGTCAGGGAGCTCGTGGCTACATGAGGGACCAATGTGTGGTATCCAAACATTTTGAGGGGACTTTAATAGGTGGGTTCAAAGCAAGCAGGCTTGAGTTCCAGGAGGTCACGCTGTGCCTGAAAGGGGGTAACTGTGGCATCTGCACAGTCCACATGGGGTATGGGGGCCAGCATGGCCGTCAAGTAGGCGACCTGTGGCTGTCCCATAAGGAGAGAGGTGGTCCCCAAGGAGGTGGCTGCATAAGGGAGATATCTGGGTCAACCACACAGAGGAACTGGGAGGAGGTGAAAACTGGAAACTATGCTGAGGGTGACCGAGACCTGCTTCTGGCATGAGAAAGTCCAACTTATATTCAAATGAATGCCAAGGCAACAGAAAATGGCAAGAGTTCCCCACAAACTCATGGCCTACAGCACAGTAGCTCATGCCTGAACAAAGCTGATAAAACGCACGAATTATTAACCATCTCAGGCTTCAGGATATCAGACAGCGCTTCAGCACTACGCTAGGTGGCTGTTTCATTTTTTATTTTTTGTAGAGACGGGGTCTCACTATGTTGCTCAGGCTGCTCTGATCCTCCTGTCTCTGCCTCCCAAAGTGTGAGATTACAGGTGTGAGCCACCACACCTGGCTGAGGCCATTTTAAATGGCATAATCACTGACAAAAGCATAAAAACAGGAAAAAATACAGCATTAACTAAACAGTGAAAAGAACACTGGCGTATAGTATGAGGGCTGAAACAGGGCAGCAGAATGCTGTCTGGCTCCACCCCAGGCTGGGAACACGTGTGTCAGGTGATTAAAGCTTTTCTCCATATTAAGTGTCTGCAAGCGCTCATGAAAACTGCATTTGGGGCTGCAAATACTTTTAGTGAGTAGGAGAACTCATACACATGGACTCTGAATAAGCAGGACTGTCTATGCACACAGACGTGCATGCACGCACACCCCTCTAGCTGTTCAGGAAAGATCCTGATTCACCCACTGCCTTTGCTCCACCCTCCAGGCCCAGCCCCTACACTATTCTGCCTGGTCCGTCGGGTCAGCTCCCACCATCTGCCCAGTCACTGGGCTCTGACCGTGCCTTTGCCATCCCAGCCCTACCTCCCGCTCAACTCTCTCTGCCCCGTGTCCTCCTGTGTCCCATGGATCCGGGCCCAACTCAGGCTTCATCCTTTCTCCTTGGACCTCAGGTCCTCCCTGGCCTCCTGTGCATCCCCACGTGGTCCCAGAGGTTCTCTTTACACCTGTCCCTGCCCCTCCCTGCTCACAGCCCACCCTCCCTCCACGGCTCCCCAGCACACACGGCCACCTGGCCACCCCTCTGGTTCTGTCTCCCCACTCCCTTCTCCCACCGCATGTCCCAGCCACACCAAAGGACTTCTAGTCCCACCAGGCCACACATCCCTGCACACTTCTGCCTGTGCGCCTACCGCTCTCACTGCCTGGGCGGTCTTCCCCACTGAGCTCTGGCAGGTGGCTGTTCTCCCTTTCAGATATAGCTCAAGGGCTTGGCCTCCTAGAAAGTCTTCCCCAGACCCCTCCAGGCAGAGGAACACCGTCCCTCCCGGGCTTGTGTGTAGATCCCAGCTGTCCTATGGCAGCCATCAACATATGTGCACAGGAAGGGCCAGTTGCCATCATGAGGACGTTGTGCACTGCATAGCAATGCTACTGCTGCTGACTGCCATGGGCTCTCCCTGACCAGCTGGAAGGCCTAAGGGCAGAACCAAAGCTGGCTCTTATTTGTGCTTTGCCCAGCAAAGGGCCTTGAATGCCAGAAAGACTCAGGGACTTAAACTGCCTCTCCTCGTTCTTTTACTCATTCCTTCCATTGTGAACCACAATGTGCAAAAAATGAGTATCTGTGGAATGAATGGTAAAAGGCCATGTATATCAGTAAAACATCCTCGCAGAGGACACCTTGGGGAGGCAGGAAACGAACAGGCAGCAACATTGCCCCCTGTGGTCCCCTCGGTTACTGTCTGGGCCAACAGACGCTGGGCTGGGGGTGAGAAGAGGTGTCTGGGGGACAGTGTCAACGTCACCAGCTACTCTCCAGGGAGCATCTTTGTGCGCCCAGCCCTCTACAGTCATGGTCTGGAGCTGGTGCTGTGGAATTAGTTATCCATGCTGATATCATTGATCTGAGATGATTACTATGACCTGTCTTATTCACCCCGCACCATGTTGGTAGTGCAGACCTTCCCTGTGAACCAGTCACATTCATTGAAAGTCTCTTTAGATGGGGGAGGGTGTGAAAAGGGCAATATGACTGCTCCTAGGAGTTAGGAAGTGGAGTGGGGAGAAGACTCAACCCAAGGGAGCCTCGGGGAGAAGACTCAACCCAGGGGAGCCTCGGGGACCGGTTTCCCTGACAAGAGTGGAGTGCAGAGGCACCGTGGGCTGATTCTAACCTGGGTGTCCAGCACAGCCACCAGCCTCAGGACCCAGGCCCTGAATGAAGTGGAGAGGGTTCAGATCCGTGCTGTCCTGTCTGCTTCCTGCTTGGCCCCCAGGCCAGCCATCTTGCAGCTGAAAGTTTCCGGCAGCCAGCAGTGGGGTCCTGTGCCTCCCCTCTGCTCCCACAGTGCCTGGGCTACCTCCATCCTCGCCTGCAACTCCTGCTTCCTGTCTGGGTCTCCTCACAGTCCTGGACCCCCTACACTGAGGCTGTGCCTGCCTGCCCTCTGTGTCCGCACTGAAGCCTGGGCGGGCTCACGCATACACTCCTTAGTTGTTCTTTGTTCCACTATAATTTTTCTTTCCTTTTTTTTTTATGGAGACAGGGTCTCACTCTGTTGCCCAGGCTGGAGTGCAGTGACACAATCACAGCTCACTGAAGCCTCAATCTCCTTGGGCTCAAGTGATCCTTCCACTTCAGCCTCCTGAGTAGCTGGGACTACAGGCGTGTGCCACCACACCCGGCTAAATTTTTTGTAGAGATGGGGTCTTGCCATGTTGCCCAGGCTGGTCTCAAACTCCTGGGCTCAAGCAATCTGCCCACGAAAGCTTCCAAAGGGATGGGGTTACAGGCATCAACCACTGCGCCAGATCCGCTACTATTTCTTGGGCACTCAAAATGTGTGCTCTCTGTTGCATCCAGAAAAGAATATGTGTATATCACAGGGAACTGAGGCCCCCCACACCCTCAGTCTCCTACCTTGGGATTGTTAGTGAGAAAAGTGAACCCTCCCTCATGGAAGCTGCAGTGTTTTGGGGTCTCCTTGTGAGAGCAGCTCAGCCTTGTCTTAAGCTAACCCATTAGGTTGTGTGAGGGAGCATTTCACTACCTTCACTCACACAGGGATGTGGGCTCACTCGAGTGGGCTGCTCATTCTGTGACTCATTGTTTTCACCTGGCTTCATTTCAAAAGAAACCTTTGTCTCACTATTGTGAGCAGAAAAACAGCACCATCTGCCAAAGCTAGAGAGTAAGTGTAAAAATAAGCTCCAAGAAAATGAGGGAATGGTCTAGTGAGTGCTGAGGCTGGCTTCCCATGCAGAGGCTGCCTGCGAAAGTCTAGGGGCTGAAGGCCTCTCTGTCTATCCCTCTTCTGCAGGGATGTTGGGGCAAATCAGCATCAAACTGTGACATCCTTCTTGTCGCTGTTTCAAGCTTCATGGTCCTTCAGGGGGCAATTCACCTGTCACCATCGCTGTGAGACCTGCCCCGAATATTAGACTTGAAAGTGTGCTGCCCATTCCCACCCCAAAGGTCCCACCAGTGGACACCCAGGACCTGGCCCCACAACCCCCATCAGTCTGACCTCTGACATGCCGTGTTTCACCCCTTAGCTCCTGTCTCCCCTACTAGGATGTGAGTTCCCTGAGGGTAGGGATTTTTGTCTGTCTTACTGCTATATCCCCAGGGCTTAGAATAGAGCCTAGCACATGGTAGGGTTCAGTATTTGTTGAGTGAAGGTAGGGTGGGTCCAGGCATCACCAATTCACCCTCATAAGCCTCCTACAAGAGGGAAGCAGCACAGAGGTGACAGGAGCTGTTTCTGGAGTTGAATGGCTGGGCTTAAGCCCAGGAGCCCCTGCTTAGTAGCTGTGTGACCTGGGCTGATTACCTAAGCTCTCTGTGCCACAGATAATGAGAGCACGCAGCTCAAAGCAGTTGAAAGGATGCAGGGGAAGCACTGGGTGCAGTGCCCTGCACAGACAAGCATATGATAAATGTTAGCTTTGAAGAGTCACTAGGAGGAAGTCAAAATGATAAGATACATCCCCTTGTCTGGGGGATCAAATTCTGGGCATGGTGCCACTTATGCCAATTAAACACATACCCAAGAACATCATATAGTTTTTAAGGGCACAAATGCATCTAAATAAAAACATTTAGGAGTATTCAGAAGTAGTGAACTAGCTATGTAGCTAAAGTTAAAAACAGCATTGAGTGAAAGAAGGCAAGAAACAGCATGAGGTTTAGAGCATAGTATCATTTATACAAATTAAACACACATACCACCATATATAGTTCAAGGACACAGACACATCTATACAAAATTGATTTAGAAGCAGGAGTCAGAAGCAGTAAACTCGATCCACACGTAGGGACAGGGTTAAAGCTGGAGAGAGCCAGAGACAGATGAGATGCAGAGCAAACATCACTTACACAAATCACACACAGCATCACTGCCAGCATGCAATTTTGAGAGTACAAATACATCTAAGTGCACACATCAGCAGAACACACAGTAAGTGTTCTTAAGAGGCTGTCCATGGTTGAGAGAAGGAAGTTGGGAGATACAAGGGAGTTAAATGAGAGTCTTCACATGTGGGAAGGACTGGGAAGGACTTCAAGGCACACTAAGGACTGGGAAGTATGAGGGACTCGATGCTGTTCATTGGAGGGATCACCTTGCTCCCACTCTATACACTTTCCCAGATAATCTCATCCTCCCCTGGGGCTTTAGCTGACAGTTCCTGAGATATTTCTGGGGTCTGAGTCTCCCTTTAGACTTCATTTCTGCACTTCAGATGTAGATGGCCAGCTGCCTCCCAGATGAGTCAGGCAACTTTTTTTTTTTTCTCCTGAGAGTCTTACTCTGTCACCCAGGCTGGAATGTAGTGGCATCTCAGCTCACTACAACCTCCACCTCCCGGGTTCAAGCAATTCTCCTGCCTCAGCCGCCCAAGTAGCTGGGATTACAGGCACCTGCCATTATGCCCAGTGAATTTTTGTATTTTTAGTAGAGATGGGGTTTCACCATGTTGGCCAGGCTGGTCTTGAACTCCTGACCTCAGGTGGTCCGCCTCCCTCAGCCTCCCAGAGTGTTGGGATTACAGGCATGACCCACTTTGCTCAGCCTGGGCAACTCTTACTCATGTCTGAATGGCACGCCTAGGGCCAGCTACCCACTGTCCTTGGTGCTGAACTCACATGCCTAGCACTTTCCTTTTGTGCCCAGCGACCCACTGTCCCTGGTGCTGAACCCACACCCCTGGTGCTACCGCTTAATGCCCAGCGACCCGCTGTCCCTGGTGCTGAACCCTCATCCCCAACACTTCCCTTTAGGGCCAGCTGTGTGCTGTCCTTGGTGCTAAACACACACCCTAGTGCCTTCCTTTTGGGCCCAGCTGCTCGCTGTCCCTAGTGCTGAACACACACTCCTAGTGCTCCCCCTTTGTGTCCAGCTGCTCAATGCCCTTAGTGTTCAATCTCACCCCAGAAATTCCCCATATGTTCCGATATACACTGTCTTTGGTGCTGAGTGTTTAAACCAGCACTAGTAGGACCTGGTCATTTACACACAGAGGTGAAGGCACTGATCTGGCAGTGTGGACACTGGGTGGCTGGAACTACCCCTGCTGAGGCAGGGCCTGGGCCTATCCTGCTCAGGTTGCCGGTGTGTTTGTGATGAAGTGAGTCATGGTGTCCCACACACAATGAGCATTTTCTACGAGCCAGGCCCTATGCTAAGTTTTGTGTGTACCTGACTCCCCTGAACCCTTCCACAGCCCTGTAAGGCAGGAGCCAATAGACCAACTCACAGAGTAGGACACTGAGGCTCGCAGACATCATTAACACCCCACAGTGGCAGGGCCAGAGTCCGAGCCCAGGCAGCATGGCTCAGAAACCCTTGCCTTACCCGCTGTGTGGACAGTATATACCTGTGCAGCACAGGCCTGTGTAGCTCAGAGGACTTCAGCTCTGTTGGATGCTACCTCCCTTTCCCTCCTGCTCCCTGTTGGGCTCTGGGTTTCTGCCCATTTGCAGGGATTCTGGGCCAGTACTGGGTTCTGCTGACCCCCAGACTCACTTCTGTTTTTGCTTCATGATGTCCTCAGTGTTGGGAAGGCAGTTTGTCCACGGCAGAAATCCATAGAGCCACTTCAGCATGCAGTAGCCCAGGCTCTGGAGGTCGCTGCGGCGGGAGGGCCCTGGGGAGGGAGGGGTAGAGGTGGTGGCTCCGTCTGAATGCTCCACTAACCGACGGGTCCACCCTCTTCCTTCCCCCGACTCACTGACTCAACCATTCACTCAAACATGCAGCCTTGCAGCCATATGGGCTGTTTCTTCTGCTCATTCACTTTCATGAGTAGGCAGAAGTCGACTCTCCTCATTCTCATTCTCTCTCACTCAACCATCCCCTTAGCCCCTTTCACCAGCTCACCCTCATCCACTCTTCTTTCATTCATGCACTCATTCAATGAATCTTCAGTGCCTGTGTGCTGGGCACTAGCTCATGCTCTGAAAACCCAAACCAGGATCTTGTTGAGTCCCAGCCCATGACAGCCTAGTGGGGAGACAGCTATAGCGTGGGACTACCTGAGTGACAAAGGACACAGAACAAAGCACACGAGAGCCCAGAAGGATGGGCACCAAACCCAGCCTCAGTGGGGGAGGGCAGGGAAGACTCTGACAGTTTATTTTCCTTATGCTTCCTTAGCATAATTTAGACAATGCTTTGTGTAAGCACTCAACAAGTACTACTTGTCCATGCTGGCCTTCCACCACCTGATGCTGGAGGCAGGGGTGCCATCCCTGCCCTGGGGGAGCTCAGTCTGGTGGGAGGATGTGGCAGGTATGTGGATGGCCAAAATATAAAGGGATATGAGAAAGAGGGGCTCAAGAAATCTGCCACGGGTTCTCTTCCCTCTCTCTGCACTTTCAGTGGATGATCCCATCCTCTCCCAGGGCTTCGGCTGATTAACTCCTGAGATACTGCAGAGCCTCCGCGCAAGTTCCCTCCCACAATTCAGACGTGGTTGCCAACCACCTCCTCAACAGCCCCTCCTGGATGACTCCTAGGCAACTCTCATCTTCTAAGTCCTCACCAGATCCTGAATCCCAACCTCCGGAACTCAGGGCTCCCCAGTGCCCAGCCACCCGCTGTCCTTGGTGCTGAACAAGGAGACCGGGGCGCTGTCCGTGGTTCTGATCCCCCATCCTGGCACCCTTAGTGCCTGTCCTGTCTGGCCACCTGCTGCCTCTGGCTGTGAACTTCCAGAGCTACCCTTGTATGAGAAGCGGGTCTCCGTGGTCCCAAACCCTTCCCTGGCTTCGTACCACATCCCCTGTGCAGGTCCATGCTAATGAACTCAAGGTCCCCCTCGTGAGGGCTCCTGCTGCCTTCCACGTAGGCCACGTGTTTTCCACTTGGGCAATAGCGGAAGGCGAAGCCATAGCCTGCCAAGGTCACCTGTGGACACAGGGAAAAGCCATACAAATTGGAGGTTAGGAGTGCAGAAGTCAGAGATTTCCACTATAGATGCAACTGAAAACAACCATTCTATCAAAGGTGACATTTTTCACTCACAAAACTAAGCCATGCTCACAGTCAAAATGGGATGAAGTAAAAAGACCCCAAACCAGCCATCCATATTTCCTCCTAGCCCCCAAAACCCACTGCCCAGAAATAACCATTAGTAACAGTTTCTTATGCATCATTCCAAATGGTTTTCTTTAAATAACCAGGCAAACATGTGGATGAGGCGGGGGCTCTTGTTTTCCAGACCTCCCACTGGGCATCAGCACTTAACATTTTAATAGTGGTTCTGGGTATTAACTCTGAAGCCAGATGGTCTGAGTCCAAATGCCAGCTGAGCCTGCTGGTGGTGCTACAACCTTGGGGAGCTACACCACTTCTCTCTGCTATGATTTCCCCATTTGTAAAATGATAATAGTAAGAGTCCCCACCTCAAAGGGTTCTTATGAAGCTTAACTGAGTTTAAAGCAAAAATTGAGTGCTTTTCTGCCTAATACACAAAGTTAACCACATCTTCTTTTAAAAATATTTATTTACTTATTTATTCTGAGATGGGGTTTCACTCTGTCACCCAGGCTGAAGTGCAGTGGCATGATCACGACTCGCTGCAGCCTCCTAGGCTCCAGTGATCCTCCCACCTCAGCCTCCCAAGTAGCTGGGACTATAGGCACGCACCATCATGCTCAGTTAATTCTTTGTATTTTGTGTAAAGATGGGGTTTTGCCCTGTTGAACTCCTGGGCTCAAGCGATCCTACTGCATTGGGCTCCCAAAATGCTGTGATTACAGGCGTGAGCCACTGTGCCCAGTCCATGTCTTCTTTTCAGTGGCTGCATCTTATTCCACCATCTGGATATGGACAGATGTTGGTTTTGTCTGTGTAAGACCTATATACTTCCCCTGCTCTCTGTTTTTCTGTTCATAGTTTGTGACATTAATTATTATTATTATTATTATTATTATTTTTTACATTCTGAGACGGTCTCACTCAAGTCACGCACGCTGGAGTGTAGTGGCATGATCAGAGCTCATTGTAGCCTCAATCTCCTGGGTTCAGGTGACACTCCTACCTCAGCCTCCCGAGTAGCTGAAACTACAGGTGTGTGCCACTATGCCCGGAAAGGTTGTTATTTTTTTATTTTGTAGAGACAAGGTCTCCCTATGTATCCCACGCTGGTCTCAAACTCCTGGGTTCAAGTGATCCTCCCACTCTGACCTCCGAAAGTGGTGGAATTATAGGTGTGAGCCATTGGGCCTGGCCATGATGGTCATCTTGATGTGGCAATCAAACCCTATTCTGGGTGTGCCTATGAGGTGTTCTGGGTGAGATGAACATTTGGGTTTGTAGACTGAGTAAGGCAGATTACTCTCCTTAATGTGGATGGGTCTCATTCAATCAACTCAAGATGTAAACAGAACAAAAAGCCAAGTAACCAAAAGCTCCTCGTCCCAGACTGCCTGAGCTAGGACATTGGCCTTTTCCTGCTTTTGGACTCAAACTGAAATAAAAGCTCTTCTTGGGTTTCAAGCCTGCTGGCATTTGGACTGGAACTTAGACCACTGGCTCTTCTACATCTCAGGATTGCAAACTGAAGATCTCAGGACTGCCTAGCTTCCACCCAATTCCTTACAATTAATCTCTCTCTCCACCCGCACACATATGCACCCCCCCCCCCGCCCCCGCTGGTTCTGTTTCTCTGAAGATTCCTAACACGTAGTTCGAGGATTTTCCTCTGGGATTGCCTCTCCCCAATTCTCAGTCCATGCTGTTCAGATCTGTTTCTGCCAGGGCTGCTAGCCTTTGGGGATTTAAGCCTAATTTGTTGGTGGCAGTTTTGTCACCACGAGGAACAAGTTTGCCTGACAATGAGCAGTGCAGAAGCAAGAGAAGCCCAGAGATGGGAGAGCTGGCTTCCCAATGACAGGGCTTGAGCTCCTGGATCCTGCCATGCCCAAGACAGTGCAGTCCCGTATTTCTCCATTCCATGGACTAATAAATTGCACACACACTCTTTTGGTTTTTGGCTTAAGGCATGTTAAGATGGGTTTCTGCTAACTGCAACTGTAAAGAGTAATTAGAAGTTTAAATACTTTAAAATACTATTTAACCAGTATCCTGCTTAAGGTGTTTCCCATTTTACTACTACAACCAACATTGCCAGAAACATCTTGTACACATATCAACAATACTATGAATATATAGATAGGACACCTTCCTAAGACAGAAACTGGTGGCTCAAAAAACAGGTGCATTTTGGCCAAGTGCCGTGGCTCATGCCTGTAATCCTAGCGCTTTGGGAGGCTGAGGCGGGTGGATCACCTGAGGTTGGGAATTCAAGACCAGCCTGACCAACATGGAGAAACCCCGTCTCTACTAAAAATACAAAATTAGCTGGGTGTGGTACCGCAAGCCTGTAATCCCAGCTACTTGAGAGGCTGAGGCAAGAGAATCGCTTGAACCTGGGAGGCGGAGGTTGCGGTGAGCCGAGGTAACGCGCGCTACTGCACTCCAGCCTGGATGACCAGAGTGAAATTGTGTCTCAAAACAAAAACAAAGGTGCATCTAAAAATTTGACTGTTACTGCCAAATCGTCTTCCAAAAGCGTTTCCCTATCCGTGCTTCCAACAGTGTATGAAGAATTCCTACTTCCTTAAATCCTTTTCAGCAACAGGTATTATTACCGCTGTTAATTCTGTTCATCTAAAGGGTGAAAAACAGCATCTTGTTTTCAGTTACATGTCTATGATTATTAAGGAGGCTGAGTATCTTTTTGTATATTTAGCTAAGCCTGTGGATTTCTTTTTTTATGAACTGCTTAGCCTTTGCCCATTTTCCTACTCAGTTGCTTATCTTTTATTTATTTGAAGGAGCTCTTTATATATGATGCACAGCAATCCTTTGTCTGTAATAAGCACTGTAAAATAAATAGAGATTTGGAGACAGATGCGAACCTGAGCCCAGAGACCTTCCAGAATGGGTAGGAGCTGCTCTTACCTGACTCCGGTCCTCCGGATCCACAAAAATATTTTCAGCTGTCACATTTCCGTGAACATACTCATTCTCATGGAGGAACTCCAGGGCATCTAGCTGCAGGAAGAAGCAAGCCAGCATCTGCACGAACAGTACGACTACCTAACAGAGAGGCTCTGGTGCAGACTGGGTCAGGGAACCCCACTGTTAAGAACGGGTCGTCCGGCACCGTGACTGGGGTCAAACCTGACTAAATCCTGGGCAGCACGAGCAGCCTGCTGTGATAGCACACTGAGCACACACCTCTAACCAGGCTCTCAGAGAGCTCAGCAGTCGAGCTAACTCGAGGCTTCCCATCTACTCCTGTATCTCTTAGCTGATGGCAAACTCAGGAGGGGTTAATGACTCTCTGCAAAAATGACTCAGCGCCTGTGAATATCAAAGAGTTCTTCTCACCTGTCCTAGAGAGCAGAAAAAAATTTTAACATTTGTAAATTTGTAATGATCTCCAGCTGTCCCACGGAGTTTTGGGGTATGTGTGTGTATGTATGTTTTTTTTTTCTGAGACAGGGTCTCACTCCTGTTGCCCAGGCTGGAGTGTAGTGGTGCAATCACTGCTCAATGCAGCCCCGTTGATCCCAAGCTCAGTTGATCCTCCCACCTCAGCCTCCCGAGTAGCTGGGACTACAGGTACACACCACCACACCTGGCTAATTTTTTGTATTTTTAGTAGAGAGGGTGTTTTGCCACATTGCCCAGGCTACTCTTGAACTCCTGAGCTCAAGTGATCCACCTGCCTCATCCTCCCAAAGTGCTAGGATTACTATGTGAGCAGCTGCGCCTGGCCAAACTCTTCAACTGTGCCTGCTGCCCGAGTGTCAGCTACATTCCGATCATATCCCCAACCCTCTTCGACCCCTGGGCTCAACTGTCCACCAAATTCTGCTTTCCTTCTACAAACTCTCCACCCCCATGGCCTCGTCCTCTCCCACATGGACCCTCGCTTATATTCTGCTCCCCATTCCAGTCCTTCCCCATATGGTCCCTGAGGGCCGTTCTGTGCCCAGAGCTGACCTGTCCTCCCCTAATACCCACCCCCTGTGACTTTCCTGTGCCCTTAAGACAGATCTCAGCCCCTCAGCCTGATGTGTGATGTGGTCATGCGTGATGTGGTCACTGCTGACCTCTCCGCACCAACTCCACCTGTCCCCACTGCAGTGCCATACTGCAGATACTGAACGTGAAGACCTTGGGGGCTCAGCATGTTGCTCCCTTGGTACGTCTATCCCTCCAGCAACGTAAACTGGACTCTCTTATTCTCCATCACAGCAGACACCGCTTCTATTCAGAACACTTGTCATAGTTTGTGCAACTGTTTGATTTACTAGTGGTCTCTCCCACTAGACTGTGAGCTCCACATAGAAACCATGCTGCTCTCTGATCTGCAACTGGCCCCAAGGACAGTGTCTGGCACCCATAAGTGTTTGATGAATATTTAATGAGGATGAATGAATGAATGAGTAAATGAACAAATGCCGTATGCTCTCTCTTCCTCTCAAGCCTTACTCCAGCTGTACCCTTGGCTGGACCATCCTCTCCTCATCTATCCCTGCCTCTTCCACCCAGCACCTTGCTGTTTCCACTCATTCTGAGAGTCATGACTTAGAAACACCCTCTACCAGGAAGCCCAATCTAAGCCTTCAGTTTGAGGCTGGGGTTCCGCTCTCCAACACTCATGGCCCCCCGAGGGCACTCCACAGGACCAACCACCGATCATCCTGGCTCTAACCACCTGCCATGTCCGTCAGGGAGCCAGTCCCCAGTGTGCAGTGGAAGGAGGTGGGGGCTGATGTGTCAATGACTAAACAGCCTGCCAAACTAGGGTCTCATGCACCCTCCCTGACACAGGAGCTGAGCAACTTCTGGGTACGCACCAGCCGGTAGGCCACCTGCAGCACAGACCTCTCTGACAGCATATGCTTTGGGCTGACGTCCAGGGCTGACTGAAGGCTCCTTCCCAGGCTGGGTAACACCAAGAACCTGGAAGACACAAGCACCCCAGGAGGTGGGAGATGGGCTGGGGAGAGAGGAGTACAGACTGCCAAGGATGGACTGCGGCGGGGGCTGCAAGGTCCTGGTCCCAGCTGAGATGAAAGGTTCTGACTGGCTGGGCAGCAAACTGGCTCAAAACTATGAGAAGGCAGGAAGCAAAGAACTGGCCCACGGCTTTGGGGGCCCAACCATGCCTGGACACACAACAGGAAGAGGAGGAAAAGGGCTGGCGAGGCAAGTGGTGAGTGGAGCAGCTCACCTGTATTTGTCCTGGTGAACACCAAAACCCATGCAGGTGGGGATGGCCAGTAGCGGGGTCGAGTACAGCTTCTTCCACTTGTTGACTGCAGAAAACAGGGGCTCGAGGTTAGAACCCACCCAGTCCCAAGCCCATGGCAACAACAGCCTGTTCTCAGAGCAGAAGCACAGAGTGCCCAGACTCTGAGTCTCCTTGTTGGAGGTGACAACACTGTGGGTGGGTGACGGTGGGAAGGAGGTGGTGACGGGGCAGGCATGGGTAACCCATGAATGTCTGTGATCCAGGTCTGCAGGTGACGGGGTGAACATGGTGGCTCTGGAGGAAGCAAATACAAATCCAGAGTGCAGGGAAAGGATAATGACAAGATCACTTCCGAATTCACATAGAGCTAACGAGATCAATACGTGCCTAACCTAGCCATGATGTCACCAGAATGTGCCTCTCGGCCTGTCTTCCAGATCTCAGTGGAGTGGACGAGAACCAACGGCAAACTGACAGGAGTTTGACAACTGGCTGTCCAGAGAAGGCAGTCTGATTGGTAGTATTTGCTCAATTCTTTTTTTTTTTTTTTGAGACTGAGTTTTGCTCTGTCACCCTGGTTGGAGTGCAATGGCGCAGTCTCAGCTCACTGCAACCTCTGCCTCCTGCGTTTAAATGATTCTTCTGCCTCAGCCTCCCGAGCAGCTGGGATTACAGGCGTGCACCATCATGCCTGGTTAATTTTTTTGGTATTTTTAGTACAGACGAGGTTTTGCCATGTTGGCCAGGCTGGTCTGGAACTCCTGACCTCAGGTGATCAACTGCCTCGGCCTCTTGAAGTGCGGGGATTACAGGCATGAACCACCACACCTGCCCACATTTGCTAATTTCTGCAGTGTAAATACTCCTGCTATGGCCAACTCCAAGCTACCAACGTGACATGACTGGAGGTGGGTGGGGGAGATGCACAGGGGAGGCCGTCACGCAACGTTCTCACCCACAGAGACAACCGTGCACACAGCCTCGCTGGCAGAGGTAAAAGGACATGTAGGGAAATAATCTGAAAGCGATGAGTTTCTGAGGGGTCGTTACTTTTGTTTTTGAATATAATTTATTTGCAAGATTATATACTTTAGTTTCTTCTTTTTTTCTTTTTTTGAGACTGAGTCTCCGTTGCTCAAGCTGCAGTGCAGAGGCACAAACTTGGCTCCCTGCAACCTCCACCTCTCAGTGATTCTCCTGCCTCAGCCTCCCATGTAGCTGAGGCACGTGACATGTACATGGATAGGCACAAGACATCATGCCTAATTTCTGTATTTTTATTAGAGATGGGGTTTCACCATGTTGGGCAGGATACTTTCAAACGCCCGACATCAGGTGATCCACCCGCCTTAGCCTACCAAAGTGCTGGGATTACAGGCATGAGCCACTGTGCCCGGCCTGTATAATCTCTAATACTGGCGGTAACAACCAGCTTGCCATCTTCCTGAAAATTTAATTTTTTTTTTTTTGAGACAGGGTCTGGCTCTGTTGCCCAGGCTGGAGTACAGGTGGCACAAACAGCTCACTGCAACCTCTGCCTTCCGGGCTCAAGCAATCCTCCCACCTCAGCCTCTTGGGTAGCTGGGATCACAGGTGCATGCCACTATACCTGGCTAATTTTTGTTATTTTCAGTAGAGATGGGGTTTTGTCATGTTGCTTAGGTTGGTCTCAAACTCCTGGGCTCAAGTGATCCGCCTGCCTTAGCCACCCAAAGTGCTGGGATTATAGGCATCAACCACCAGGCCCAGACTAAAAATTTAATACTTGGCTCCCAAGAGCTGGTGTGAGCCAGTCACAACACACTGAGGCCTGAGGGGTGATAAGAGTCAGGTTATGAGCACGGATGGGAGCAAACCTGGGCCTTTAATCTGAACCCACCCTTCTCATACCTACAGGTAGAAGCTAGGTGCTGTGATCAAGCTGGCACCCCCCACTCTCCCCTCCTTGCCCAGTTCCGTTCAGGTACCTTGCAGAGGCTTGGCGGCCCGCTGGAAGAAGTTCTGCTCATTGAACAAGCGCCCGTCCTTGGCATCCTGGTGGGGGACAGGAGGGGCAGAAGGCTGTCACACTGAACTCTCAGACAAGGGCCCCCAAACCCCACCGGCCATTTATTACTCCAGGGTAATGTCCTTGATGACCAGGTTCCTCATCAAGTCCCCACATCAGAGCCAAACTCCGCAGGTGCTGCACAGAAACACACATCAAAGAAAAACACGCAGCAGCGAGCTACCTCCCGGTACCCAGGTTCCTCTTCTTTCTTTTATGGTAAGAGCCACAGTGTTCCCTAGATCGTGGCCTTCAGCTTAAAAACTATGTTTCCCAGCCTCCTTTGCAGTGAGGAATGAGCACATGACCAAGTTCTGGCCCGTGGGGATGTGAGCAGAAGAAATGTGGGCAACGTCCGGGTTATGCCCTTAAAAGGTTGGGACAGGCTCTTCCTTTCCTCTTCTGTTCCAGTTGACTGTAACGCAGATGTGATGGTGGGAGCTGAAGCAGCTACTTCAGCCCAAGAGATGGAGGTTATATGTTGAAAATGGTGCAAAAAGTAAAAGGAAACTGGGCCCCTTGTTTATTAAACCATCATATCAGCCCTGGAAAACTGCCCCTGACTTTTAAGTGAAAAAGCAATAAAGTATCATCTTAAGCCATTATTAATATTGGGTATTTGTTAAAAATAACACCAAAGGGCCGGGCGTGGTGGCTCACGCCTGTAATCCCAGCACTTCGGGAGGCCGAGGCGGGTGGATCACGAGGTCAAGAGATTGAGACCATCCTGGTCAACATGGTGAAACCCTGTCTCTACTAGAAATACAAAAAATTAGCTGGGCATGGTGGCGCGTGCCTGTAATCCCAGCTACTCGGGAGGCTGAGGCAGGAGAATTGCCTGAACCCAGGAGGCGGAGGTTGCGGTGAGCCGAGATCGCACCATTGCACTCCAGCCTGGGTAACAAGAGCAAAACTCTTTGTCTCAAAAAAAAAAAAAAAATAATAAATAAATAAATAACACCAAATAATCAGGTATGGTGGCTCATGCCTGTAATCCCAGTACTTTGGGAGGCCAAGGCAGGCAGATCGCTTGAGGTCAGGAGTTCTAGACTAGTCTGGCCAACATGGCGAAACCCCATCTCTGCTAAAAATACAAAAATTAGCCAGGCGTTGTGGTACACGCCTATAATCCCAGCTACTTGGGAGGCTGAGGCACAAGAATCACTTGAACCCAGGTGTCAGAGGTTGTAGTTAGCCAAGATTGTGCCATTGCACTCCAACCTGGGCAACAATTGTGAAACTCTGCCTCAAAAAATTAAGAAAAAAAAAAAAAAGAAAAAGAAAAAACAATGACAGGAACAGCTCAGGTTGATGGGGTATGTACTGTGCCAGGCACACCTCAACCATGCAGAGAAGCATTAAATGGGAGACGGTAGCTGTCCCGCTGAGGGGACTCAGTGAAGCAGTGCTTGTGAAACTCTCAGCCAGGCTCAGGCAACACCAGGCTCCCAAAGCAGGTCCTCCCCATCATTAGTGAGCCGGGCTCCACAGCCCACACTGGGACCCACTCTCATGGCCTCCATCTAGGGCGGAGGGAGGGCAACTAACCCAGCTGTCCCGGTATTAGAATAAAAAGAAGAAAATAAAGGTTGCCTGTAATCCCAGCACCCAGGGACGATGGCGGGGCTACGAACCACGCCGATGCCCTTCCATTGGGCCCTCCTCTGTGCAGAAGGCGTGACTCTCCCTCATGGCCACTCTCCCTTTCTGTGCTTCTGATTCCTTTTGGCCACCCGCAAGTGCACACATCCTGTCTGCTGAACCTCGTGCTCGGCACCCAGTGTGTGTGATTTCATGAATCCTCAGCGCAGGGACCCCATCTGATGGGTTCTCTTGTTGGACCCCACACCCAGCATGGTGATACACAGCAGGTGCTCGAAATGTGCATGCTACGAGGCCAGTGGTAGGCGGCAGATGAGGAAACTGAGCTCTGAGGGGGATGGGCTTGCCCAGGTCACAGAGCTGGGAATTATCAGCCAGACTCAGGCAGATCCAAAGTCGGGTTTCCAACACCCTGGAGTGTGGAGCACTGAGGATCTCCCTTGCCCACGGTCTCAGGACTCCTTGCAGGTGGGGACCCTGGCCCCCGGCCAATCTCTCCCAGCTGAGAGAGGGGCTCAGAAGTCAAGGATGTGTTTGTGAAAGTCCCTCCCCTCTGAGCTGCCCCCCACCTGCAGGGTCACTTACCAGTTTGAGTGAGAACTTTTGCTTCTGGGGTCCTGAGTCATAGGCGAGGGCAGAGGTGGGTGCAGCTGTCAGGGAACAAACAAGTGAGCAAGGTTATAACCGCAGGGAAGGTCAGGGTCATTGTCCCCAAACTTCCCAGCAATGAAAAGCAGCTCTAGTTTCCTAGTTTCAACAAGGTGAAGGGCACATGTGACAGATGAGAAGAGGAGAGGGGCCAAGAAATGCCATGACCTGCTGCTTCCTATTTTCTTTTTCTTTTTTTGAGACAGAGTTTCACTCCTTACCCAGGCTGGAGTGCAATGGCGCGATCTCAGCTCACCGCAACCTCTGCCTCCTGGGTTCAGGCAATTCTCCCGCCTCAGCCTCCTGAGTAGCTGGGATTACAGGCGCGCACTACCATGCCCAGCTAATTTTTTGTATTTTTAGTAGAGACGGGGTTTCATCATGTTGACCAGGATGGTCTCGATCTGTGGACCTCGTGATCCACCCGCCTTGGCCTCCCAAAGTGCTGGGATTACAGGCTTGAGCCACCGCGCCCGGCCTCCTATTTTCAAACAAGCTTCTTCTCCCTCTTTTTTCTCTCCGTCACTATCCAGCCGTGAAGGAAAGCACTAATACAGCAGGCCCGAGACTGCTCTCCTGGCAGGGTCTGGGAACCTGGATTCCAGGAGGGCTCCCAGAATCCCCTGGCTGATGAGTGGGGCTTGCTGAGTATAAACTGTTCGTGCAATCACTGTGCTTTCTGTGCAACCCCTGCTTTCCTCTGGGGAACCTGGGATGCAGACACATGTCAGACAGAGGGCCACATGACCGCTCCCCAAAGACAGCCCTGGGCCCTGAGTGAGGAGCTTCCTGGTGGACAGTTCCCATGTACTGGTGTAGCCTGTGGCTTGGGAAAATAGCTGCATCTTAGGCAGAGTGACCTCATCCAAGGCCACATCTCAGGGTGACCCAGGTCCGATGACTGACTGAAGTGGACCCACGCTGAAGGATAACTTTTGCTCCAGAGACCTGCAGGGTCGGCTGAGGCCATCACTGGGCTACATCCCAGCCCCACCTCCCCGTCTGCCCTACCTGCTTCCTTACCTGCTCCCTGGGTTCTGATCCCTGAGACAGCTCCCCATAAGCACCCTGCATGCTTGACCCCCAACAGAGCTGCTCCAGGAGCCCTTGTTGTTCATTTACAGACCCACCCCCATCTCCAGGGCTGTGCTAAGTGTGGGCTTCACATGCATTGTCCCATCTGACAGATAAGAAGAGGACAGAGGCCAGGAAATGCCAGGCTGACCAGGGTTCAAATACCAGCTCCTCCCTCCCCTCTGTGACTTTGGGCCTCCATTTGCACGTCTGTAAGATGGGAGTGATAAGGCCCATCCTGAGACTGGCTGCAAGAACTCAACAGGGGAGCAGGAGTAAGAGCAGCAGCAGCCAAGTGTGCAGCAAGAGTATGCGTCCCCCTTCAAGTCCGTTGCTCAGGGAACCCACTCAGCCCAGAGCCCAGCACGGAGCCTGGCACGTCAGGACTGCTCCACAGGCAGCAGCCTTAAAATATTCCCGTAACCGGGGCCCTGCAGCCAGTGGCTCCACCTGGATCTAGCTAATCCCAAAGCCTGTGAGCGGAGCCATCGTTGCCCGCACACCCTGACTCATGCTGGTGTCCCTCCTTCCTCTGCTCTCATGGTGCCCACCCTCCCTTCATTATCAAGGCCGGTATCGTCTAAGATGCTAAGCTAAGGGACAGGGAGGTGACAAAGTCACCCAGAAGCCGTCCTTGCCCTCAAGAAGCTCCAGCTGGAGCAGGGCTGGGAGCCGGCTCTACACGTTCAAGGCCAAGGGTGCTCTAAGCCCAGTGGGAGAGGGATCCGTTCCCGCTGTGGGGAAAGCTTTGGGGGGATCATGCTGGAGTGGGCTGTGACATCATGACCAAGCATCCGCCCCACTCTGGGACCCAGGAATAGAAACAAGACCTGTCTCTCAGAGGTTCCATGAAGTCAGTGACAACGCGTACATACTTGGCACTTGGAGGCAGGCAGAAAAAGCTGACCATTTGATATAATTTTCCTGCACTGCTTTGCAGACTATAAAAAGCTTCTCTTTCACTTTTCTAACTGGCCCTGCTGCCGACAGTCCGGAAAGCTAGCTGGGGAATTTGCATTGTAGAGGGAACCAAGGTAGGCCAGACAGGGAACAGGGGCTTGGCCAAGGGCCCCTGCAGAGACGGGCCACAAGCCCAGGTCTCTAGACTCTGGAATCTAGGGTGGCAGATGCAGGCTGCTGCTTGACAGAAACCTGACACCTGGAAAATCTCTATGTGTGCCAAATGGAGACTGAGGTGTGGCAGGCAGGCAGGTGAGGGCCTCCCCTTGCCAAAGGTCAGTGATACTGAACTTGGGGCAGGAGCCCTGTTCTGGGGCCCATCCTAACCGTAACAACAGGCATCATGTACAGAATGCTGGCTGTTTTCCCAGCAACATGCTACTCATTTCATTCTCCTGACCACGGCCCTGTGAGGTCAGCAGCATTACCATCTCCCCTCTGCAGATGAGGAAACTGAGGCACAGGGTCATGATGTCATTTGAAAGGTCAAGTGACAGGTGGCCAGCAGAGGCAGCCCAGCCCACCGTCGAGCTCCAGGGTGCCCCGGCCCTGCTGGGGATGCTGAGTGACTTTTCTCCTCCAGCCTCTAGAAGGAACCAGCACTTTGTACCTAGTGATTTTGGACTTCTGGTCTCCAGAACTGCAGGGAAATAAGCATGTGCTGTGTTAAACCACTCACTGCAGTAACCTGTCACAGTGGCCACAGGAAACCAACACAAGCCCCACCTTTCATCCACGAAGGCGGAGGCTGTGGAGGGCAGCGTGGGCCTGAGCCTGAGTGCACCACAGGGAGCAGCCACAGGGATTGACGTGACTCACGACGGATGGTGGCTCTCCCACAGAGCCCCGGGGAGGCCCGGGAGTATGACACTATAACTCAGTACTGGACAGACAGAAGAGTTGATAAAGTGCTTTTATCCAGAGAGTGGATAAAAGGGTCTGCTGCTCGAATAACCCTAAAGATTCAGCTTGTTCTTGTTGCTTTACTGTTACTGCTTTAAACTACGGGACATACAACATACACCATCTCTTCCTGACTGGTGCAAACTGGTGGAAGAAAAAGGTGATCTGCCCTGGGGTGATGCCACCTGACGGTGGTGCATCCCTAAATGCAAGCTCCACACCCGAAGGGCCTCTGCCCGCCCCGCTTTCCCCTGCACTGTGTCTGTGCTGGCATCGCCGCCAGGCACACGGGAGGTGCTGCTTAAGGATGCACCGAGCAGCTGGGCGTGGTGGCTCACACCTGTAATTCCAGCACCGTGGGAGGCCGAGGCAGGAGGATGGCTTGAGACCAACCTGGACAACACAGTGAGACCCTGTCTCAATCAATCAATCAATCAAGGGATCTGCTGAAGGAATGAATGGCTCAGGCAGGCTGGGCACTGGGGTTTGCTATTTTTATCAAACAACCTGAGTGATAAAAGGCAAAACCAAAACTACGCTGGCCCAGAGTTGCCCCTTCCTGCACTTCCACTGTGGGTTTCTGGGGGGTGAGCAGGGTTTCTCCTCCCAGGAGCTCCCGGCCGTGTGTTTTCCTCTCCTTCTCCCTCTTCCTTCCCTGCCTGCTCACGGCAATCTCTTTCTCGCTGTAGGTTTTCATCCCTCTTTCTCCTGCCTCTGTGCTCCTCAGCCTCTCATTCCTTCTCACCCTGATTCCCCTTTCTCCCCACCCTCTCCTTCTCCTTTCTCTGTCTTTCTTGGGAGAAGCCAGAGTGCCTGGGTTCCAATCCCAGCTCTATCACTTCTAGGCTGTGTGCCCTTGGCCAAGTAGCTTCCCCTCTCTGTGCCCCAGCTGTAGGACAAGGTAATACGGGTGGCCTCTCTCATGGTGCGGCTGGCAGCACTACATGGGTAAGACACAGCGAGTTCCCAAAGTGTCTGGCATGGGATCCTGCCTGTAATCCCAGCACTTTAAGAGGCTGAAGCGGGAGGATCGCTTGAGCCCAGCAGTTTGAGACCAGCCTGGGCAACACAGCAAGACGGTTTTTATTAAAAAAAAAAAAAAAAAAAAGTTTAAAAATTAGCCTGGCATGGTGACACATGCCTGTAGTCCAAGCTACTTGGGAGGCTGAGGTGGGAGAATCACTGGAGCCTGGAAGGTTGAGGCTGCAGTGGGCCTTGACTACACAAATGCAGTCCAGCCTGGATGACGGGGCAAGACCCAATCTCTTGAAAATAAAAGTACTGGCACAGGCGAGTGCCCCCTAGGTGCTAGACATGGCCCTCTTTCTCTTGCTCCTGCCTGGTCTTGGTCACACTCTCTCCCCTCTCCCTCACCTTTCCTGGCCCTGCCTATCTGTCTCTCCATTATTAACACTGCCTACCTCTGCCTGGAAGGTCCGTGTACAGTTTTCCAAGCTCTTGGCCTCCATCTCCTGTCATCATTTGAGCCAACAGCCCCAGCAGACAGGAGACAAGGCGTCATCTCACTTTTCCAGTGGGGGACATCAAGGCACAGAGTGCCTGAGCTGTTTGTTGGGGCTCCCTCAGCGTGTCGGAGCCAAGTCAGGCTCAGCTTCGGGGCTGTCTGAGACACTGGCTGTCCCACCCACCTGCCCAGACTCCAAGTCAGGGATGGCCAACAGGAGGCTCAAAATTGCCCACAGGCTTGTCTGGCCAGTGGGCACTTCTAAATCAAAGATTTCCTATTGAAATCCAGGCTGCAAGCTCTTCCTTGAAAACTTGGAAGACTGAGCCCAGAGCCTAGCTAATTATTCACACCTCTGGGATCCATGTTCCTCACGTATAAAATGGGGATGGTGAGAGTACCGGCATCCTACGGCTGTGGTGAGAATCTAGCAAACCTCTGTCCATCAAATAATCTGTAAGCAAATATTGATGGCAGCATTACTCAGCACAGCCCAAAGTGGAAATGACCCAAATGCCTGATAACCACTAAGCAGATAAGCCACACGGGGTATCCCCATACAGAGGAATATCCTGCGGCCGTAAAGGAGTGTGGCAGTGACACATCAAGGCACAGATGCACCTAGGGCACATGCTGCTGAGGGAGGAATGCCAGACACAGGGGGCCACACAGTGTAGGATTCTGCCTCTGTGAACTTGCCCAAGAAGGGGCAAGCCCATGAGGCAGAAAGGAGGTTAGTGGCTGCCAGTGGATTGGAGGACAGAGGAATGGGAGTGATGGCTGAAAGGTACTGGCTTTCTTTTTGGGGTGATGGAAAGGCCCTGGAATTAGACAGTGATCATGGTTGCATAATACTATGAATATTGTGGAAGCCACTCAGCTGTAGCCTTTAAAAGAATTTTCGTGGTGGCTCATGCCTATAATCCCAGTACTTTGGGAGGCCGAGGCAGGTGGATCACTTGAGGTCAGCAGTTCGAGACCAGCCTGGCCAACATGATAAAACCCCATCTGTACTAAAAATACAAAAACAAACAAACAAAACTTAGCTGAGTATGGTGGCATGTGCCTATAATCTCAGCTACTCAGGAGGCTAAGCAAGAGAGTCGCTTGAACCCAGGAGATAGAGGTTGCAATGAGCTGAGATTGCGCCAGTGCACTCCAGCCTGGGTGACAGAGCAAGACTCCCTCTCAAAATAATAATAATAAAAATAACTTTAATGTAAGTTTTATCTCAATTAAAAAGCTCCAAAAATAAAAGAAAGGGAAAGAAAAACCCATGTCAAGTGCTTAGAACAGGGCTGGCCTTGCCTAAGCACTCAATACTTAGTACAAGTCACACTACGACTACTGCCATAGCGATTTTCCTCATGTGACAGAGTCTGGGCTTTTCAGCCTCATGCCTCCCTCCTCCCCTTCCATCCCACCCTGGGCAAGCGGACGAGCAAGCCTGGGTGCTCCCACCTTTGGTGTCTGCATCCAGGAGACTCAAACCATGCATGGCGTTGGCCCGTGTACAGGAACCCTCACCCCAGCCCCACCACCAACCACAATGGAAACACCTGGCCGGTCTCCTTTCCTCACTCTCAGGGCATTTCAGATCTGTGGGGGGGGCCTGCCCTGCTCTTCACAGGGCCCCCTGTTACGTAAGCAATATACTTCTCATATCCGCTTGGTGTGTGTGTGACATTGTCAGGCTCAATGTTTGAACTAAATTTTAGGTGGAGGGACCATCCTCTCTGCACGCTGGCCACAACAATTGTCCTTAACATGCAGCCCCTGGGCCTGCGCTCCCCACGTGACAACAGCAGGTGGAGCGAGGAGGGGCACACGTCACATGGGGCACATGCTTTCCGACCGGCCGCAGTCCCCACCACTCCCCACTGCCTTCCCCCAGCCTGCTGCACTTCTTCCCACTATTGCCCGGCCCTGCAGGTGGGTAGGTGTAGAGTCCTAGGTCTAAGAGAAAGTTGCCTAGTGGCAGGTCTGCAGCAAGGGATGTGGCTTCCATTCCCATTCTCAGAAACGGGTCCCCCTCCCACTGTCCAAGTGCTGAGATGACCCAGCCCCTGTCTGTCCAGGGACAGAGTGTACCTTCATAGAGAATTCCCTGGTCGCCCCTGGTCTGGAGCGACATCAGCTTCCACTGTCGCCCACTCTTGTCTGTCAGCACTGTCCCTATGGGCAAAGCTTCAAGTGAGGTGGTCACCCGGCTCCGCTTCAGCATCTGAGGGCTCTGCCTGGTCTTCTGAGGGCTGCACTTGGTCACCTGAGGGCTCTGCCTGGTCTTCTGAGGGCTGCACTTGGTCACCTGAGGGCTCTGCCTGGTCTTCTGAGGGCTGCACCTGGTCACCTGAGGGCTCTGCCTGGTCTTCTGAGGGCTCTTCCTGGTCTTCTGAGGGCTGCTTTTGGGAGTTGGGGGTCTGCTCCGGGAGCCTGCAGGAGGATGTTAAGAATAAAGCAAAAGCGCTAAGTCATCCGGAAGAGAAGACTTAGATGGAGAGTGAAATAGCACAAAATACTATTCCTTTATGAATTCGTGCATTCAGCGAACACTTCCTGGGACCCTCTATGGGTCAGGCTTTGTGTGATGATGTTGGGGGGCCAGACAGGAGTCGGACCTGCATCCTTCTCTCAGGAGTGCCCAGTCTAGTGGGGAAGTCTGTTCTAGACACAGCCAGTCAGATTTGGTCTGAGACAGGGCAGTACAGACAGATATTAGGGATCAAAAGAGAAAGAGATCCTGACTGGAGAAGTCAGGGTAGGCTTCTTGGAGGAAGGGATGTTGGATGAGTAGAAGTTTGCCTGGGAAAAAGGGATATTCTAGATGTTTACCCAAAAACATCCTGCAAAAGGACTCAGTCCTGATACAGAAAAGGGCTGAGAAATTTGTTAGACCACAGCCATGCCCTGGAAGGGCTCCTAGACTGGCAAGACAATGAGGCAGGTACGGTGGGAGACAGCCTTGGACACAGGAAAAGACATCACTTACCATTCCTCCCACCTACCATCCCCTAAAGGCATGTAATGCCTCTGGGGCCCAGAGGCTAAGGAGGAGCAAAGGGACACCTCATACTGCAACTGTGGCTGTGGCTTCAGATCCAGGGGCCCAGTAAACATACACCTGAGTTGTGCTTGTTCCCTGCCGGCAAATGGCCCCCAGTCCAGACAGTGAGGCCGAAAGGGATGTGGAGCCAAGAGTGACGTGTGCTCCAATGAAGGCAGCAGCAGGCACAGGGGGCACCAGACAGAGAAGCTGGAGAGAGGCTCTGGCGGGCATGCAGAGGTCTGGATGTAAGCCTATGGTACCCAAGAGAGGCTTCCTAGAGACCAGACCGGCTGAGTGGCAGTACGCCAGGCCAAGAAGGAAGGGGAGAGTGCCCTGGGCTGAGGGAACAGGCTTAGCAAAGACCAAGGTTAATCTCCAAAAGTGAGTTTTCTGGACAAAGACTGTGTTGAGGGCTAAAGCAGAAACCAGGCCACACAGATGCCAGGCTGAAGAGCTTGGCCTGTGGGTGCTAGGAACAGCAGGGGGCTGTGTGCAGGGAGGGGCTGGGGCAGCTTTGGGTGCCAGAAGACCCATGTGGGGCCATGTAGAAGCACACTGGAGGGGGAGATGCTGGAGTGAGTGAGAGTCAGGCAGGGCTGGATGATGTCTGAGCCAGGGCTATGGCAGTTTTGTCTCAAACATCGTCAGATGATCTAACTTGGTCCCACTTAGAGTCAGGCCAGATTGACCTTAACGCTTACCTTTGGATCTCTCAGAGGAACTTGGGGTATCTTCAGACTCAGAACTGTCACCATCTGAGAAGAGAGGTGGAGAGGTGACAGAGCTGGACCATTTCACCTTCTTGGGAGAGACTTCAAAACTGGAGTTCAGCTCTCTCTTTGAGCCTAAAGAAAGGCAGACAAAATGCAGGCTGAAGTTACAAAGGCCCTTTGCAGGCACCATAGGACCTGGAGCCCTGAGGCTATATTCAGCTATGCTCTTCTCTTTGGCCCTCAAGACCAATTCTTGCTTCTTCTATCACATGAATATCTAAGCAAACTGTTCCTTTTAGTTATTCTCTTCTTCCTGGGTCTTAGCCTCTCTTGTATCTTCTAGCATTTTGCCACTATGTGTCCTCTTCCACAAAATTTCTTTATATATATCTATTTTTGAGATGGAGTCTCACTCTGTTGCTCAGGCTGGAGTGCAGTGGTGTGATCTGGGCTCACTGCAACCTCTGCCTCTTGGGTTTAAGCAATTCTCCTGCCTCAGTCTCCTAAGCATTGGGATTACAGTCATGCACCAACACACCCAGCTAATTTTTATATTTTTAGTAGAGACAGGCTTCCCTATGTTGGCCAGACTGGTCTTGAACTCCTGACCCCAAGTGATCTGCCCACCTCATCCTCCCAAAGTGCTGGGATTTCAGGCATGAGCCACCATGTCTGGCCTCTTCCTCATAATTTCTTAAAATCTATCTTCCAGTTAGCTAATTCTCCCTTTAGCTATGTCTTGTCTGCTGTTTAAACCACCCATTTAGTTTCTGATTACAATGATTATATATCACACACACATATACACATAAACATACAATGATTGTGTATACACACACACAATCATTAGAGGTTTTACTTCGTTCCTTCTCCTATCTGCCTCTGCAACTTTAACTTACTCCTTCATTGTACTTTCAATTTGTTATTTTATTTTTATTTTTTGAGATGGAGCTTCGCTCTCATTACTCAGGCTGGAGTGCAATGGCACAATCTCAGCTCACTGCAACCTCCACTTCCCAGGTTCAAGCAATTCTCAGCCTCCTGAGTAGCTGGGACCACAGGTACCCGCCACCTCGCCCAGCTAATTTTTGTATTTTTAGTAGAGACGGGGTTTCACCATGTTGGTCAGGATAGTCTCGATCTCTTGACCTCATGATCCAGCCGCCTTGGCCTCCCAAAGTGCTGGGACTACAGGCGTGAGCAACCGTGCCTGGCCTACTTTATTTCCTTAAATGTATCAAGCGTGCTTTGTAAATATTCTCATCTATTAATTCTAAGGTCTGTGGTCTTTCCAGGTCTGATTCTGTAATTTGTTGTTTCTGCTGACTCTCAGGCTAGCTTATTTCCTGGTGTCCTTGGAAATCAACAAAGACTGGTGCTCATGTTCCTTGGACATTCCCTGAGGTTTGTCTTTAAAGAATGTTTTCCAAGAGAAGATCTGTTTATATCAGGCAGGGAGGGATACTCACATCTCACCACTTTAAGTTAAATGTTCAGCTTGCATTTTGGGGGACCACACAGATCAGTGTGACTTCTGGCCCCAAACTGGTGAGAACATGAATTCCTGGTTAGGAATTCTCAAAGAAGGCTGGGTGTGGTGGCTCACGCCTGTAATCCCAGCACTTTGGGAGGCCGAGGCGGGTGGATCACCTGAGGTCAGGAGTTTGAGACCAGGCTGGCCAACATGATGAAATCCTGTCTCTACCAAAAAAATATAAAAATTAGCCAGGTGTGGTGGCAGATGCCTGTAATCCCAGCTACTTGGAAGCTGAGGCAGGAGAATTGCTTGAACTCAGGAGGTGGAGGTTGCAGCGAGCCACGATCACACCACTGCACTCTAGCCTGGGTGGCAGAGAGAGACTGGGTCTCAAAAAAAAAAAAAAAAAAAAAAAAAAAAAAAAATCTCAAAGAAGACATTCCTCCTTTTTTTTTTAACCCACCACCAAAGGCTGACAAATGTCTCCACCAATTTTCTCTGTGGAACAATTACTTTCGCTGCAGTTTGCCCACTGAGGAGCCCCAGATTTAAGAGTTTTCCAACTGCAACTCCTGCACTGCTAAGGCCCTAAGATTTGTCTCCCATATCCCAATAAAACCCAGGTTCCAGGCCAATAGCAAACAGCCCCAGCACAAGTAACACCAATGCAGCGCTGTGGTCTCTGTTTTCCTATTGTTTCTCACCTCCATGGATTCCCCTTAGTTTCCTACCACATAGCTCTATGTTTTAAAAAGACATTTTTATGTTTTATTCAACATATTTGGGCACATTGAACTACAAGGAGTTTTTATTATCATCTGGTCTGCCATATTGCTAAAAACAAATGTCATTTCTTTTTAGTTGACACTGACTAACTCAGCCAGCACGGTTGGTCCCAGGACATCCAACACAGGTTGAACATCCCAAATCTAGAAATCTGAAACGCAAAATGCTCCAAAATCTAAAACTTTCTGAGTGTCAAAAGGATGCTCAAAGGAAATTTCACTGGGCTACTGTGGATTCCAGATTTTTTTTTTTCCTTTTTTACGACAGAGTCTTGCTCTGTTGCCCAGGCCGGAGTGCAGTGGCACGATCTCGGCTCACTGCAACCTCTCCCTCCTGGGTTCAAGTGATTCTACTGCCTCAGCCTCCCAGGTTGCTGGGATTATAGGCGTTCACCACTATACCCAGCTAATTTTTGTATATTTAGTACAGATGGGGTTTCAGCTTGTTGGCCAGGCTGGTCTCAAACTCCTGACCTCAAGTGATCTGCCTGCCTCAGCCTCCCAAAGTGCTGGGGTTACAGGCATGAGCTACCGTGCCTGGCCAGATTTCAGATTTTTAAATTAGGGATGATCAACCAGTAAGTATAATGCAAATCTTCCAAAATCTGAAACACTTCTGGTCCTGATCATTTTGGATAAGGGACACTCAACCTGCAGATGCCAAGTAGGCAGGCTGCACATACACGTCTCCTCCAAGCAGGGAAGGAGTCCAGGCTGGCAGGAGATAGAAATGAAGGAGTTGTTAATACGGAGACGGTGGTCAAAGCCATGAGGACAATAAGAGGCCAAGAGACTGAGGGTAGTCTGAGTGGTCCAGTCCTGAGGCCTGAACTTCTCCAGTATCAGGAGATGGTCAGGCAGGCTGCAAAGGCATCCTCCATCCCGAGACACACAAGTGCAGGCACCTCATCCCCTCTGCAGGAATAGGCTCAAAGCTCTGGTTCTTACCTCGGGAGGATGACACACATGGCTTGACAAAGGTCTGGGACACTACATGCTCCTCTATCGGCAAAGAATGTCCACAGTAGGGGCAGAATTTGAATGCTGCTTGGATATTTTTGCCACAGTCTGGACAGAAGGAGATCATGCTACGAAACAGAATGAACACAAAGTGAAGCGGGATGGCTGGAGGTCAGTGGAGGTACTGTGGGAGAACTGCTCTTCATCACAGGTGAGCGTGCAGGAGGCAGAGCCAGGGTCTTCAACTACGTGTGTGATGTTCACTTCTTAAAACATATGATGGGAATGGGAGAGAGAGTCAATGTTCCCCAAATATCCATCTGCTGCCCTGTACTTCCCAGGTTCCCCTGCAGTGAGGTAGGGGCCACATGACTAATTCTGGCCAATGGGGTATGAGTAGAGTCATCTCATGGCTGAGGCAGTTAGGAGTCAGAGTACCTCCTCTGCCTCCCCGTCCACCTGCAGGGATGGCCCTGGAGGCCATGGCTCCCAAATGACATAGCAATGAGATGAAAGAGGGCTGCCTGGTCCACACTGGAACCTCGTGATCAGCAAACACAATTCTGTTGTATTGAGCTGCCAAACTTTTAGGGTTAATTTGTCACAGCAGCACAGCCTATTCTATCCTGACTAATTTAGTAGAATGATGAGTGTTCACTACTTTACTCTTTATGCTTTGCATCTATTTCCTGATACTTTGTAAAAGTCCAAATTACATGCTGAGCCTACGACAAAGGAGGGTATGGAAGAACTCGGCTAGTGAAGAGAAGATCAACAGGGATGAAGTACAACAGGCGGTTTGTACTGCCCCTCATTATGGCAGCGCTATTTGTAATGAGCATCTTACAAACAGCAGCAACGCACTGGGCTCAGTGGCTCACACCTGTAATCCCAGCACTTTGGGAGGCCAAGGAGGGCAGATCACCCAAGGTCAGGAGTTCGAGACCAGTCTGTCTGACATGGTGAAACCCTGTCTATACTAAAAATACAAAAAAATTAGGCGGGTGTAGTGGTGCACGCCTGTAATCCCAGCTACTTGGGAGGCTGAGGCAGGAAAGTCACTTCAACTCAGGAGGTAGAGGTTGTAGTGAGCCAAGATCGCGTCACTGCATTCCAGCCTGGATAAAAACAGTGAAAATTCCGTCTTAAACAAACAAACAAAACAAATCGCAGCAACAACAACAAAAAGGGCCATTTCTTTGCTCTTATAGTGTAAGGCTTAGTGTACATTAACAATTAAAAATGAAACTATCAGTTGGGCACAGTGGCTCACGCCTGTAATCCCAGCACTTTGGGAGGCCGAAGTGGAAGGATCACCTGAGGTCAGGAGTTTGAGACCAGCCTGACCAACATGAAGATACCCTGTCCCTACAAAAATACAAAATTAGCCAGTTGTGGTGGCGGGAGCCTGTAATCCCAGCTACTCAGGAGGCTGAGGCAGGAGAATTGCTTCAACCCGGGGGGCAGAGGTTTTGGTGAGCCGAGGTTGTGACACTGCACTCCAGCCTGGGCAACAAGAGCAAAACTCCACCTCAAAAAAAAAAAAAAAAAAAAGATTAAGAAAGGAACGTGAAACTATTGAAATAGAAAAATAGAAGTTAATATAAATATGTGCTTGTGATTTAATTTCACCTTGAAAGAGAAAATTCTTTAGTTTTTTTAGAGACGGGGTCTCACTCTGTCACCAGGTAGGAATACAGTGGCATGATCACGGCTCACTGCAGCCTCAAACTCCTGGGCTCAAGCAATCTTCCCAGGTAGCTGGGACTACAGGTGTGTGCCACCACGCCTGACTAATTTTTATTTTTATTTTTTTGTAGAGATGGGGGTCTTACTATGTTGCCCAGGCTAGTCTGGAACTCCGGGCCTCCAGCAATCCTCCTGCCTCAGCCTCCCAAAAGTGCTGGGATTATAGGCATGAGCTACCATCCTGGCTGCAAGAGACCTTTTCCTTTATTTATTGTAAAGGCTGGCTTCTGATGCAAATGCAAACACTGGAGTCCGTAAGATCACAGTTTGGCTCCAGGCTGCCAGATTTGAATCCCACATCTGCCACATGCTGGGCAAACTACTTAACCTCTCTGTGCCACAGTCCACCCCAGGATAAGATGGGGCTTCTCCCAGCACCTATCTGACAGAATTGCCGTTGAGGTCTAAATGAATACATTTACATGAGGTGCTAAGAACAGGGCCTGGCGCACAGAAAGCCTTTTACGTCAGTGGTTGCTGTGACCATATCATGCCTTGTCCCCCAGTCACTATATTCCAGTCATGATATTTCTGTTCTTCCCTTTCTTCTTCGATAGGAAGTTCTGAGCTTCTCAGCCTATTTCCTCTAGGTACTGACTTCTGAAATTCTAGAGCTTGTCCTTCAAAACCACAGGCCATCCCATCAGCTGGTAAAGAAATCTCAGCCACATGAGGATAGACAGGGTCCTGGACTCCTTTCTCAGGCTGTAGAAGAGCAGAAATACTCTGCAGCATAAATCTGCCCTTCTGTTTTTTCAAACAAAGGAGTTGTGTAAGACACCTGGACTGCAAAGCCTGTCGGTCAAGTATCTTCTACCCTCAAGAAAGTCAGTCGTTCTGACTGGTTGTGTAACTTAGCGATGTGCTGTCCTGGTAATAATATGTAAAAGAGCATCTCTGTCTTCTCAAAGGTATAAATACTGGTGAGCATTTTTGTTAAGCTAGAGGTCTCACTGCCTCTTCTTCGCTTTCTCCCAGGCAAACTTGGGTGTTGACGCTGGTGTCACAAGATCAAAATTGGCTAGATGTACCCAATAAATACATATACCTACTATGTACCTATGTAAATCAAAAATTAAAATTTTATTTTTTGAGACGGAGTCTCCTTCTGTTGCCCAGGCTGGAGTGCAATGGCGTGATCTCGGCTCACTGCAACCTCTGCCTCCTGGGTTCAAGCTATTCTCCCGCCTCAGTCTCCAGAAGAGCTGGGATTATAGGTGTGAGCCACTAGGCCTAGCAAATTAAAATTTTTTTTTCTTTTTTTTTGAGACGGAGTTTCGCTCTTGTTACCCAGGCTAGAGTGCAATGGCGCGATCTCGGCTCACCACAACCTCCACCTCCTGGGTTCAGGCAATTCTCCTGCCTCAGCCTCCTGAGTAGCTGGGATTACAGGCACATGCCACCATGCCCAGCTAATTTTTTGTATTTTTAGTAGAGACGGGGTTTCACCATATTGACCAGGATGGTCTCAATCTCTTGACCTTGTGATCCACCCGCCTCGGCCTCCCAAAGTGCTGGGATTACAGGCGTGAGCTACTGTGCCTGGCCAAAAAAAATTTTTTTAAACTGCCTAGAGGCTGGTGCCTGGAGAGTTGGATTAGAAAGAATGTGTGATTGCGTTAAACCACTAAGACTGGGAAGTTGCTTGTTACTGAAACCTAGCCTAGACAGACTTTGCTAGACTTCTTTTGTATTTTTTAGCAACAGCTCCCACTCTGTCACTCAGGCTGGAGTGCGATGGCACCATCATGGCTCACTGCATACTCGACCTCTTGGGCTCAGGACACCCTCTCACCTCAGCCTCCCAAGTAGTTGGGACTACAGGCATGTGCCACCATGGCTTTTTTTTTTTTTTTTTTTTTTTTTAACTTTTTGTAGAGACAAGGTCTCCGTATGTCGCCCAGGCTGGTCTCGAACTCCTGAGCTCAGGCAATATTCTTGCCTTGGCCTCCCAAAGTACTGAGATTACAGGTGTGGATCACCATGCCTGGTCTAGATTTCTTAAGTGAACAAAGGATCTGTTTAGAAATCTGTGATGGTTTTATTTATTTTGAGACAGAGTTTTGCTCTGTCACCCAGCCTGGAGTGTAGTGGCACGATTTTGGCTCACTACAACATCCACCTTCTAGGTTCAAGGGATTTTCCTGCCTCAGTGTCCTGCGTAGCTGGGACTACAGGTAACGCACTACCACATCCAGCTAATTTTTTTTTGGAGATGGAGTTTTGCTCTTGTTGCCCAGGCTGGAGTGCAGTGGCGTGATCTCAGCACACTGCGACCTCTGCCTCCTGGGTTGAAGAGATTCTTTTAGGACTACAGGTGTGCACCACCACGCCTAGCTGATTTTTATATTTTTAGTAGAGATGGGTTTTCACCATGTTGGCCAAGCTGGTTTCGAACTCCTGACCTCAAATGATCTACCCGCCTTTGCCTCCCAAAGTACTGGAATTACAGGTGGGAGCCTGGCAGAAATCTGTGCCGGTTTTAAACGGGTTCATGTTAAGTGGAATCTCCCCAGACGCTGGCTGCCCTCGGATAAAGATGCCTCCAGGATGCAGCAAGTGCCTAAACAGGTGAGCTCTGCCATACCCATGACCATGTTCCTCCTGGGAGTGCAGCTACCCAGCAGCAACCCAGAGAGACAAGCAGGAGACAGCTGCTGGTGGGAAAAAGGAAAAAGGCCTTGAGAGGCTGTGCCCAAGGGATAATACCTTTATGAGGTCACAGCCTGGCCCTTGGATTTACTGGGCTGGAAACTCCATCTTGACAGCAACCTGTAAGTGAACAAAAGTGGAGAGGCTGATTCATGCTTTCACATAGCAACGAAAGATAACAGCTAATGTTCACCGAGCACTGGCCATGTGGCCAGCACGTGCCAAATCCATTTGTCCATTCATTCACTCATTCATCTATTCTATAATTATTTACTGAGTTTCCTGTTTATGCCAGCCACTGGGGAAACAGCAGCAAAGGAAACAACACAGCCCCTGCCCTCGGGAAGCTTGTGTTCTGGTGGGAGAAGAGAAGCTAACAAGCAAATAAGCAAGGAACTGCTGAACAGGCTGGATGGAGACAGTGCTACGGAGGACAACAAAGCACCACAGGACAAAAAAGGATGCCACAGAGGGCGGCGGGGCATCGTTCACACAGGGTGGGTAAGGGGGCCTTGCCCAGAGGGAGACATCTGAACAGAGACCCAAAGGAAACTAGGGAGCGAGTCTTCAAAATCTGGGAAGGAGTCCCCCAGGCAGAGAGCTTTCTATGCATTATCCTATTTCATCTATACTACCGTCCAGGAGGCAGGTTCCAGAACTGTCACCACTTCACTGGAGAGTGTGGCATTTGTATTTTCAAAAGCGTGCCACACCAGTATTTCTGGTCCTGTGTGCTTTTTGGAACCGTGTCACCCCTGCTCCCAGGATTCAGGGTGTCTGTTCGACCCCCTGTGGATTTGGGCAGAGCTGTGACTGCTTCTACCGATAGAGGACGGGCAGATGTAAGGCCATAAGACTTCCAAGGCTGGGTCATAAGTAACTTGCTCCTGGCTGGCTTGCTTGGGATGCTCACCCATGGAGCCCAGTTTCCATGTCATGAGGCAGCCTCAAGTAGCCCAGGCAGAGAAGTCACGTGGAGAGGCTCAGGAGGAGAGGTACTGAGGTCTGCGGCCAACAGCCAGTGTCAGCTGCTGGATATGTGAGTGGGCAAGTCCTCAGGCCACTTAGACCCCAGGCTTCGTCTTCCTGCTAAGCCACAGGCATCAGGGAGCAGAAACAGGCCACCCCGCTGTGCTCACTCTGAATTCCTGGCACACAGGATCCACGGGCACAACAAATGGTGGTTCTACATCACTGAATTGGGGGATAATTTCTCCTCTGAACTTAGTAACCAGAACAGGGAACAGGCAGTCCTGGCTGCACTGGGGTTAAGTCACTCACTTAATGACAGCGCTCATTTTGTGACAGTTCAGTATGTGCGGATCACTGTGCTAAGTTCCTGGGAGGTATTATCTACAGAACCTTCAGTCACCCTCTTCAAGGTAAGAGTGATTTCTGAGAAGCAGAGGCTCAGAGAGAAAATGACTTGCCCAAGGTCACACAGCTCTAAAGAGGCAAGGCAGACACATGATTTTGTTTAATCTTTCCCTCCACTCTTGTGAGGTAGGGATGGTCATCCCATCTTTGAAAGCTACAAAATGATGCATTCTCCTTCCCCCAGACCCGACTCCACTCACCTAGAAAACGATGGGGACGGAGCTGAAATCCAGAGCCCTGAGCCCCAAAGTCCACATTCTTTTTTTTTTTTGAGACAAAGTTTCACTCTTATTGCCCAGCTGGAGTGCAATGGCACGATCTTGGCTCACTGTAACTTCCGCCTCCCAGCTTCAAGCAATTCTCCTGCCACTGCTTCCCGAGTAGCTGGGATTACAGGCACATACCACCATGCCCAGCTAATTTTTGTATTTTTTAGTAACGATGGGGTTTCACCATATTGTCCAGGCTGGTCTCAAACTGCCAACCTTGTGATCCGCTTGCCTCCCAAAGTGCTGGGATTACAGGTGTGAGTTACTGCACTCGGCCACGCCCATGTTCTTAACCTGGTGCCAATTTATACAATGAAAATGCACACCTGGACTGTGTTCCTGGGGCAGCAGGTCAGAATATTCTTGCAGATTTGAATCTGGAAGCTGATGCTGGGTGTGGAATCAGGGCAAGAGGGGTTTTAACCATGTGCCAAGCCTGGTTCTGACATCCTGCCACTAGCCTGGTCTAGGCCACCATCTCTCCCTGGGCTACTGCAGCGGCTTTCTAACTAGACTTCTGGTTTCTACACTTGCCCCTACAATCTATTTTCAACCCAGTAGCTAGAGGGATCCATTTAAAATCTAAATCAGACCCTGGCCCTGTCCTTCCTCTACTCAGAACCATATGGAGGGCTGGGCAGTGGCTCACGCCTGTAATCCCAGCACTTGGGGAGGCCAAGGCAAGCCGATCATTTGAAGTCAGGAGTTCCAGACCAGCCTGGCCAACATGGTGAAAACCCATCTCAAGTAAGAAAAAAAAAAAAAAATACAAAAGAAAATCAGCCAGACATGGTGGTGGGCACCTGTAATCCCAGCTACTCAGGAGGCTTTGGCACGAGATTCACTTGAACCCAGGAGACGGAGGTTGCCATGAGCTGAGATCGCACCACTGCACTCCAGCCTGGGTGACAAACCGAGACTCCATCTCGAAAATAAATAAAATCTAAGTCAGACCCTGTCCCTCCTTTACTCAAAACCATATGGTGGATTTCATTTTAGACAGAATCAAAGCCAAAATTCCTACCATGGCCCAGGAGTCTCTACATGAGCTGCCATTTCCCTGTCCCCTTGCTGGTCTCTCCCACCATCTCCCCTTGCTCACTCTGAGCCAGCCACGCTGGTTTTGGTGCTTTTCCCCAGTCATGACAAGAACATTTCTTCCCCAAGAACTTTACGCTTGCTCTTCCAACTGCCTGGAATGTTGTCCCCCCAGAGTGAACACAGGTGACTCCCTCATCACCATCTTCAGCTCTCTGTTCAAATGTCACCTTCTCAGAGACCTTATTGGACACCTTTTTTTTTTTTTTTTAGAAGAAGTTTCCCTCTTTTTGCCCAGGTTGGAGTGCAGTAGTGCAATCTCAGCTCAATGCAACCTGCGCTTCCCAGGTTCAAGCGATTCTCCTGCCTCAGTCTCCCATGTAGCTGGGATTACAGGCGCCCGCCACCACACCTGGCTAATTTTGTATTTTTAGTAGAGACGGGGTTTCACCATGTTGGCCGGGATGGTCTTGGACTCCCGACCTCAGGTGATCTGCCTGCCTCAGCCTCCCAAAGCACTGGGATTACAGGTGCGCGCCACTGCGCCTGGCCCTGGACAACATTTTACTAATAGCATGTTTTATCCTCCTTACCTTGCTTTATTTTTCCTCACAGTACTTGTCACCGCCTGACTTACTCTGACTTACTAGAATGTAAGCTTCATGATCGCGGGGACTTTTGTCTGCCTTGTTTGCTGCAATATGCCCAGAACCTCAAACAGGCCTGGCACAGAGAAAATGCTGGGTCTATGTTTGCTGAGCGAATAAATCATTGTCTTCTTTGCAGAAGAAAACATGCCAAGAAGGCAGAGGGGTCCCCAGCTGTGTCAGCACACATCCATCTTTCAGGGGAAGTCTAGACATTGAGCTGGAGACTTCAAGCTCAGGGCCAGAATTATCTAGCTGGACAGTCCTTAAATAGACCTGCCACTTAGAAGATCAGTATAGGGGTTAAGAGGATAAATTGGGCCGGGCGCCGTGGCTCATGCCTGTAATCCCAGCACTTTGGGAGGCCGAGGTGGGTGGATCACAAGGTCAAGAGATCGAGACCATCCTGGTCAACATGGTGAAACCCCGTCTCTACTAAAAATACAAAAAATTAGCTGGGCATGGTGGCGCGTGCCTGTAATCCCAGCTACTCAGGAGGCTGAGGTGGGAGAATTGCCTGAACCCAGGAGGCGGAGGTTGCGGTGAGCCGAGATTGCGCCATTGCACTCCAGCCTGGGTAACAAGAGCGAAACTCCGTCTCAAAAAAAAAAAAGAGGATAAATTTGGGACATAATCTGCCTGGGTTTGGATCTTATTCTGCCACATATTGTGTGATGGTGGGCAATAAAAAAAATAAAAAAAGTTCTTTTCCTTTGGGACAGAGTCTCGCTGTGCCACCCAGGCTGGAGAGCAGTGGCACAATCTCAGCTCACCTGCAACCTCCGCTTCCTGGGTTCAAGCAACTCTCCTGCCTCAACCTCCCAAATAGCTGGGATTACAGGCGCATGCCACCATGCCTGGCCAATTTTTGTATTTTTAGTAGAGATCTGGTTTCACCATGTTGGCCAGGCTGGTCTCGAGCTCCTGAACCCAGGTGATCCTCCTGCCTCGGTCTCCTTAAGGGCGGGGATTACAGGCAGGAGCTACGGCGCCACGCCAAACTTCTTGGAATTTAGAACTTATTACATATTACAACGCCGGCGGGATCCAGGGCAACTCTCCATAAGCAAGTATGTGATTTATACAACAGTACTTTTAAAAACTCTACATAGTCACACATCAGTTCGGAGTGAGTATTGCCAGCGAACAAGTTCAAAGCCAGGTGAGGCTGGGCTACCAAGTAAGCTGCCAAACAGAAAAAGACCTTTCAGTTTTTACAACGTTTTGGATTTTAAAAGTTATAGATAAGAGACTGCAGACCTGCAAATATTCTTAAACCCTTCTTTTTCAGTGTCTGGCATCCCCAGCCACCATGAGAACGTGAATTAGCTGGGGCAGGGTTTTTGTTTTAGACACTACTGTAATATAGGCTTGAACGGTGCCTATTAGACTAGGCATTCCGACGTAGCAATATCGGTTGCACGGAGCCTTCCGTATAGTACATACTCAATAAAAGTAGATGCAAAAAAGAAAGGAGTCTCAGAGTGCTGAAGTCACCTACGCAATGGCCAGTTCATCACCAGAAACCGAAGGCTCCAACCCTCAGGCCAGTCTTTATCCATCCATTTATTTGACTTATTCAACAAATGTTTACTGAACAGTTGCTATGTGTCAACTACAGTGTAGTGTTCCTCCTACACTTCGGGAGACAGCACAGCAAAAAGGCTAAAGGTCAGACCCCACCCCAGTGCAGGTGGGACGGTTGCCTAGGCGACAGAGCCTCCCTTCGGTCGCACCCCCCTACAGAAACCAAGGGACGACGAGCTGCCCAGGCGGAGCAGCAGTCACATTTCCCTCAAGCCCCATCTATCTCCGCCGTAGCCATGCCCAACACGAAGCCCGCTCAAGAGCAGGCCAGTGAACCCCCAGTCCCGGAGTCGCCCTCATCCCGAACCCAGACCGCGACCGCGGGGGCCCCGCCTCCCACAAAGGTTCGGGTTGACATCATAGGCACCCTGGCCGAGCTGCGGCTACGAGGTTGGGAGACTTCCCGCCGCTCCGCCTCGCCTTCCCCTCACCTCTGTACTTGGGGACTGGAGCGGGATCCTAGGCTTCCGCGGCTGACCCTCGAATCCCCCGCAGTTACCAGTACTCACCTTCTCAGTTGCCCCGCGAAAACTTCCGCTGGGCGGAGAGCGCTGCGCGCGCATCCTGTGTCTGATGCGCCCGCGCAGGCGACGCTGACTTCCCGACGGCGCCCGGCTTCACCTACCTAGGAACTCCATTTCCCAGATGCCTTCGCGGCAGGCCCGCCCTCTGATTCCACACGGAGAGGGAATTATTCCCTCATCGCTCATCCCCCTACCCAACTTCGTTCTAGCCGCTTTGAAACGCTTTCTGGTTCTACTGCGCATGTGTCCATGTGAAACCAATCGGAATGCACCGTGAGCCCTTTCTCAACTCCGCCCCTTCACGCGTTTTCTCAGAAATCCCGTCTCAACGCGTTTCCATGGCAAGCCACTGCTTGCTCTTCGAAAGAGGGGAAGACTCCCAGTCTTCTAGGAAAGGCAAGAGCCTAATTAAATGATTCTTTAACAAGGTAAAAAACTGGACTACAAACCCAGGTTTGGTTCTGATTCCATTTGTACTCTACTCCCAGAGTGCTAAGCGTGGTCTCTAAGGCTGAAGAAGCGGGAGGAGATGGGAAAACGAACGAAGTCGGCCGCGCAGCCCTTTGGGAAATAGAGTCCTGGCGCTGGCGCGGAGGTTCCTGGGTGGAGCCTCTCAAAGAAAGTAAACACGCACCGGAAGTCGATGCGAGGAGGCGCGTGTGAGGGGAGTTGAATCTTTCCTTTCCTCGAGGCTGAGGTTGCGTCTGTTGACGCGGCCGACGACAATCCCGAGGTATAGAGACGCTGGGGTTGGGGTCGCTGAGGGCTTTGCAAGCTCGATCCTTTCTGAGAGTTGACGGAATGCTAGTGGGGGCGACTTCGGCAATGCGTGCGTCGCCTGGGGCGGCGGCGGCTGTCTGGATGGAGGCGTGAACCGCCTTTCAGAGTCCGCTAAAGGGCCACCGGCGCGGTGGCTCACCCTTGTAATCCCAGCACTTCGGGAAGCCGAGGCGGGCGGATCACTTGAGATCAGGAGTTAAGAGACGATCGTGGCTCGAACTCCGTCACTATTAAAAATTGTAACCCCAGGTACTGGAGAGGCTCAGGTAGGAGAATCGCTCGAACCCGGGAGGCAGAGGTTGCGGTGAGCCGAGATCGCGCCGCTGCAGTCCAGCCTGGGCAACAGAGTGAGACTGCGTCTGGAAAGAAAGAAAGAGAGGGGGCGGGGGTGGGGGGAACAACTCAGTAGGTGGGAAAAAAATCATCAACCGCTTTTTTTTTTTTTTTTTTGAGACGGAGTCTTGCTCTGTCACCCAGGCTGGAGTGATCTCGGCTCACTGCAACCTCTGCCTCCTGGGTTCAAGCGATTCTCCTGCCTCAGCCTCCCGAGTAGCTGGGGTTGCAGGCAGGTGCCACCAAGCCCGGCTAATTTTTATGTTATTGGTACAGACGGGGTTTCAGCATGTTGGCCAACCTGGTCTGGAACTCCTGAACTCAAGTAATCCGCCCACTCCGGCCTCCCAAAGTGCTGGGATTACAGGCGTGAGCCGCTGTGCCTGGCCTATAATATATATTGTCGTTGTTACTGTGGGTCATGGTTAAAACAAAAGTTTAAATATTTCTGTTGTAGAGATAGTGGGCAGGTGTGGTGGCTCACGCCTGTAATCCCAACACTTTGGGTGGCCGATGAGGGTGTATTACTTGAGATCAGGAGTCTGAGAACAGCTTGGGCAACAAGTGAGATCCTGTCCCTACAACAAGTAAAAAAGATTAGCTGGATATGGTGGCACATGCTTGCAGTTCCAGCTACTTGACAGGCCGAGGTGGGAAGACTGCTTAAGCCTGGGAGGTTATGGCTGCAGCGAGCCATGATTGTGCCACTCTACTCCAGCCTGGCAACAGAGCAAGACCTTGTCTCAAAAAAAAAAAAAAAAAAAAAAAAAAGTAGCAGTTTTGGAGGCCAATTGATCTGAACTTAAATTCTAGAGATGATAATCAGAAATCCCAGAAGCATTGTTCTATTGGTTCTGTTAGACACCTTTGTTCTGTCAACAGCTGTAAGTGCGTTTATACCTGCTGTGAAAGCACATACTGTACCATGCTGGTGCTAAGGCACGGCAGTGAGCAGGACAGAGGAGCTCCCACCGTGGCCATAGACTTTCATCACCAAATCTCCTGAGTGTGTATTTACCGACTGCGTTCAGTGCCGACAGTGGTGGCGAAGCTGCTCGGTAGGTTCTGAATCACAGCGGAAACGTGGGGCTGGGGTGGTTTCAGTAAATAGAGTTGTCGTTGTGATTCCTGCAGGGAGACTCACACTGGGACTTGTTCTCCTCCTGGACATTTTGGGGGCTCCTCAGCATGGTCAGCAAGTCAGCCACGGGCGGAAGGGAGGCTTTCTCACAGCTCCCTTGTGCTTCCCACAGCCTTGCCAGCCGGGAATACAGAGGGGAAGGAGGAGGAGCTTAAGAGAGGCTACTGAACCCCAGTTGGCCATGGCCGAGGTGAGTTGAAGGCCACTCTGTCTTAACCGATTGGCCCCAAAGGCAGGGAAACTGACCTTCCTTTATGGCTGAGGTGAGTTGAAGTCCCTTCTGTGGGAATTGGTCATGCCCCCTGGCAGGAAGGTTGTTGGCCTTCCTTTGTGGCTGAGGTGAGTTGAAGACGGCTCTGTGTTAACTGGTCACCCCCATGGCCTTCCTTTGTTCTGGCCTCCCTGTCCCATGGTGGCTTCCGGGTGATCTTTTGAAAGGCAAGCTTGCATGCTGTCCCATGGTGGCTTCCGGGTGCTTTTCTGCTTGTACTTTTCTGGGCATCCCTATTGCTTACAGGATAAATTCCAGTTTTTTCAGCCTTCCTGTGTGGTCTGGGTTCTACCACCCTTTGCACTGTCGTCTGCCATTTCTCTAGGTAACCAGTACTCCCTTTGGTCTGGTAGTAAAACGTTATTCTGTAGTTTCCAGCAGCTTCCCTGCCTTTGTTCAGGTTGTGCCCTCTGCTGGAATCCCGTGCCCCTTTTCTGTCTGGTGATGTCTCACACCGCCTTTAAGACCCTGCTGAGCTCCCCGACTCTTCCCTAGGCAGTCAGCACTTTCCTGCTCTGGCCTTCCATAGCACCCCCTGCTGCCTCCACTGTAGCAGAGATCCACCTAGATACGGATGTTCCTGCCCATCTCTGTCAGCCCCACCCAAATTTCAAGTTCGGCCACATGCTCCTTGGGGACAGGAACTGATGGGGATTCATCTCTGGGTCCCCAGGGCCCAGCACAGGCCAGGCACGTAGGAAGCCTCATGAGGTGTTAGTTGAATGAATGAATGATGCATGAAACAATCTCTCTGTCTGGTAAATACCTGTTCATCCTCAGTAATCCAACTTGAATGACCTCCCTTTTAGAAAGCTTTCCCTGACCTCCCTCCATTCCTGCCACTATTTCTCACCTGCATTATCAAAGTGGCCTTTTTCCTTGACTCCCTGCTTCTGCCCTTCCCACCTTCTATCTTTTCCCACATAGCAGCAAGAGGAGAATGCTGTTTAGTATATGCTTAATTTAAAAAATATTTATTGCAAAATCACAGATGCAGAAACACACACACATCAAATGCATGACTTAATGAAGGTGAACACCACCTATATCAAGAGTGGGAATTTTTTTTGCCCCTCATCCCAGAAGTCCCTCATGGGCTCTGTCATAGCCCTCTCACATCTCCAATACCTGATTTTTTTTGGACAGTGTCTTGCTCCGTCACCCAGGCTGGAGTGCAGTGGCTGCTATCTCAGCTCACTGCAACCTCCACCTCCTGGGGTCAAGTGAGTCTCCTGTAATCCCAGCGCTTCGGAAGGCCGAGGCAGGCGATGACAAGGTCAGGAGATCGAGACCATCCTGGCCAACATAGTGAAACCCTGTCTCTACTAAAAATTCAAAAATCAGCCAGGTGTGGTAGCGTGCACCTGTAATCCCAGCTACTCAGGAGGCTGAGGCAGGAGAATTGCGGGCAGTCTGCCTGCCTCAGCCTCCCATAATGCTGGATTTATGGGTGTGAGCCACCGTACCTGGCCAATCAAAGCTCCTTGAAATGTAATGTCTCATGTAACTGTATTAAGAGGTAGGGTCCTTAAGAGATGATTGTCATGAAGGTTCTGCCTGTGTGAATGAATTCATTTATTTATGGACTAGTGGGTTATCATGAGAGTCGGTCTGTTGTAGAAGCCAGCTTGACATTGCTTCAGCTCCCTCGCCATGTTATGCCTTGCGCCCTCTTAGGGCTCTGCAGAGTCTCTGCCAGCAAGAGGACCCTCACCAGAGGCAGTCCATTGGCCTCAGGCTTCCCAGCCTCGAGAACTATAGGAAATACATTTCTTTTCTTTATACATTATCCAGTCTCAAGTATTCAGTTATAGCATCAGAAGACGGACTAATACTGTGTGACTTGGAGAAGGCGACTGTTTGGGCCTCGATCTGGTTTTCTGTAAATTGGGGACAATCCTGCCTCAAAGAGGGGTCGGGCAGTTCAGGGACTCGCTGCACCTGAAGTGTCGATTCCGTTGTCAGCATGCCAGAACCTCTTGGCCAAAGAAGGGCTTTTGCAGTCAGATGCCTGGAGCGTCGGCACGGGCAGTGTGAGCCAGAGTGGAATTGCCCCTTTGTCGAGCTCTCCTGTATGCTAAGCACTGTGCAGTCACCTCCCAGCAGTATTTCAGTTGCTTCTTGTGGCAGCCCCGATGAGATGGGGCTCGTTGGTCCCATTTCACTAGTGGAGTGGGAATCGGGGTCACAAGGGACATACGGCTTACTTGCCAGTAGTCATAAGTGAAGGTAATAGGGCCATATCTCAAACCCAAACTACAGAAAGGTGGTTTTCATTCTTCCTTAAAATGCGCCTGTGTGCGCATGTGCGTGTGTGCCTTTGCCCACATTGATGGAGATTTGGAAGAGACACACCAGGCACAGATTCACCTAGAGATGGGGTATGTGGGGGCAGGCTTTCATGTTTGATGGTCAGTACTCTCAAGTATTTGAACTTTTATCCTAAACACCCATTAATTGGCCATGTACAGTGGCTCATGCCTGTAATCCCAGCACATCAGGAGGCAGGGTCAGGAGGATCACTTGAGGCCAAGAGTTCAAGACCACGCTGGGCAACACAGCAAGACTCCTACTCTACCAAGAAAAAAAGTAGCTGGGTCTGGTGGCGTACGCCTGTAGTCCTAGCTACTTGGAGGCTGAGGCAAGAGTGCTTGAGCCCAGGAGGTTGAGGCTGTGATTGTGACTCTGCACTCAAACCTGAGCAACAGACAGAATGAGACACTGTTTCTCTCTCCCTGTCTCTCTCTGTGTATGTATTATATATTATATGTGTATATATATAACATATACACACACAGGTAATTATAGTAAACACTTATTAACTAGGAAGGTTTTAAAATCAGGAAAGATGATGTCACTAAAAGTTGGACAGCCAGATAGGAGCCGTTGGTAGTCATGGGGCCTAAAGTGGACCTGGTACATCTGTGAGGGGGTCTTTCCCCCAGAAGCTGTACTGACTCCAATCAGGCCTCTGCTCTCCTGACCAGCTCACAGGAAATGCACGGGCCAGGGGAGCAGCCAGATGACACTGCACAGGGGAGAACGTGGGACCTCAAATCAGGAGCGTGGAGGAGGAAGAAGGCACAGGGGTTCAGCTGTAGATTTTAAAACCTCAGAGCCACATCAGTTATGTGCAGGGCATGGGCCCCCTTGAATTCTGATTCAGACAAGCTAGCTAGAAAGACAGGCCACTGAGACATCAGCCTAATCTGGATACAGATTTTGAGTGTGGTCTGGGTGTTCAGTGACTAGGGAGTCACTGTTCATACTGAAGTATTCACAGGTGAAATCAGGTGACCCCTGGGTGATAGGCCCCATCTGCTGTGTTAATTACATACACCTCCCTACTTGTATGTATGTTTGAAAATTTACAAAACCAAATCTTGAATGAACACTAAAAAAAGCAAAAGTGTGAAATAAACAGACTTTTAGGATCAGGCAGACCTGGGCTGTGTCCCGCCTGTGTTCACTTTGGTTGACATTCCGTCCCCTGGTCAAGACTCCCCTTTTCCGTGCCTACAAAATTCAGGGGTTTCCAATCCCTCCTCAAGATTCTTGTGAGGCTGAGGATGGGATAGTTTTTGCCAAAGGCCTAGCAGATTGAGGGTTGGGGTGCCCTGAGTGAAGTGTTAGACTCCTCCCTGACCCTGGCCCCTGAGTGACCAATAGTACATTGTGTTTCAGGAATTTGTGACCCTCAAGGACGTCGCCATGGACTTTGCCTTGGAAGATTGGGAGCAGTTCGGGCTAGACCAGGGGGACCTGTTCTGGGACACAGCATTGGAGAACTACCAGAACCTCTTCCTGCTGAGTGAGTGTCGCCTGTCCCCAGGGGCCTGCTCACTGCCCTGCTTGGTGATCACCTGTGCCCTCCACCACCCACAGGGTGAAATCCTGGCTCCTGGGCTCCTCAGAATCAGCATGACCTAGCCCAGCAGTTCTCAGCTGGCGCTGGGTGGAGACGGTTCTGATTGTTACTCCTTGGGCCAGCAGTGTGTGGCTAGCATGTAGCCGGTGGAGCCCAGGGGTGCTGCCACACATCCTGCAATGCACAGGACAGCCCATAACCAAGGACAGGCCCACCCCAGTGGCAGTAGTGCTAAGCCTGGGAAACCCTGCTCTCGCCCCTGTCTGCCTCCCAGCCTCATCCTCACCACTGTCCTAATTGTCATTATAGTCAGTCTTTCTTCAAGCTGATACTTCAGGGTCTTCCAGTTGCCCTCCCTTCTGCCTAAGTGGGTCTCCTCACCTTTTCCAAGTTGAAACTGGGACCCTGTTAGAACTCCGTACCTCCTCTCCCACTTGTCTTGTACGTCGTTCCATCACATTCTAAATACTATTTTATCATCCAGAACGGGTGCTGTGTGAGGACAGGACGTGTCCCCAGTGTTTAGAACAAACAGTACCTGCTCTAGGGCCCAGCCGACAGCTCTAAATGAATGAATGATTGAGTAGAGCTCTTAGGACTTGCTCGTTCAATCCTCCAGTCACCCCATGAAGAAGCTGGGTTGTTTCTCTTTTGCCGATTGGTCTGAAACTGAGGTTAAAAGAGAGGCAGTCACCTTCCAAGTTAAGTCAGTGTCCCCAGGACCACCCGCAGATTCAGTGATTCACTAGGATTCCCAGGACTCATCCTTTAGTTAGACTCACAGCTGTGACTTACTACAGTGAAAGGATTCAGAGCACAGTCAGCAAGGGGAGAAGGTACATCGGGCAAAGTCCAAGGAAGCAGGCACAAGCTTCCAGAATTCTTTCTCAGGGAAGTCACATGGGACATGCTTAACTCCCCCAGCAATATTGTAGAATGCTGTCCACCAGGGAAGCTCATCACAGACTCAGTGCCAGGGTTTTTACTGGGGGCTGATCATGTGGGCGCCTCTGCCTGGCACATACCAAAATTCCAGACTCCCAGAAGGAAAGCAGGTGTAAGCCACAGTGTGGTGTTGGCTGGGCCCTGTTCCTCCTGGAGGCTCCAGCCCAGCATCCTTCCTGGCCCATTGCCAGCTTCTGGAGGTCGCCTGTATTGCTTTGACTAGCAGCTAGCAGTGGTGTTTTCTCCACTGTAGCCTGTATCCCCCTGGATGATGACTCTGGCCCCTTCCATGGGGAAGCTTGTGGAGGGTAGGGCTCAGGACTGCTTGGGCTCTGGGACCCTGACATCTTCTGTCCCTGGCCCATGGAGGCCTTGGGCAATGTGTGGCCCATGGGCGAGTGAGTGAATCCTGAATGGCGAAGGAAGCATGTGCCTCTCTACCTGGCAGATTCTGCCCATTGAAGAGCTGTCACAAGTCCTTTGTGTCCCCAGTCCCAGCTGTCACCCTGGATTGTGACTGTTTGGCTCCCTCTCTGTCACTGGACTGGGGAAGCTACAGGACAGGCATCCCCAGAGTTGCCCAGTGCAGCACCTGGCCCACAGGAGCCCTGTGCAGCATAAAGCACAGAAAAGTCAGGAGAGCCAGGAGGTTCACTGAGTGGACGGCCCTTCATGTCCTGGTTGGATGAATATGCTGTTCTCTCCTTGCAGATCCCCCAAGACCCAACCTGACCTCCCACGCAGATGGCAGTGAAGATCTGGAGCCTCTGGCACGAGGAAGCCCAGAAGCAATGGGCCCTGGTGAGTGGCTGGAGATGGGCCCCTTGCGTACCTCTGTCCTCCAGACCGCCGTCCTGGGGCTGTGGCCAGTCTCTAACACGTCCACCCAGACATTATAGCACTCAGCTTCAGGACTTCACTTAGCCACTTGCTGGCTTCCGTCTGTCGTCCTGGCAGCTGGCGCGGACCAGGACATGTTTATAGACCCTCACTCTCGTGTCTCCACCTTGCCCTCAGCACAGGGCTATCCTGGCGCTTCTTCACATCTCTTCCTCTTTCCTTCCAAGACTCAACAAGGGGATGCCCTTCACTTTCTGAGCTGGTCTCTCTGCTTTCCTGCCTTGTGCCCCCTGAGTGTGCTGACCCTCATTCTACTTCTTTTACCTCCCTTTTTGCAGGCCCATTTTTCCTTCCTAGCCCTGGGGCACAGCAGATGGCCACATCAGGGAGTAACTTAAGCCCAGGCCTGAATATTGCCAAGAGCATCTGCCGTCCCATCTCTCAAGCTGGGGTTCCTCCAGGTGGATCAGGTTAGGTGGTGAGGATTCCTGGGGCATTACCCGTGGTGGAGATGTCTCCAGTCGGAGAAAGCAGAGGCAGCTGCCTTGCCTGCTGTGGGAGGCTTCTCTTATTGTTTCTTTACTGCATGAGAAGCAGGGCCCTAAACCAGAGAGCACAGGAGTCTCAGGCTGCAGTTCCTTCCTGGCTCACCAGCCTCAAGCTCGTGAACATGAGGCCTCTGCAGCCCCCTCTTCAGCACATCAGTGTTCTTTGTAGGTGACTAAGCCATGCACAGGCTCCCACAACCTCTGCTTTCTGTTTCTGTCACCTCAGAATATTGGCTGTTTCCAAGCATAGGTAGCCATGCCTTTACTAACAAATGTGCCTCCATATCCTCTAGTAGTGACACTTGAGTTGCGTAGTTATCACAAAAGTGTCTTTCCCCTTTAACAGCATGTCTGTCTAGGAAGCAGAGCTTAGCGGATTCACCCTTATTCGCAGCTCCTGACATCATGCTTGGTACATAAGGGGTGCCTATTGTCTGCTGATGCATTCCAGGCAGAGGGAACAAGCTGAGCACAGGTGTGGTGAGGAGAGTGAGCCAGATATCTGTGGGAGACACAAGAGCAGAGGCAAAGGTGACAATTCAGAGCAAGATGTGGTTTTCGAAGGCTTTCATTTGCAAGTTTTAATTCCAGGCAGAGACTTTAAGCAGTCTCATAGATACTCAGATGGTGAGCCAAGAATTGCAGAAGGGACAGGCTGGAAAAAGTGTGATGCTGGAGGAGAGGAGAGACTGGGAGACGAGGCATATGGCAGAGCAATGACATTCATGTTGTGTGAAGGGTCCCAGAGAGTGTACAGCTTGGCAGTTAAGATTACGGGGGCCAGGTGTGGTAGCTCATACCTGTAATCCCACCACTTTGGGAGGCCAAGGCAGGCAATCACTTGAGGTCAGGAGTTTGAGACCAGCCTGGCCAACATGTCAAAACCCTGTCTCTACTAAAAATTCAAAAACTAACTGGGCATGGTGATGGGTGCCTGCAGTTCCAGCTACTCGGGAGGCTGAGGCACAAGAATCACTTGAACGGGAGGCAGGGGTTGCAGTGAGCTGAGATCGCACCACTGTACTCCAGCCTGGGTAACAGAGCGAAAGTCAGGCTCAAGAAAAAACACACACACACACACACACACACACACACACACACAAACACAAACACATGTTGATCTAGTCAGAGGGGTTGAACTCTCACTCTGCTGTTCACTTAGGTATAAGAAAGCAGAAACGTGGCTGGGCACGGTGGCTCACGCCTGTAATCCCAGCACTTTGGGAGGCTGAGGTGGGTGTATCACGAGGTCAGGAGATTGAGACCATCCTGGCCAACGTGGTGAAACCCTGTCTACTAAAAATACAAAAAGAATTAGCTGGGTGTGGTGGCATGTGTCTGTAGTCCCAGCTACTCAGGAGGCTGAGGCAGGAGAATAGCTCAAACCCAGGAGGCAGAGATTCCAGTGAGCTGAGATCACGCCACTGCACTTCAGCCTGGGTGACAGTGCAAGACTCTGTCTCAAAAAAAAAAACAAACAGAGATGTGCCTACCCTACAGGGGGTTGTTGAGGGTAACAGAGTGTGCCTGAGGCACTCCTGCCTGTGAGCAAGCATGCCTTGAATGGGAATTACTCTGTCCTGTGAACCTTTCCCATGGCTGCCTCTGTGGCAGTAGATGGATAAGCTGTGGAAGGTGCCCCTTAAAGGGCTTACCTTCTGGTCAGGGGTCAGACCCTTTCATAACCTGTTACAGTAGAGGATGGTAGGTGCTCAGCTGTTTTTTAGAGAATACAGGGCAAGGGACTTAAAGCAGAATGGAGATGGGGTTGTCAGGGGAGCCTCTCAGAGGAGGGTGATACTCAAGCTGGGTGGTAAAAGACTTAGGGGAGTTAGACCAGGAAGTGCAGTCCACCATGAGGGACCATTAAAGGCACAGAGGAGAAAGTCTTGTAGATTTAGGGAACCGTAAGAGTTCTATGAGGTCAGCACAAAGAACGCTGGACTAATACACTCATTTCTCTTCTATAGGTAGGAAGCCATGGAAGGGTTTAATCTGAGGAGTGACGTAGTCAGATCCTTTAGGACTAGTGTGGGAGACTAGAGAGAGAAACAGACAGGAGGCCAACAAGCAGCCTGGAGTCAGATGGAGTCTTGATAAAGAGAGGAGAGGAAGTGGGTTGAGACATTTTGATAGAGACCAAATGAATAAACAGTGCCAAGTTGAGGGAGAGGTGGGGAGGAGGTTGACTCCTAGGATTCTAGTATGGAGAACTGCATGGGTGGTGGAGTGGAGGGGCAGGGTGTCATCTGGATAGAGGATGCAGGATATGAGGAGGAAGATTTTTTTTGAGTGGAGAGTGGAAGGAGATGAGTCCAGGAGACTTTGGGGAACTTGGTCAGTCACATAGGTGTGAGGGTAATGGTAGAGTCTCCTTCCTCGTTGAACCCCTGTGGTTTCCCAGCTCCCCTCTTGATCCTCCTGGGAATGGGCTCTCTCTGTTTTCTGTGATGCCAGTTCCACATAGGTCACCCCTTTGGGTCCCTTGATGGACAGGCTGGACTCAAGGTCTATCACCCCTACTTGCTCTTGTCTGTGTTCTCGCCCTTGGTGAACAGGAGACATTTGCACTTGCTCTTTCAGATTTGGCTGAGACCACCACGAACTCTCTGATGCAGGATTTCTTGGAAGAAGGACTCTCCCAGGAGATTATAGAGATGATTTCCAAGGATGGCTTCTGGAACTCCAATTTTGGAGAAACCTGTATAGAGGACAGCTGGTTAGATAGTTTGCTAGGAGATCCAGAAGGTCTTCTGAGGTCTGATTTTGCTACCAACAGGGAAAGTCCCACAGAATGTGAGAGTCAGGAATTAAAGAGAGGCTTCAGTCCTGTGTCCACCCTTTCCACGGGAGAAGATAACATGATGCATGTTTCTGAGAAGAGCATCACACCAGCTGAATCTAAGGAACACAGGGATGAGTTTGGCTCCTTGGAACACAGCCAGCAGGATTCTGTTCCGGAAGGGGATAAACCATATAAATGTAGTGAATGTGGAAAAAGCTTCAGTGGGAGTTACCATCTTATCCAGCACTGGATTACTCATACTAGGGAGAAACCCACTGTGCATCAAGAGTGTGAGCAAGGTTTCAATCAGAATGCTTCCTTTTCTGTGTATCCAAAAAGCCACACAGGCTACAAATCCTATGTGTGTAATGAATATGGGACAACTTTTAGTGAGAGTGCATACCTGTGGCATCAGAAAACTCGCCCTGGAGAAGAACCATCTAAGAGTCAAGACACTGACCACCCACCCAGTCATGCCACACAGCCTGTTGAGCATCAGAAAACTCACAGAGGAAGTAAGTCCTACAGCTGTAGCGAATGTGGCAAGACTTTCACCCGGATCCTTCATCTTACTCAGCACCAGAAGAACCACACTCGGAAACGCTATGAATGTGCCAAATGTCAGGCGTCCTTCAAGTTTAGAAAACACCTCGTCCAACATCAGAAAATTCACGCTGCAAAAACTACCTCTGAGTGTCAGGAGTGTGGGAAGGTTTTTAGGCGGAGTTTGCTGCTCATTGAACACCGGGCTGTTCACACTGGAGAGAAGCCTTATAAGTGTAACGAATGTGGGAAATCCTTCAGCCATACCTCAACGCTAAAGATCCATCAGAGAGTTCACAGTGGAGAGAAACCTTACAAATGCAGTGAGTGTGGGAAAGCTTTCTGCCGGAACACTCACCTTAGTGAACATCAGCGAATTCATACAGGCTACAGACCCCACAAATGTCAGGAATGTGTCAGGAGTTTCAGGCGGCCCTCACATCTAATGCAACATCAGGCCATTCATGCTGCAGAAAAGCCCTATAGCTGCACTGAATGCAAGGAGACTTTCAGCCATAACAGTCAACTTGTGCAGCACCAGAAAATGCACACTGTCAAAACCCCATATGAATGTCAGGAGTGCGGAGAACGCTTCATTTGCAGCTCAACCCTGAAGTGCCACCAGAGTGTTCACACCAGAGAAAAACAAGGGTTTGTTTTGAGTGGGAAGATCTTGGTTCAGAACCCAGCACAGACAGAGAAGTGCTTTAAGTGTAACAAATGTGAGAAATCCTTTAGCTGCAGCAAATACCTAACTCAGCATGAGAGGATTCACACCAGGGTGAAGCCCTTTAAGTGTGACCAGTGTGGGAAAGCCTTTGGCCAAAGTACTCAGCTCATTCGCCATCAAAGAATCCACTTTAGGGTGAGGCGGTCTAAATGGGGTGAACAAGGGAAAGCCATCAGCAGTGGCTCCCTTATCAAACTTCAGTCCTCTCTCACCCAGGAGTACCCTTTTAAATGTGATGAATGCGGAAGGACCTTCAGCCAAAGTGCACGCCTCTCAAAACATCAGTTAATTCACACTGGAGAGAACCCCTTTAAATGTAGCATGTGTGACAGAGTCTTCAGCCAGAGAAACTACCTTGTTCAGCATGAGAGAACTCATGGCAGAAAGAAGCCCTTCCAGTGTAATAAATGCGGGAAAACGTTCCATCAGAGCTCATGCCTTTCTAAGCATCAGAGAGTTCACTCAGGTGAGAAGCGCTATGTATGTGACTACTGTGGGAAGGCCTTTGGCCTGAATGCTGAGCTTGTCCGCCACCAGAGAATTCACACTGGAGAAAAGCCTTATGTGTGTCAGGAATGTGGGAAAGCCTTCACCCAGAGCTCATGCCTTTCTATTCACCAGAGAGTTCACACCGGGGAGAAGCCCTATGTATGTGATGAATGTGGGAAAACTTTTGCCCAGAAAGCAAATCTAACACAGCACCAGAGAATGCACACTGGGGAGAAGCCTTACTCCTGTTACGTGTGTGGCAAAGCTTTTGGGCTCAGTGCTCATCTCAGCCAGCACCTGAGAGTTCACACCCAGGGGACACTTTATCAGTGTCAACATTGCCAGAAAACCTTTCAGTGCCACTCGAGTCTCAACCGCCATCAGCGTGTACATATCAGGCAGCAATACTGCCTGTAGCCGTTGGGTGGTAGCAGAGTCCCAGAATATGAGACCGTGTTCGTTGGATGTCGAAAGTTGGAAACCATCCCATTGCAAGTTTTCCTCCAAATAATACATCTAAAGACTGATTAAAAAGTTTGTGCACACGAGGGGCCACAGTGGCTCTGGCCAGTTGTTCTGGTGCTTGAGGAGGTGAGACCATGAGTTCAAGGCCAACCTGAGCAAAGTTACATGCTCTCATTGATTGACAAAAAAAAAAAAGAAGTTTGTGCACACGAGTTTCATTATGACAATGAAAACACAAAAACGGAGAAGCTGTACAATGTCAGGATTCAGAGGTAGGCTCTGGAGCCAGTCTACCTCAGTTAAATCCCACCTCTGTCATCTGCTACCTAAGTGACCTTGAGAAAGTTAGAAAAATCTCTCAGGGCCTCAGTGTCCTCATCTGTAAAATGGGCATCACCTACCTCAGAGGGCTTTTTTGAGGATTAAATCAATAAATGTGAAGCACTTAGAACTGATGCCCAGCACATGAGGGCTCACCAGGTATGAGCCACAAATACACGTCAGCTATAGCACAAATAGACTCGTGTTACGGGAGGAAAGGAAGCAGTAATTTCTCTGTTTACTGTAGTTAATGTTCTTGATAGCTTTTAATTTAAGTTTTCCTTTGTTAAGGTTTTTCTCCAGCACCTTACTCTTCTTAAATGCCTGGACTTTTTTGTCCCTTCATCTCTCTTTCCTGGTTTTTTTTCTTAACCCCCAGAAAGCTAAGAAGAACATGTAAACACCAAACCTCAACTGGCTAAAACCTTCCACTCCTAACCTCCCAAGCCTCTCACTCAAAGGGGACATGCTGCCTCTTCCTATGACCCTCCTCCACGTAACAGTCTTGGTTACGCAATAGGACACCCAATTTGTTGTGGGAGTTGACACCAAAACACAGCTGGATTTCATCAGGAAAGCTGCGTGGATCAAGGTGTTAACCGCCTATGAAACACAACCCATATGGAAGACGTGCTGGGGGGTCAAGCCTGTGGTGTGCAGAGGTGACTGCTGGGCTGTCATCATTCACCATTTATCCAAGATGGCCACTCACCTGGCAATTTGCCAGGCTTGGGGGCAGGTAATATCAGTACACTAGGCACTGCTCCTGCTCTGAAGCTTCCATCTGGAATCAGGGAGATGAATGAACCTATTTTCATAGACGATTGCTGTTAATTGACAAGTGACATCTTAAAAATGCCACATTCCCTCATATCACAGTTCTGGGATTACCAGGGATTGTTGGAGAGTTCAGTGAGATGGGACCACACAGCCAGTTCCCTCCTGACAGTTTTGTTAGCTCGGGGCTTTTGTGCCCTACCACTAAGTGGCTCAGTCACACATTTGCTGAAACATAGTAGTCTTATGGAAAGCACTGGGCACTGATACTTCGAATATCTTTCATATTTTAGGCGCTTAAAATGGTTAGGGGGTAAGTGCTCTGTACACTCAGGCTTTTCAAGTCTTGCACCTAGAGTTCTGCTGGTTTTGTTAAACTTGGTTAAAACTGGGAACCTATTGGCTAACCCCAATATACTGTTTTTCAAATGGCTGCACCATTTCAACTTGTACATGGTTCCTGTCCTCTGGAGCTCTGCCTCGTCTAGGAGACGGGCATGTTAAATACCAAGAGAGTGTACAAAGTGTTGCAGACCGGAACACAAAGGGGACTCTGGAAAATTGGCAGCTACTGGGGGTTGAGGGCAGCGTCTCTGAATCAAGTCACCTCTGTTGCTTCGGGCCAGGGTAGAAACGCCCTCCATGTGTGCAGGTTTGTTGGTTCTCTGATTAAAATTTTGAGTCAAAGCATTGGTTCCTTCTCAGCCTGCTGCCATGCAGCCAGGCATCAGTCCCTGCCTGCCAGGCCTCACATCTTCGTGGAGAGGGCTTCTGATGGCAATCATTGCCCAGTAAGAGGGAGCAGCTGAGTGTTTCCCCCATATCTGAGTGGAGCATGGGCCACTGAGGAGGCACACAAGTTCAGCTGATGCATCCTCAGATGCATCAACAAACACTTTTCAGTCTGTGGTGTGAGCCTGGGTAACAAGGAGTGTGCACAGGCAGCTGCAGTTCAATCCTCTCCTTACAGACACGTCAGGTCTCAGGCTTGGCCGGTGTTTCTAATTAGCATCTAATAATATAACTGCTTTTCTCCCCATCTTTCGTTTAGTGATGAGATACTAGTTTCCTGCTCTTAGTAGGAATTGAAAGTTTTATTATAAAGTTAGTTGATGGGGCCCAGTGTGTGGCTCATGCTTGTAATTCCAGCCCTTTGGGAAGCCTAGGTGGGAAGATGACTTGAGCCCAGGGGTTCGAGACCAGCTTGGGTAACATGGTGAAACCCTGTCCCTACAAAATATGCACCAGTTAGCTGGGTGGTGGCCACTGAACAATCACTTAAAGATGATTAAAATGGGGCTGGGCATGGTGGCTCATGTCTGTAATCCTAGCACTTTGGGAGGCAGAGGTGGGTGGATCACCTGAGGTCGGGAGTTCAAGACCAGCCTGACCAACACGGAGAAACCCCGTCTCTACTAGAAATTTAAAAAAAAATTAGCCGGGTGAGGTGGCGTATGCCTATAATCCCAGCTACTCAGGAGGCTGAGGTTGTGGTGAGCTGAGATCGTGCCATTGCACTCCAGCCTAGGCAGCAAGAGCAAAACTCCATCTCAGAAAAAAAAAAAAAAATGGCAAATTGTATGTTTTGCATGTTTTTACCACAATTAAAAAACATAAATTACTACATTTTAAAGTTTGTATGGTAGGCTGGGTGTGGTGGCTCACACCTGTAATCCCAGCACTTTGGAAAGCTGAGATGGGTGGATTGCTTGAGCTCAGGAGTTTGAGACCTGCCTGAGCAGCATGGTGAAACCCCATCTGTACAAAAAATAGTAACAGCCAGGTGTGGTGACACATGCCTGCAGTCAAGCTGCTAGGGAGGCTGAAGTGGGAGAGTCACGAGCCTGGGAGGTTGAGGCTGCAGTAAGCTGTGATCACACCACTACACTCTTGCTTGGGTGACAGATCAAGACCCTGTCTCCAAATAAAGGAAAAAAATGTGATTGGAAAAAGAAATGAGCTACAGGAGCCTAAACCAAGCAAGGCTAAGATGGCAAAACCCAGCATTTAGGAGGCTGATAGGAATACAAGCTAAAACGAGGTCAAGGTATAAAGCAGCAATAAAGTCTTTGGGCCAAGCTCTACCCCAGCACTTCAGAGGTGGGGGACCCCTTGTCAGAACTGATACCCCAGCTAAATTTCAGCTTGTCCTGTGGAAGCGCTGGAGACTAAGGTCAGTCAGGGTAAACAGCCCTGTCAACATACGTAACCAACCTCATAACCCTGGGTACCTAGGTGTGGGTGAGCGTCTCTGGCAGTACTTCGTGTGTTGTCACACATCATTGCTGGGTGTGTTAAGTACTCTCCATGTGCTCTACTGGCAGAGGACACCCGGAAGCTCAGGCCTGGTCTCTCCTAGACTCCATCCTATGCACCTTTTGCATTGCTGATTTTAATCTCTATTCTTTAGCTATAATCCATGCAACCAAGAGCCCTTCTAATGAATTACTGAACCTGAGGGTCCCCTGCCTCCTCTAAGCCTCAGTTTCTCCAATGGACTCAAGAATGATATTCGGTTTAAGGATTCTCAAAACGAACATCGGCGCTTTCTGCCCACACCGGCTTCACCGGCTCAATTCTCTAATAACCACTTCCCTTCTCGCCTACTCCAGCCAGTCCTTGCGCTGACTTGGCTCCAGGCCACGCCCTAGCCCCGGCCCCACTGCCTCTAACCCGGTCCCCTTACCCGGTCTGGCTGCGAGCCAGCCGCACCCCTGCAGCCTCAGGGCCGCCGCCAGATTCTCGAGCCCCTCTAATCCTCTCGGTGGCCTAAATCCCCGACTGCTCAGGGCCACTCTTCAGGCCAAAATGGGGAGGGCAAGTGATGAGTGTCACTAGACGGTCGGGCCCCCAGGTACCTGGCAACTGGGGCGTTGGACTCGGTCCTCCCAGGCGAAGCTCGCTCCCCATCAGCATCCCTATGTTGGTGGCGAAGCTGCCCCAGCCCCCACGGATGCTTCCGCGCCTGTCAAACTCCGGGATGAACTACCCTTCCCAGAGTCCCGCGGGAGCTCGGGCTCTTTAGGGTGACGGTCCTCTGATGGCAGATGCGGGAACATCCCTGGCGTCAGGCAGCCCTCGCGTGGGGCGCATGAAGCCACGGCTTCCTCTGACCTCGATAGGCGGGGTGGAGAAGGCGGCCCGCGCGTCTATTTCCTAGCGGCCAATCGCAGGATACGTTCTGTAAGCCCCGCCCCCTGCTTCAGTGCGGGCGGCTTTCGTCTCCAAGGCAACTGTCAACTCTGGAAACGCCTTTCTCCACCGCCACTGTCTACCCCGCAGGCGGGGCCGCCCATTACCAGAGCCTTTAAGCGGTATGGGTGCTGGACAAACAGCGTGATCGGGTCGTAAAACTTGATGGGAAACGAATGTTAGAGCACAGGGCTGGGCGGTACTCAAAGAGTTGATATGAGGGAAGGTTTCTCAAAAAAGGGAGACTTTAAAAATTTATTTGTATTTTTTACTTTAATTTTTTCGAGATGGAGTCCAGCCCAGGCGTGATCTCGGCTCACTGCAACCTCTGCCTCCCGGGTGCAGATGATTCTCCTACCTCAGCCTCCCGAGTAGCTGGGATTACAGGCGCCTGCCACCATGCTTGGCTAATTTTTTTGTATTTTTAGTAGAGACGGGGTTTCACCCTGTTGGCCAGGCTGGTCGCGAACTCCTAACCTCAGGTGATCCACCCGTCTTGGCCTCCCAAAGTGCTGGGATAAGAGGTGCTCGCCACCGCTCAGGGCCTAGGAAGTGGCTTTTGAATAAGGCTTTGAGGGATGAGCAGGAGGTCGCCAGGAAGAGAAGGGAAAATACACTAATTTAGAGATCTGGCCAAAATTTAAAGTCTTAATGAGGGTGTGGGGAAACTGCCATTCTCCTACCCTGCTGGTAGGGAGAGGAATGTCTTCAGCCTTTAAGGAAGTAAATCAGTCATAAAGTGGGTGACTGTTTCCTGAGAACCTACGGTATACCGGGCAGTGCGCCAGATGCTAGGAATACAGCAGGGAAAGACATACAGGGGGCAGGCAGTAACCACGAGACATATGATTGGAAATTAGAAGTGCTGTGAAGTAGGCCAGCCACGGTGGCTCACACACACCAATAATTCCAGCACTTTGGGAGGCCAAGGTGGCTGGATCACTTGAGGCCAGGAGTTCGAGACCAGCCTGGCCAACAGGTGAAATCCATCTTTACTAAAATTATAAAAATTAGCTAGGTGTAGTGTCAGGAGCCTATAATCCCAACTATTCAGGAGGCTGAGGCACGAGAATCACTTGAACCTGGGAGGCAGAGATTGTAGTGAGCCGAGATGGTGATACTGCACTGCAGGCTGGGCCAGAGAACGAGACTCCGTCAATCAATCAATCAATCAATCAATTAATGCATGCTGTGAAGTAAACAGGCAGGGGCTGAGATGGGAATGAAGGAGGGACTGTGGGATCAAGAAACATAATTCTTTGAGAACATAATGGGAAATAATAAATAGTATCAACCTCAAGAGAACTGTAGAGAAATACTATGAATTGCAGCTGGAATGTGCCCTGAATGTACATATCTTCTTCCTGGTGTTTGTGACAATTTGAGCTGGGGTTTTCTTTTACTCACAGCCGAAGGCATCCTGACGTATTAGCATAAACAAGATGAGTGTCCTTCTTTTGGTGCGTTTAGCTACTCAAGCCCATAAATTATCTTTTGCATTTGAGCTGTGTGAGAAGTGGTCAAGTTCAGCATTTAAAGAAAGAGTTGAGAGATATACTGAATGGGAGAGACTGGTAGAAGAAAGATGCCTTCTTTCTGTTGAGGTTCTAAGGTGAAAGGAGATAAGCCTGGAGCTGCTGGTGTCCAACCTGCCACCGGGGGGGGAGAACCTGCCAGAAAATGAACCTAACTGAAAAAGCTTAGCTAAGAGAAGGAGTGACCGACCAGATGATTGACATGTCATTTAAACACCTGGATCCATCTGTTCCTGAAGGCAAAACTGTTCAATGACATAGGCTAACAAATTCTCTTTCAACAAATAGAATACTCTTGGCTGGAAATAAATCTCTACCTCATACCAGAAATTATTTAAAAATTAGGATGGATCAAAGTTTTAACTGGGAAAAAAATAATAAAAGTACTAGAATAAAATATAGCAGAACTTTTTTTTTCATAATGTTGGGGGTGAGGACAGCCTTTGTTAGTGTGATAGTAGGTCCAAGAACTACAAAGGAAAATACAGACAGATTTAAATACCTAAAAATTTAATAACTCTATATAACAAACATAAAATTGAAAGAGAAATAACTGGGCGAAATATTACTCACTTATATACCAAAGTGTTAATATACATGGTATATATAAGGACTTGCAAACAAACCAAACCAAAACAACACATAGGACTTGCAATTATAACTCAATATAAAAAGGTTGCCCAATTAAAAATGGGCAAAATACATAAATAGGCAATTCACAGAATACGAAACATGAATAAATGCATAAAAAGATCATTAATCTCAAAATAAGATCATCAATCTTATGACCAAGGATATTTTTACCTATCAGATTAAAGTTGCTTCAAAAAATGACTAATACCAAGTATTGGAGAAAGAAGTAAAGGAACAGAGAAATAGGCACTCATGTACACTTCCAGGAGTCGTGTAAATTGTTTCACCCCTTTTGGAGGACTATTTAGCAATAACCATGAAAAATTTAAATGTAAATGTTCTATGATCCCACAAGTATACTTGTAGGAATTCATTTTGTACGTATGTTAAATAATAAATATCCAATGATGGAAAAGAAAATGGAAACAAGTTAAATGTCCATTAATAGGGATTGGTTAAACAAATTAAAGAAGCCCTAGCATGAAATATTATGCAGCTGTGAAAAATGAAGATACCTATGTGTATATATATATTTTTGTGTAATATGTACAATGTATATATTTTGCATTATTTGTGAAAGTATCCACATTCCATCAAATGAGTAACTTCTTAAAATTATGTTTGCATGTGATTATGCCATACAAATGTGAATATATATATATACACACATATATAATCAGTTTCATAAAAACAGAAAGGGAGATTCATATTTACAGAAACACTATATTTGGAATGAAGTTTTTTTTTTTTGAGATGACTTCAGTTTTGTTGTCCAGGCTGGGGTGCAATTGTGCGACCTTGACTCACTACAACCTCTGCCTCCTGGGTTCAAGTGATTCTCCTACCTCAGCCTCCCAAGTAGCTGAGATTAAGGCATGCCCCACCACACTGGGCTAATTATTATTATTATTATTATTATTATTATTTTGAGATGGAGTCTCATTCTGCAGCCCAGACTGGAGTGCAGTGGCGTGATCTCAGCTCACTGCAATCCCTGCCTCCCGGGTCCTGGTTCAAGCAATTCTGCTGCCTCAGCCTCCCAAGTAGCTGGGATTACAGGTGCATGCCACCACGCTCAGCTAATTTTTGTGTTTTTAGTAGAGCTGGGGTTTTACCATGTTGGCCAAGCTGGTCTTGAATTCCTAACCTTGTGATCCACCCACCTTGGCCTCCCAAAGTGCTGGGATTACAGGCATGAGCCACAGCGCCTGGCCCAGGCTAATTATTTTTATTTTTAGTAGAGATGAGTTTCACCATGTTGGCCAGGCTGGTCTCGAAATCCTGACGTCAGGTGATCCACCCGCTTTGGCCTCCTAAAGTACTAGGATTACAGGCATGAACCACCACACCCAGCCCGGAACAAAGATTTACAGAGCATAAAAGATTTCTTCATTTTTGTATCATCTGAATTATTCACAAAGAATGTTACTTCAATTATGAAAGAAGGCACAAAAGAGAAATACCCTAGGCAAAGACTTTAAAACATGATAATAGCACAGACGAGGGCTAGTAAGACACAGCTCCATATACTGACAGAAGTTCCAGCTGATAAAGAACTTCTGGCAACCCATTGGCAACATGCTCGAGGTCACAGAAATCTCTCCCTGTGACCCCATGACCTCACTGCCAGGATTTCGCCTGGGAAATGGTAAGGTGCTCATCCCTTTCATCAAAGGGATGTTCCATACTACATATGTAAAAGCCAAAAGCTAGAAACAACCAAAACATCCAACAGGGAATGGATAATATGTTGGCTGAATAAACATAAACTACATGAAGATGTAAAACATCAGGTTGTTGAAAGTTACTGAATGATATGTTAAATAGTTGACACCCATTGCTATAAAAACGTAACGCGGCTGGGCGCGGTGGCTCAAGCCTGTAATCCCAGCACTTTGGGAGGCCGAGGCAGGTGGATCACGAGGTCAAGAGATCGAGACCATCCTGGTCAATTTGGTGAAACCCCGTCTCTACTGAAAATGCAAAAAATTAGCTGGGCATGGTGGCGTGTGCCTGTAATCCCAGCTACTCAGGAGGCTGAGGAAGGAGAATTGCCTGAACCCAGGAGGCGGAGGTTGCGGTGAGCCGAGATCGCGCCATTGCACTCCAGCCTGGGTAACAAGAGCGAAACTCCGTCTCAAAAAAAAACAAAAAAAAATAAACAAAAACGTAACGCATCCATGGTCCTCACACCCAGCTATGGCAGGTAGGTTAAGTGTAGCACTTTGGAGAGCAGTATAGCAATATGTATGAGGAATCAGGAAAGTGGCTGAAGCCTTGATTCCCATCATTGCCATTCTGGGAATTTTACTTTGAGGGATAATCACCTCAAAGGGAGAGAGGAAGTGAGCATGGAAATTTCATTATAACATTATTTGTTCTGAGTGTATTAGGTGAGAATATAAACAATTTTAGAAAAAAAAATCCAACATTATTTTTAATTGGGATAATTGGTGAACAACTCGTGTGAGTCAGAAGCTTAAAGAGGAATCTAAATGCAAGTGGATTTGTAAGTTACGCCTTGTCAATAGCATATCCTTATCCTTAATAATGATAAAAGTATATGGGACAATGACAGTGCTCACGGCATGATGGCAAAACTGTGCCTACATTGTGTTTTGATGACGATAAACTTATATTTGTTTAAAATATTTGGAAGGAAATATAAAAAATAACAATATGACTTCTAAGGATGGCTAAATTGTCAGTGATGGCTTTTGTTTTTTCGACCCCAAATTTCTGACAACTAAACCTGTGGATATGGGATATAGATTTAAAAAATAATAATCATAAAGAGGCCAGGCTCGGTGGCTGATGCCTGTAATCCCAGCACTTGGGGAGGCTGAAGCGGGTGGATCACGAGGTTAGGAGTTCAAGACCAGCCTGCCTAAGATGGTGAAACCCTGTCTCTACTAAAACTACAAAAAGTAGCTGGGTGCAGTAGCAGGTGCCTGTAATCCAAGCTACTCAGGAGGCTGAGGCAGGAGAATCACTTGAACCCAGGCAGCAGAGGTTGCAGTGAGCCGAGATAGCATTGCTGCACTCCAGCCTGGGTGACAGAGTGAGACTCTGTCTCAAAAACAAGAAACAAAAAACCCCAACAAAGAAACACACCCAAGAATGACTGGCAAATCTCTCTGGACTGCAGGATTACAGGGAATTTGTCTTTTATTTCATACTTCTTTATACTTTCCAAATTATCCTTTATGAAGGGCATATATTTAACTAAAATTTTTCCTGTCATAAAAATATAATTATTAAATACAAAATTATATTGTATTTTAAAAATATGATTTAAAAAAATCTCCCCTTGGGCGTGAACAAACAAGGATGTTTAAGAACATGACACTTAATAGACCAATAGCTATGTAGGCCAAGCATGGTGGTCACACCTGGAATCCCAACACTTTGGGAGGCCAAGGCAGGAGGATCACCAGGCTAGAAGTTTGAGGCCAGCCTGGCCAGCATGGTGAAACCCTAGCTCTACTAAAAATACAAAAATTAGCTGGGCCTGGTGGCAGGTGCCTGTAATCCCAGCTTCTTGGGAGGCTAATGCAGGAGAACTGCTTGAACCCAAGAGGTGGAGATTGTAGTGAACTGAGATCACATCACTGCACTGCAGCCTGGGTAACAGAGCAAGACTCTGTCTCAAAAACGAAAAGAAAAAACAGAAAGTAAAAAATAAGATGCATTCCAGCCTGGATAACAGAGCAAGACTATGTCTAAAAAAAAAAAGAAAGAAAAGAAAAGAATAGCTTTGTAAAGCATAGATTCAGGAAACATAATAAACAGAAACAACAGGACATTAAGAACACATATAAATATGTGAAACATATTTATATATATAGTCATATTTATATGAAACATATTTATTGTTGAAGCCAACTGCAGATTGTGATTTTGTAACTTAAAGTTTTAAAGGAAACTGAAAATGTTAAAGAGATAATCTTTACAGCTGTCTTCCCCCACTAAATATTCAGGCTCCAATTTAAGGAAAGATCAATCAGTTTTAAAAGCATGGAGAGAGCTGTTCTTAGTAAAGGTACCAGATTAAATAGTATCCATTTTGGACCAACCCCTAACTATACCACAATCTAGGGACATGGTAAAGTGGAGGAAATATGAAAGGGAAACCCTTCAGAATGATCAGAACCTGTCCCAGTTAGTGAAAAACTGTGCCACCTTCCCTCTAGGGAAGAGGGAATTATCTCAACATATGGCACTAGCATCCTTCTCTGGGGAGTCCCTAGTGTTGATGAAGAGCAGATGGCTTAAAGGCTATTTATGCCCCTGGATCCATCTGTTCCTGAAGGCAAAATTTTTCCTGAGGTTCCTAGTATTGATGATGGTGGGACCTTCTGCAGGACACACTCAGGTTGTCTAATCAGCATGCGTTCTCTGATGATCAGCAAGCTCTGTTCCCCAAGCAAAGGCTTTCTCAAAATCATCACAGATATAGGCATCCTGCCCAGTGTGAAGCCTCCGGTGTTGAGTCAGGTGTGAACTCCAGCTGAAACCCTCTCCATATTCCTCACATGCATAGCGTTTGCTGCCAGTGTGGACCTTCTGATGTTGGAGAAGGTGTGAGATCTGGGTATAGGTTTTCCCACAGTCATGACACTTGTAGGGCTTCTCTCCAGTGTGAATCCTTTGGTGTTGGATTAAGTGAATGCTCTGGTTGAAGGCCTTCCCACATTCCTTGCAGGCATAGGGCTTCTCGCCCGTGTGAATTCTCTGATGTTGAGTGAGGGATGAGTTGTGACTGAAGGTTTTCCCACACTCCTGACACTTATAGGGCTTCTCGCCAGTGTGGATCTTCTGGTGCTCAATGAGGTGCGTGCTCCGGCTGAAGGTTTTCCCACACTCGCTGCACTCATAGGGCCTCTCTCCGGTGTGAACCCTCTCGTGTTGAATGAGGTGGGAGATCTGGGTATAGGCTTTCCCACACATTTTACATTCATAGGGCTTCTCCCCTGTGTGAATCCTCTGGTGGCGTGTGAGGGAGGAGTTCTGGCTGAAGGTTTTCCCACACTCGGTACATTTGTAAGGCTTCTCACCAGTGTGGATGGTCTGGTGTTGGGTGAAGGATGAGGTGTGGCTGAAAGTCTTCCCGCATTCATTACATATGTAGGGCTTTTCCCCTACATGAGTGCTCTGGTGCCTCATGAGGTGGGAAATCTGTGTGTAAGCCTTCCCACACTCGTGACACTCATAGGGCTTCTCACCAGTGTGAATTCTCTGATGCTGGGTCAGGGACGAGCTGTGGCTGAAGGCTTTGCCGCACTCAGTGCACTCGTAGGGTTTCTCTCCAGTGTGGACTCGCTGGTGCTGGGTCAGGGATGAGCTGTGGCTGAAGGTTTTCCCACACTCGTTGCATTTGTAGGGTTTCTCCCCAGTGTGGATGGTCTGGTGTTGGGTCAGGGAGGAGGTGTGACAGAAGGCCTTGCCGCACTCTGCACATTTGTAGGGCTTCTCCCCCGTGTGGATTTTCTGGTGGCGGGTGAGGTGGGAGACCTGTGAGTAGAACTTCCCACACTGGCTGCATTTGTAGGGCTTCTCCCCAGTGTGGCACCGCTGGTGTTTGATGAGGGACGAGCTCTGCGTGAAGGCCTTCCCACAGTCCTTGCACTTGTAGGGCTTCTCTCCAGTGTGAATCCTCTGATGCTCGGTGAGTGAAGAGCTCTGAGTGAAGGTCTTGCCGCACTCGTGGCAGGCGTAGGGCTTCTCACCTGTGTGGATGATGTGGTGCTGAATGAAATATGAGCTGTTGCTGAATGCCTTCCCACAGTCATGGCACTTGTAGGGCTTCTCTCCAGTGTGAATTCGCTGATGCAGAATATAGTCGGAATGGTAAATGAAAGCTTTCCCGCATTCCGTGCAGTTAAATGGTTTCTTCTCCACGAAGGTCCTTTGGCGTTTCGAGCTCCTCCAGGGCCCGCCCCACTTCCGGGGCCTGTCTCCACGGGGCACCCGTTGCTTCCTGATGAGGGCAGAGGCCTGCCGGAGGCTTCTCCCAAGCTCGTCACAGCCAAGGCCTCTCTCCCCTGAGGTATCTCCCCTGGGAGTAGCAACTAAACACCTCAAGTGCCTCTCCTGCTTTCTTGGGTCCTTCAATGGACACTGACATGCCATGGGTTTCCCCAACTTAGCATCTCCAAGCACAGCCCTTAAAGTTCCTTCAGGTGGGGAAGCTGAATCTTCAAAAATGCTCTTTTTTGGAGGTGTGTTTCCAAAAGTCACAGAGCTCATCTCCACGTCTGAAAGAAATGGAAAATACCAATACCATCTGTCCCAGGACAAAGTAAGCTGATTACTTGGAAGTGGCAGTGTAAACCTAAAAAAAAGAAAAAGGTTTCAAACTTGATGCTGCTATTTTTGAAAGGCATGTGTATGTAGATAGATTCATGTTCTGACATGGAAAAATAGTCTCAATACACTCTAAAAATGAAGAGAACCAAGTTGCAAATAGTTTATGTACACAGAGGTTGAGTAGCCATCTGTGTGTGTGTGTGTGTGTGTGTGTGTGTGTAGAGAGAGAGAAAGACAGAGAGACAGAGAGAGAGTCTTACTCTGTTGCCCAGGCTAGAGTGCAGAGAGAGAGAGAGACAGAGAGACAGAGAGACAGAGAGAGAGTCTTACTCTGTTGCCCAGGCTAGAGTGCAGTGGTGCACAATCTTGGCTCACTGAAACCTCTGCCTCCCAGATTCAAGAGATTCTCCTGCCTCAGCCTCCTGAGTAGCTGGGATCACAGGTACACACCACCACACCCAGCTAATTTTTGTATTTTTAGTAGATACAGGGTTCTACTAAATTTTTAGTAGACACAGGGTTCACCATATTGGTCAAGCTGTCTTGAACTCCTGACCTCATGATCCACCTACCTTGGTCTCCCAAAGTACTGGGATTACAGATGTGAGCCACTACGCCCAGCCAAGATAGCAGATAAATATATATATATATATATATATATTTTGAGACAAAGTCTAGCTCTGTCACGAGGCTGGAGTACTGTGGCGCGATCTTGGCTCACTACAATCTCTGCCTCCTGGACTCAAATGATTCCCCTTGCCTCAGCCTCCTGGGTAACTGTGACTATAGGCACATGCTACCACACCTGGATAATTTTTTAGTAGAGACGGGGTCTCACCATGTTGGCCAGGATAGGCTCAATCTCCTGACCTCGTGATCCACCTGCCTCAGCCTTTCAAAGTGCTGGGGTTACAGGTGTGAGCCATTGCGCCTGGCTATAATAAATGTTTTTCACAAATCAATATGAAAAATGATAGGAAAAAATCTAAGAAAATAGCGAGGCAAGAATATGAGTAGACAATTCACGGAAGAAAAATAAGAGGTGGATAAATACATGTATAGACGCTGAACATCAGCAATAGTTAAAAACATTAAATCATGGCCTGGCGCAGTGGCTCATGCCTGTAATCCCAGCACTTTGGGAGGCCGAGGTGGGTGGATCACGAGGTCAAGAGATTGAGACCATCCTGGTCAAAAAGGTGAAACCCCGTCTCTACTAAAAATACAAAAATTAGCTGGGCATGGTGGTGTGTGCCTGTAGTCCCAGCTACTCAGGAGGCTGAGGCAGGAGAGTTGCTTGAACCCAGGAGGCAGAGGTTGCGGTGAGCCGAGATCGCGCCAATGCACTCTAGACTGGGTAACAACAGCGAAACTCCGTCTCAAAAAAAAAAAAACAAACACATCAAATCATGGCCAGGCACCGTGGCTCACGCCTGTAATCCCAACACTTTGGGAGGCTGAGGTGGGTGGATTGCCTGAGGTCAGGAGTTGGAGACAAGCCTGGCCAACATGGTGAAACCCTGTCTCTACTAAAAAAAGTACAAAAAATTAGCTGGACCTGGTGTTGGGCACCTGTAATCTCAGCTACTCCGGAGGCTGAGGCAGGAGAATTGCTTGAGCCCAGCAGTAGGAGGGTGCAGTGAGTCGAGATTGTGCCATTGCACTCCAGCCTGGGGAACAAGAGTGAAATTTCTTCTAAAAAAAAAAAAAATCAAATCATTAGGGTGCTGTTTTACCCATTTTTAGATTGGAAAACATTAAAGATATCCCGTGTTGTCATGGGAGCATGGCACAGACCCTCTCACACGATCTTCACGGGAATGTGCAAGAAAAGAGTTAACAGAAGGTCCATCTCACTCTGGCTTTGTTGTCTCTGTAGACATGGCAATGACCCTTGGCCAGTCTCTGAGAACTAAACTCCTGGGGTATTCACATAGGTGCTGGGTAAGATGTTCTTTCATATGCTCAAGATGTACTAGGCTGTCAGCACTGTTGACTGTAAATACGAAGATTCATGACAGCCACCTGGTACCCGGATTGGGGTCCTCCCTGTGGATGGTCACGTAGCAGGCAGGCACATACAGGACCGGCTCTCTTCAAGAACTCTGACTGTAAGACTCAAAGTGGGCTTTCCAGGGTGAAGACACCTCACACATGTGCCTGTGGTTTTGCCCTGGCAGAAAGAAGCATACCCACGTGACCCTCACCGGGACAGGGAGGGCCGGGACCTGTGTCTGCCCTCTCTCGCCTTTGTCAGTTCCTACTGTTCTTGTGCTGCATACTTTGCTGCAGGCTGTCAATACAACTTGCAAAGTCATGCGACTCCTTCCTGAAAACTGCCAAAGCAGTGGGTGGTTGTGGGACTCCCGAAACAGAGACACGACAACGAAATGCTATGCAGGATTCTTGAAATGATCCTTTTGTCATTGCATTAGGCAATGGTACCTTATCTTAGATATGACGTCAAAACCACAAAGTGACACAAGCAAAACAGATAAACTGGACACTGTCAAAAGCAAGACCTTGGCCGGGCACGCTTGGCTCACGCCTGTAGTCCCAGCACTTTGGGAGGCCGAGGCGGGTGGATCACGAGGTCAAGACATCGAGACCATCCTGGTCAACATGGTGAAATCCCGTCTCTACTAAAAATACAAAAAATTAGCTGGGCATGGTGGTGCATGCCTGTAATCCCAGCTACTCGGGAGGCTGAGGCAGGAGAATTGCCTGAACACAGGAGGCACAGGTTGCGGTGAGCCAAGATCGAGCCATTGCACTCCAGCCTGGGTAACACGAACGAAACTCCATCTCAAAAAAAAAAAAAAAAAAAAAAGACCTAGGCCGGGCACACTTGGCTCACCCCTATAATCCCAGCACTTTGGGAGGCCAAGGTGGGTGGATCACTTGAGCTCAGGAGTTCAAGAACAGCCTGGGCAATATGGCTAAACCCCGAATCTACCAAAAATACACAAATTAGGCAGTGATGGCACATGCCTGCAGTCCCAGCTACTCGGGAGGCTGAGGTGGGAGGATCACTGAAGCCCTGGAGGTTGAGGCTGCAGTGAGCCAGGATCGCACCACTGCGCTCTAGCCTGGGTCACAGAGTGAGACCCTGTCTCAAAAATAATAATAATTAAAAAAAATTAAAACCCAATGTGCTTCAAACACACTAACAAGAAGTGAAAAGACAACAGAATGGGAGAAAATTTTTTCGAATCTTATGTCTGATAAAGAACTTGTTTCTAGAATATAAAAAGCATACTTACAACTCAATATTTTTAAAAACTCAATTAAAGAAGAACAAAGATCTCAACAGTTATTTCTTTAAAGACAGACAAATGGCCGATAAGTACAAGAAAAGATACTCAACGTCATTAGCCATCAAGGAAATTAAAATGAAAAAGATGAGATTCCACTTCACACTCACTAGTTATATAATAACAGTTATATAGTTATATAAAAACAGATAATAATAAGAATTGGTGAGGATGTAAAGAAATCAGAGTCCCTACACACTGCTGGGGGGATGTAACGTGGTACCGCCACTTTTGAAAATAGTCTGGCAGTTCCTGAGAAGGTTAAACATGGAATTACCCTGTCACTCAACGATTCCACTCCTAGGTGTCTACCCGAAAGAAAGGAAAACATGCATTCACACAAAACCTTGTGCGTGAATGTTCACAGCAGTATGATTCATAATAGCCAGAAAGAAGAAATAACTCAGCCGGGCGCGGTGGCTCAAGCCTGTAATCCCAGCACTTTGGGAGGCCGAGGCAGGTGGATCACGAGGTCAAGAGATCGAGACCATCCTGGTCAACATGGTGAAACCCCGCCTCTACTAAAGATACAAAAAATTAGCTGGGCATGGTGGCGCGTGCCTGTAATCCCAGCTACTCAGGAGGCTGAGGCGGGAGAATTGCCTGAACCCAGGAGGCGGAGGTTGTGGTGAGCCGAGATTGTGCCATTGCACTCCAGCCTGGGTAACAAGAGTGAAACTCCGTCTCAAAAAAAAAAGAAGAAATAACTCACTGTTTACCAACTGATGAATAAACCAATTGTGGCACATTCATATGATAAAATATTATTCAGCCATTAACACGAATGAAGCTCTCATACATACTGCAGTGTGAATGACTGTTAAAAATATTGTGCTACGCTGGGCACGGTGGCTCACATCTGTACTCCCACAACTTTGGGAGGCTGGGGTGGGCAGATTAGGAGGTCAGGAGTTCGAGACCAGCCTGGCCAACATGGTGAAATTCCACCTTTACTAAAAATACAAAAATTAGCCAGATGTGGTGGCGGGTGCCTGTAATGTCAGCTACTCAGGAGACTTAGGCAGGAGAATTGCTTGAATCCAGGAGGCGGAGGTTGCAGTGAGCCGAGATGATACCACTGCACTCCAGCCTGGGTGACAGAGCAAGACTCTTTCTTGGAAAAAAAAAAATTGTGGTAATTTTATTCCTTCTTGTGATTTAGATTTAGTACTATGCAATACTATTATAGTGGTGTGCTATACTACTACAGCAGCATAAGATTTTTAAGGAACTAATATTAAAAGATAGTGGAGACATTGAGTTGAAAATGCTTGGAGGACCAAGTGCAGTGGCCCATCCCTGTAATTTCAACACTTTGGGAGGCCAAGGTAGGAGGACCACTTGATCCCAGAAGTTTGAGACCAGCCTGGGCAACATAGGGGGACCTCATCTCCACAAAAAAAATTTTTTTTAATTGTTTTAGATTAAAAATTAAAAAATTAGTGGGTGTGGTGGTGCACACCTGTAGTCCCAGCTACTTGGAAGGCTGAGGTGGGAGGATTGCTTGAGCTCAATGCATCGAGGCTGCAATGAGATGTGATCACACCACGGCACTCCAGCCTGGGTGGCAGAGTGAGACCCCATATCAGAAAATACACAAACAGAAGAAGAAGGAAAGAAAACACTTGAAAGAAGGCCACTAAAATGCCCAAAGTTAATTTTTGGGAGACAGGATTATGGGGACATTTCATTTCCTGCTTTATTCTTATTTAGATTTTCTAAGTTTCTATGATGAACGCATAGCTTTTATTTGATCTGAAAAACATCAATACATATTAATTAGATATGAGGCTTTTGCAGCATGAGCTTGTAATCTGTAGAAAGGAAGCTGTAGTGAAATGATGAACACAGCTGGGCACGGCGGCTCACGCCTGTAATCCCAGCACTTTGGGAGGCTGAGGCAGGTGGATCACCGAGGTCAGAAGTTTGAGCCCAGCCTGGCCAACTGGGTGAAAGCCTGTCTCTACTAAAAATACAGAAAGTAGCCAGGTATGGCGGTGCAGGAGAATTGCTTGAATTCAGGAGGCAGAGGTTGCAGTGGGCTGAGATTGTGCCACTGTCCTCTAGCCTAGGTGACAGAGTGAGACTCCATCTCAAACAAACATTAAAAACAAAAATAAATGAATAAAAAGACATGAGGAGGAGAAAGCAAAACCATTTGGAATGTGGAAGGAATGGATTTTTTTTTTTTTGAGCCAGTAGGTTCGTCCATGGAATGTCCATTAATTACATGTATGCCAACCGCAGTGCTGTGAGGGAGTGACCTCGTGCTCAACAAGGTATCTGGTTCTTGTCCTCAGAGAGGAGGGAGGGGAAGCTTGTACTCCGACTTTCTGGATATATCCTACTTATCTCTTTAGCATCCCTGTCTTTGAACAGCTACTGCTCCCCTTTTCCTATAATCCTGGTGGGGCTGCCATACATATCTCCACAACCCCCACCTCAGTAACGGGCATCACACTCAGGCACTCAGGCTAGCCAATCATAATACCCCATTCCCCGGGCCATAATAATTGGTTCATCGGCCAGGTGCAGCAGCTCACCCTTATAAAACCAGCACTTTGAGAGGCCGAGGTGGGTGAATCATGAGGTCAGGGGTTCAAGACCAGCCTGGCCAAGATGGTGAAACCCTTACTAAGAAAATATAAAAATTAGCTGGGCATGGTGGCACGTGTCTGTGATCCCAGCTACTTGGGGAGGCTGAGGCAGAGAATTGCTTAAACCCTGGAGGCCAAGGTTGCGGTGAGCCGAGATTGTGCCACTGTACTCCAGCCTGGGTGACAGAGCAAGACTCAGTCTCAAAAAATAAATAAGTAAATAAAAATAAAAATAAATAAATAATTGGTTCATCATCCAAAGGGACCCAATCAGAGTCTTCCCTGAGATGAATATACAGAATTACTAGGCAGAATAGAAGTTTGAGACTGTGGGTAGCCATGTTGACTGCTACTTGGAAAGGCCTGTAGACAGAATGAAGCTAGAAACAGAATGAACACGTGTAGAAAAGGAAGGAAGGAAGGAAGGAGGGAGGGAGGGAGGGAAGGAAAGAGAGAGAGAAAGAGAAAACAAGTAAGCCCTAAAAATACCATTTAAGGCCTTAGATGCATCTGTGCCCAAAGCCTTGCACTGAAAGCCTTCCTAGATATATGGGTCAAAAAAATCTAATTTTTCTTAAGCTATTTTGATTCTTTATATGCAAGAGTCCTGATACGCTGGATAATAACGATTATTATGATTGCAATAGGGAGGATTCGTTAAACGCTTCCTCCATGCCAGACGCCGTTCTGAGCTTGCTTTGTGTATTCAGTAATCTAATCATCCAAAAATTTCAGTGACGTGGGTGCTATTATTCTCCCTATTTAATAGGTAAGGAAATGGAGGCGCCAATAGGTTAAGTCACTTGTGTACAGTCATGCAGCCTGTCAGTGGCAGAAAGGGGATTGGAATTCAGAGTCCACACTCTTAAGTACAACATGCACAAGCGCAGTTATGCACCACCTCGGAGTGGTGTAAGCTTCATGTTGGAGGACATGAAGGAGGCTGCTCGGAGGTGACCTGTAAGCTTCATGTTGGAGGACATGAAGGTGTTTGCCAGGCAGAAAAAGCAGGGAAGGGTGTTCCAGAGAGAAGGAACAGCACATGTGAGGGTCCAAAGGTGGGAACACACATTCAGGTTCAGGTATGAACAGGCGCTTCAGCGAGATCAGGGCATGGCATACAACCAGGGGTGGATGGCGAAGACGAGGCCAGAGAAAGCCTGGGCTAGATTACACATCAAGTGCCAGGCTGAGGGGCTGGGACTTTATCTTGGGGAAGCTGGGGAGCCCAGGGGAGGGTGTGAGCAGGGGAGGGAGGGGGTTAGCTCTCAGTATGGAAGGATCACCTGGGGCTGTGTGTTGACTGAGGGGTAAGCCTGGGGTCCAGGAGGCTGGGGTGAGGGTCCAGGAGAGAGAAGCTGAGGCCTGGCCAGGGGCAGGAGGGACAAGGCTGGGGACCGATGGGCTGTGGTGGGACAAGGGGAGGGTGGGGTGAGAATTATAACAATGACAGCTATCGAAGCCACTACCGACTCTGCAGCAGGCTCTGGCTCTGCTCTGTATCTGTTAATTCATTTATTCCTCCCAACCCTAGATACTCATGTCTCTCCCTTTTCACAAATGCTACGTGACTTGCCAAGGCCACACAGCTAGGAAGCAATCAGCTGGGATTTGAACCCCCGCCACCTGACTCCAGAGCCCACAGTGGTCACCCATGTGTTCCACTGTCTCATCCCTGCGCGAACCTCACTGACCATGAGAGACGGGGTAGGAAGAGGGCTTGCACCGCTGGACATCCTCACCTACCCGGACAGGTAACTTGCTGGGCCTCTCTCTCCTCTGGCCTCGGCTCTTCCCCTCGCTCCAGACGGGAGATCACGTCGGGTTTGGACCCAGGAAGCCCCGCTCCTGGGGAAAGAGGTAAGAGTTGGCAGTGGGTGCCAGGATCTCAGGGCGGTCTGGAGGGAAGGCGCATGCGTCGAGCGCCTAATGATTAGAAGCACGAATGGCCAACGCCAGACTTATTGGTTGCGTGCTTTGCGCACTGCAGAGAGGCTGAGCTCTGACAAGACTGTTGAAGGCGCCGGGTCTGTGCTGTTCCAATTAAGTGCCCTGTGAAAGTGTAAAAAACACTGTCTTCTGTGTTTCGAAGATTTACTAAAGAAAAAAACGGTAAAATATCTCAACAATTTGTTAACCGGTTATGATTTCAGGGTGTCAAAATGATATGATTTTAGATAGCTTGCAGTGAATAAAACGCATTATTAAAATTAATTTCATTTGTTTCTTATTTTTTTTTAACGTGACCACCAAAAAATGTAAAATTAACCTGAGTGGGTTGCATCTTATTTCTGATGGATAACTCTGTTTTAGGTTCATTGATGCCCAAAGCTTCCATCTCAAGACTCCTGAATATGTAAGTTAAAACATTTGCTATTTTTTTTTTTTTGAGACAGGGTCTCACTCTGTTGCCCAGGCTGGAGTGCTGTGGCACAATTATGGCTCACTGCAGCCTCAACCTCCCGGGCTCAAGTGATCCTCCCATCTCAGCCTCCTGAATAGCTGGGACTACAGTCATGCACCACCATGCCTGGCTAATTTTCAAATTTTTTGTAGAGATGGGGTCTCGCTATATTGCCCAGGCTGGTCTCAGGGGGGCATCAGAGAGGGTGCCAGGGGCATCAGAGAGGGCACCAGGGCTCATTAGAGGGAGCACCAGGAGCATCAAAGAGGGTACCAGGGGGCATCAGGCCTTCCCCTGGGGAGGGCTGGGGGAGGGGCCTCACCTAGGGAGAGGAGGTTCCGGTAGTTCTCTAGCATCACATCTCGGTACAGCTCCCTCTGGCCAGGCTCCAGCCAGCCCCACTCCTCCAGGGTGAAGTCTACAGCCACATCCTTGAAGGTCACTGATTCCTGCAAGGGCCAATTTCACTCGATGGACGTCCTGCTGGAACTCGGGGGCACAGGTGTCAGGAGTCAAGAGCCTACAACTGCCCCCTGGGCTGGAACATTCTGACTGTGCAGAATTAGGATGCCTGAATCAAACCGGCCTACAGAGACACCTGGGCATAGAGTAGAACCAGGAGCCCTTTCGCGTGACTCTTTACTGCCATCTGTTGGGCAGCCATTGTAATTAATTTAGCGTATGACATACCAATCACCTGAAAATTGCCACAATGAATACAGCAATGTAGGAGGTGCAAGGTGTGAATCCTGCCTGGGATGAGGCACCCTGTGCAGCGCACAGCCTGTACACCTGTAAGTGATGGCCCTAAGAAATACTTAAAGAAAAAACTCAAGCCACTGTGTGCTGGAGATGTTCCTAAATCCCATTCAATCCCAGACGCCATCCATCCTGATCCTGACCCCCATTCCTGACTGCAGGGATAAGGCTCAGGGGTGAAGCAAAACTGTCCACTGCCCACTTTGCCTGGTAACCAAAAGGCTGAAGTATCAGGTGGGAAAAAAATTGTTTTTGAGACCGAGTTTCACTCTTGTTGCCCAGGCTGGAGTGCAATGGCACGATCTCGGCTCACCGCAGGCTCTGCCTCCCAGGTTCAAGTGATTCTCCTTGCCTCAGCCTCCCGAGTAGCTGGGATTACAGGCATGCGCCACCACGCCTGGATAATTTTGTATTTTTAGTAGAGATGGGGTTTTGCCATGTTGGTCAGGCTGGTCTTAAACTCCTGACCTCACCTGAGGTGATCTGCCCGCCTCGACCTCCCAAAGTGCTGGGATTACAGGCGTGAGCCACTGCACCAGGCAGATGTAAAATTCTTAGACTGCATGATGAGGTCCCAGCTCAGAGCATTCTGCCTCTGCCTCTGCCCCCTGCCCTTCTGCACTGCCCAGCTACCCTCTCCTCATACCCCCTTTCCCAGTATTGGGAGAGTCAGGAGAACTTCAGATCATGCACAGGGATGAAGAGGGCCCGCAGGAGTCCACAAAGTCATCTTGGGGAAGAGGAAGCCCAGACTTACCTGGCCGGCGGCCATCAGGGTCCTGTTGGCCATTGCTGGGTCCTGGGCGTACACCTCCGGTAAAAAGGTCCAGGCCAGGGCCTGAAGAGCTGGAGTAGGAGACCACAGCAGAAAAGGGGTCGGTTGTGGTCCAGAGAGACAGATGCTTTCCCCAAAGACTCCTGTCACAGAAGGGGCCATGGTCCCCTAAGTGTCAAAGCAAAGGCTCAGGACAGGCCACCGGGGCCCCTTTTCATACCCGTGACAACAGCTAGCAACCCTGAGGCTGTCTCACCTCCCCCACACCACAGCTCTCGGACACAGGAACGTAGGTATAGCTACATGAGGACACTGAGGCACAAGACGTCAAGACCTGCTCAAGTTCTTGGAGACACAAAGTATCAGAGAAGCCCAGCCACAGAGCCACCCCTTATCTTTTTTCTTTTTCTTTTCTTTTTTTTTTTGAGATGGAGTTTTGCTGTTGTTACCCAGGCTGGAGTGCAATGGCGCGATCTCGGCTCACCGAAACCTCCACCTCCTGGGTTCAAGCAATTCTCCTGCCTCAGCCTCCCGAGTAGCTGGGACTACAGGCACGCGCCACCATGCCCAGCTAATTTTTCTATTTTTGGTAGAGACGGGGTTTCACCTTGTTGACCAGGATGGTCTCGATCTCTTGACCTCGTGATCCACCTGCCTCGGCCTCCGAAAGTGCTGGGATTACAGGCTTGAGCCACCGCGCCCGGCTACCTTTATATATATATATATATATATATATATATTTTTTTTTTTTTTTTTTTTAGACAGAGTCTCGCCCTGTCACCCAGGCTGGAGTGCAGTGACACGATCTCAGCTCACTGCAACTTCTGCCTCCCGGGTTCAAGAGAATCTCTTCCTTCAACTTCTCAAATAGCTGGGACTAGAGGCATCCACCACCATGCCTGGCTAATGTTTACATTTTTAGTAGAGACGGGGTTTCACCATGTTGACCAGGCTGGTCTCAACCTCCTGACCTCAGGTGATCTGCCCACCTTGGCCTCTGAAAGTGCTGGGATGTTAGGCCTGAGCCACTGCGCCTGGCCAGGAGTTCTTCTTATTTATTTTATTTATTATTTTTTAATAATACAGACAGGGTCTCTCTGTTGCCCAGGCTGGTCTCGTACTCCTGGGCTCAAGCAGTCCTCCCACTTCGGCCTCCCAAAGTGCTAGGATTACAGGCATGAGCCACCACACCCAGCCTTGGCAAAGATTCTTAAAACTCTATTCCATAAATTGGGACTTCTTGCCTGGTGGACTAGACAGTCTGTCTAACAGCGCCCAAAGATATCCCTGGAACCTACAGATCTTACCTTCTATGGAAAAGAGACTTAAGGGATTAAGTTAAAGATCTTTAGATGGGGAGATTATCCTGGATTATCGTCATGGGACCTAAATGCCTTCACAAGTGTCCTCATAAGAGGGGGCAGACTGAGCTTGGTGGTGCATGCCTGTAATCCCAGCTACTCGGGAGGCTGAGGCGGGAGAATCACTTGAACTCAGGAGGTGGAGGTTTCGGTGAGCCGAGATCGTGCCACTGCACTCCAGCCTGGTCAACAAGAGTGAAACTGTCTAAAAAAAAAAAAAAAAAAAAAAAAAAAAAGGTGAGGGGGGCGCAGAGGAGGATCTGACACAGGGCAGAAGAAGCAGAGAGCATCAGAGGCCGAGAGAGGACACTATGCTGCTGGCTTTAACGACAGAGGAAAGAGCTACAAGCCAAGGAATGCAGGTCACTCACTGGAAGCTGGCCAGGAGGCAGTGAAACAGATGCTTCCCGTGAGCCTCTGGAGGGAGCATGGCCGTGCTGACCCCTCAATCCCTTCCCAGAGAATCCCACTTCCAACTTCTGGCCTCCAGAATTGTAATAGAATAAAATCGTGTCATTTTAAGTGTGTGTCAATTTGCTACAGCAGCCATGGGAAACTAATACGGCCCACAAAATGGAAAGATTCAGCGCCTCACACATTTATTTCCCAGGCGAGGAGCCACACACATCCTCAGCTACCCAGAACACACACACCTGAATGCTGAAACCACTGCACGAGATTTTGAAGAGAAAATCAGCATGAGAGTCTTAACTTTCTCCCCATGAATCACTTGTTAATTACAAAAAGAACAGGGTAGCTTTTTAATTTATTTATTTGGAGACAGGGTTTTGCTATTTATTTATTTAGAGATGGAGTTTCGCTCTTGTGGCCCAGGCTGGAGTGCAGTAGCTGGATGGATGGATGGATGGATGGATTGATTGATTGATTTACTTTTTATTTATTTATTTATTTGGAGATGGAGTTTCGCTCTTGTGGCCCAGGCTGGAGTGCAGTAGCTGGATGGATGGATGGATGGATGGATGGATGGATGGATGGATGGATTGATTTACTTTTTATTTATTTATTTATTTGGAGATGGAGTTTCGCTCTTGTGGCCCAGGCTGGAGTGCAGTAGCTGTATTTATTTATTTATTTATTTATTTGGAGACGGAGTCTCACTCTTGTTGCCCAAGCTTGTACAGTGGCCCAATCTCAGCTCACTGCAACCTCCGCCTCCTGGGTTGGCACAATTCTCCAACCTTAGTGTCTCGAGTAGCTGGGATTGCAGGCATCTATCACCACACCTGTCTTAATTTTTTGTATTTTTAGTAGAGACGAGGCTTCACCATGTTGGCCAGGCTGGTCTCAAACTCCTGACCTCAGGTGATCCACCCACCTTGGCCTCCCAAAGTGCTGGGATTATAGGCATGAGCCACCATACCTAGCCTTATTTTGTTTTTGAGACAGAGTCTTGCTCTGTCACCCAGGCTGGAGTATAGTGAGGCGATCTTGGCTCACTGAAACCTCCACCTCCCAGAATATTGATTCTTGTGCCTCAGCCTCCTGAGTAGCTGGGATTACAGGCACCCGCCACCATGCCCAGCTAATTTTTGTATTTTTGGTAGAGACAGGGTTTTGCCATGTTGGTCAGGCTGGTCTCGAACTCCTGACCTCAGGTGATCTGCCTACCTTGGCCTCCCAAAGTACTGGGATTACAAGTGTGAGCCACTGCGCCTGGACCAGGGTAACTTTAGAGAGGAGAAACTTGGCAGATGCCACTTTACCCATGGGAATGAAGCTGATACAGTATGTGGTGGTACAAGCTGAGCCCAGGGTTCCCAATGGGATGAGGAGACAGCATCATCCCTGGGACATCCCTGCCAAAAGCACATGACCTAAATCTAACTATAAAGAAGCATCAGACAAACCCAGACTGAGGGACCTTCTGCAAGTTGATGGCTGTAATCTTTGGAACTTCCAAGAGAAGACTGAAAAACAGCTCCAGATTGAAAGAGACCCAACAACACGTGTAGTGTGTGTGATCTAGGATTTCCTTTTGCCATTAAGGACATTATCGCAGTCAGGCACCGGGATCACACCTGTAATCTCAGCTCTTTGGGAGGCTGAGGTGGGAGGATCACTTGAGCCCAGGAGTTTGAGACCAACTTGGGCAACCTAGTGAGATCCTGTTTCTACAAAAGAATTTAAAAAATTAGCCGAGCATGGTGGCATATGCTTGTAATCCCAGCTACTCAGAAGATTGCAGTGGGAGGATGGCTTGAACCCAGGAGGTGGAGGCTGCAGTGAGCTGTGATTGTGCCACTGCACTGCAGCCTGGGTGACAGAGCAAGACCCTGTCTACACACACACACACACACACACACGACATTACTGGAAGAATCATCAAAAAATTGAACAAAGTCTACAGATTAGCCATTAGTATTAATTTCGTGGTGCTGTGGTTATGTAAGAAAATGACCTTGCTTTTGGAAAACACAGAGATTCGCTAGGAGAGCTGGGGAGTGGAAGGAGGGCACAGAGACCGAGAGGGGGGACAGAGACCCAGAGAGAGGGGGACAGAGACTCAGAGAGAGGGGGACAGAGACTCAGAGAGAGGGGGACAGGACCTGGGGCGGCGGAGGTGAGGGGAAGATTAAAAAGAGAGATGGGAGACCCAGAGACAGAACAGGTGCTCAGGATAAGGGGAGCCGAGACCGAGGATGCGCCCGTGCAGTGCCGCTCTCGGGCTCTGGGGTCAGAATCTGGGTTGCAGCTCCACCAGCCTGAGACAAGTCGCAGAGTCTCCCTGAGTCTGAGCTTCACCTGCAAAGTGAGGAAAGGCAGGTTCCCCTTCCTAGGAGACTGCAGCAGTCCCAGGCTCCGCCGAACTCCAGGCAAACAGCCAGCGCCCAGTTCCTGCGCGCTGAGAGGTCCCTGCTCCGCTGATGCTAGGTGGGGCTCAGGGAATGACAAGAGGGGGCGGGGCGTCACCCACAGAGCCCCCCGCCCCACCACCACCCAGGTCCGACTTGGGCTCGCCCTCTGAGCTGCTGCTAGCCTGCCTGGCCCGTTCTGCACCCACCTGCTCCGGTCGGGTCAGCGAGGTCCGTGAGTCCAGGCGGAACCTGCGAGTCAGCCAGGCCTTCCCTCCCTCCGGCGGGCCCCGGAACGCGCCTGCGCGGTCGCTGCCTCGGAAATGTAAGTCCAGGTACTTTAAACTCGGCATCGCGGCCGGACTACATTTCCCAGAAAGCATTGAGGTTCAAGATGCTCCCGGCCCAAGGGCTCTGAGTGCGGGGTAATGCTGGGAAATGGAGTCTGGGAGTAGAATGCGGGGTGGGAGCAAGACTGTATTTAGATATACACAGCAGCTTTGCAGCTGGGGGAAAACTGATATTTGGGACATGCCTGACTGCACTGGCACCGTGAATAACCCTGTTTTAGGCAGAGTTTTCTCCTTCACAGGAGACGATGCCATAGTCCATGTAATCCAAATATCTCCTACCATGGCTGATGTCTCCAGGACAGATAAAGGTTGGCCCTTTGTAAACTGATGATGAATGAATTGAGCCACTGTTACTCAATTTCCCTGGGCATCTGCCTTCCTGTTTGCCTCAGTTTCACCCATTACTTCTTAAAGGGCAGTTTAGTAAAGGCAATGGAGCCTATTCTGGGAGCTGGGAGATGTATGTTCAGGAGTGCAAGGATGTTTGATATTAGGACATTACACATTTCATCTATTGATCTTTCTGAATATATCCACATGCAACCATATCTATAGATACCAAAAGGACTTTTGATAACATTAAGTAATCCTAGAAGCTGAGAAAGCTTACAAAAAATAATTCAGTAACCAGTCATTTCTAGATAAGCTTAATAAATTAAGCATATATTCATACTGAACAATGATAGCAACAATGTTAAAGAATTGATGACCTCTTATTGCATGTATTTATGTACATATAATCAAAACCTCATATCAGGCTTAATGGTAAAACACTAAAAGAATTGCCAGGCTGTGTGCAGTGGCTCACACCTGAAATCCCAGCACTTTGGGATTTCAAAGAGGGAAGCTAAAGAGGGAAGATCACTTGCACTCAGAAGTTTGAGACCAGCCTGGGAAACATAGCAAGACCCCCATCTCTACAGAAAATACAAAAATTAGCCAAGCATGGTGGTGATCACCTGTGGACCCAGCTACCTGTGAAGCTCAGGTGGGAGGATCAATTGAAGGTAAGTCTGCAGTGAGCTGTGATGGTGCCAGCCTGGGCAACAGAGCAAGACCCTGTCTAAAAAAAAAAAAAGTGTAAACCATATATGTGCTCATGATCAAAAGCTAGATAGCCCATTGCCAGAATGAAATAATAGGTGTTACTTACTGACAACACATTATGAGCTTTACTAGTTTACTGAGCTGACATCACCACCCTATGAAGAAGCCATTGTTTTCCCTATTTTACAGATAAGGACACTGAGATAGAGGATTTATGTCTCCCCCCAAACTCCCAGAGCAGTCGAGGACAGAAGCAAGATTTGAACCCAGGTCCAGCCCATATTTGCAACCACTTCATTTTACTACTGCCAAGTTTGCTCTTTTTTCTTTTTGTCCTAATAACTAAATGCTCCAAGCACGGGTTGTACTGTCAGCCGAGGCTCTGGAGTAGGGTGGCATGGAGCAGAGCCTCAACTCATCTTTAATAGGCATGCCACATTGTAGAGACAAAGGGGACTCCATCTTGGGTGCTAATCTGCCATGTTGACTTCTGATGAACCCCAGTCCTGGGAATGACTTCTGATTCCTACTTTACTTTCTGTCCCTAGAGTAAGATCATGTCAACCTTGATGTTATCACACAAATTGTAGGCTATGACACAAACAGTGTCCTTGCCTGTTCTGGAGGGTTAATTGCCTTAACCCTTAATTGTCTTGATAAAGCTAGTATTCCCCTTCCCTGTGTTAGATAAGCCTTGGGATTAGGGAGTAAATGTGTGGAGATCGACCTGTCTTGCTGCCACCCAAGACAAAGCTTCCCTTTGCAAGTTCCCCAAATAAATCACCCCTTACCAACAAACTGGATTTGTCGCACTCTTTTTTGGTTATTGGCTCCTTCCACATTTGGGGGTTATTTTGCATCAACAGTCCTTATATGGAACACACGTGGACAAGGACTAAGCCTTCATGGCTATGAGCCATGACAGAGGTTGAGGAGTGTTTGTTACTGAAGCATAACTAGTCATCCTGGCTGATACAACTGTCTCCAAAGACCTTGATTATTATCAGAGCTTTGTATGTGTAAGTGCTTATTAAATCCTGAACCCTGTAGCAAGTGCAGCCTAGCATAATGGCTACTCCCATTTACAGTGTGACACTGTGAAAGTCATTGACTTCTCCGTGTCTGTTTCCTCATTGTACATGGGGCAATAATACGTACCCTCTTCATCAGGTTATGAGATAAATAGGCTGATAGAAGTAAAGCCATTAGAACAGTATGTGACAGACAAAAAAACACCATGTAAGTGTCTGCTATTATTAAAAATGCGTTAGGCTGGGTGCACTGGCTCACCCTGTAATCCCAGCACTTTAGGAGGCCGAGGCAGGCGGATCACTTGAGGTCAGGAGTTCAAAACCAGCCTGACCAACATGGTGAAACCCTGTCTCTACTACAAATACAAAAAAATTAGCTGGGCGTAGTGGCAGGGGCCTATAATCTCAGCTACCTTGGGAGGCTGAGGCAGGAAAATTGCTTCAATTTTTGGAGGCGTAGGTTGTAGTGAGCCAAGATAGCACCACTGCACTCCAGCCTTGACAACAGGGCGAGAATCCGTCTCAAAACAAAACAAAACAAAAAAGCATTAATTGTTCCCACCTGTGATTTCTATTCGCTCTTTAACTTTTCCCCACTACTGCTTTAGGAAAACACCTACTTTTCTTGCAAGAACAAGTTATTACAGCCTCTCCTTTCAGTAAACTGTCTCCGATTTCCACCGAGCTGAGCCGGAGCTGGCAACTCGCTCTCTTGGGTTCCCACAGGAACATCCCGGTATCTTAGATCCCACAGGGCTATGTGCTAATCGCTGTTGTAATTCTTGGTAACTGTCTCTCTCCTCCAGTCCGCGCGTCCGAGAGCTCTCGTTACACTATAATTTATGCGCGACTTAATTATCTGTTTATCATGGACTTCTCCCAGGAAATTTCCATGAAGTTGAGGAAGTGTCTGGACCTGCAGCATGAAGACGTAAAACCAAACCCGTAACACTGCTCACTACTGCCCAAGCAAAACGCATTCGGGGGCCACCAGTTTGCGACCCTCAAAACTGAGTTTTTCACAGATGCTGTAGTCTGGCTACCAGCTTCAGAGGTGCGCGTGAAGTCAAGCATCTCTGACCCACCTGGAGTAGCCACGTCCCCGGCCAGCGCACACATGACGGTGACGTCGCGCTCACCAGGAGGAGAGTCGCCATGGCAACCAGAGCTCCGTCGTCTGGCCACGTCCCCCCGGGAGACTGGAGCCGGCTCCCAGCGCAGGCGAGGAGTCGAGAAAAAGAGGACGGGAGGGAGCAGATATAGAGGGGCCCAGAAATAGAGGGGCCCAGACATTGGACCCTGGTTCCCGCGGACTTTCAGATACTGTGGGAGGCACCAGGCAGCTTGGGATAAGGTGCTTGCGCGCCAATGCCGCGTAGGACAGTGCGCCTGCGCAGGCTGAGGCCGGAAACTACCATTCCCAGCGTCTTTTCGTTTGCAGCCGGATCAATTTCAGAAGTAGGGGCCAGTGCTCCACCTCTTCAAAACCGCCCATTCAAGGGACACCCTACTGCGCATGTGCCAAAACTGGTATCGTGGCAACGGGTGGGGCTGGAACAAAGACGTCAAGGTTTCGGCCAATCAGAAGTCGCGCTCGGCCAGGCACGGTGGCTGACGCCTGGAATCCCAGCTCTTTGGGAGGCCGAGGCGGGTCAGGAGTTGGAGACTGTCCTGGCCAAGATGGTGAAACCCAGTCTCTACTAAAAATACAACGATTAGCTGGGTGTGGGGGCGCAGGCCTGTAATCTCAGCTATTTGGGAGGATTAGGAAGGAGAATCGCATGAACCCAGGAGGCAGAGGTTGCAGTGAGCTGAGATCACGCCACTGCACTCCAGCCTGGGCGACAGAGCAGGACTCTGTCTCAAAACAAAAACAAAAAACAAAAATACAAGAAAAGAAAAAAGAGAAGAATATCCGAATCTAGTATTCAGGTGCACAGAGGGTGAAGAATTGTAGTTCAGATAGAGAAGAAACCCTGTGCCTTCCACATCGACCTCTGCTCTTTCTCTGTTTAACCATCCTCGAGGCTTGCATTGACTCATGTCCTTTCGGATGCATTTCCTTCCTAGAGGAGAAATGGTTGTCCCTTCAGACCCTTACATGTGTTGTCCATCCTTTTTGAAGATCCAAGTCACTTCTACCTTGAATTAGGATAATGTCCGTCTACAGATGAGTGGGATCTAGTCCCAGCTTTTGAGGAAAACCCAGTCAGGTAGAGAAACAGAGCCAACTGGGGGGAGGGTACCCAGAAAACGGAGAGAGACATTGATGATTGTCATCAATTTTATTAAATGTATTTTTCTTTCTCAGTACAAACCCCAAACACCGTCCTACTGCAGCAGGAGTTTTCGGTTTTGCCTGTATGTACAAGCCCTGTATGTACAGAGAGAAAAAGCCTGTAGGTTACAATGATCATTTCAGGCTCCTCCAGATCAGGGGACCCATAACTTCCCCACCCCCCATAACTTCCCTCCAATCTTTGGCCTGATTTGGCTCATCAAGTGACATCGTGGGTGTCTGGGCAGATTTTCAGGGTTCTCTGCCAATAGGAGTTGGTGAGGAGAGGGGATAGAAAAGTTGGGACCAGGGGTGATGGTAAAATGTGGGAACAGAAAGAGTCTAAAAAGACAAGAGGAGACACAGGCAAAATGGAGAGAGAGAAGGTAGAGACAGGGAGGAAGCAGGGTAGAGTGGGTTTTGCTGTGTCCCCCACACCAAAGATATACCCAAGTCCCAACTCCCTGTACCTGGGAACATGACCTTAATTGGAAACATGGTTTTTCCAGATGTAATTAAGGTGATAAGAGATTTAGGATGGGCCCTACATCTAAAGACAGGTGTCCTTAGAAGAGAAAGGAGAGGGAGATTTGAGATGGACACACAGGAAACCAAGCCACGTAAAGAGAGATGTAGGGATTAGAAGGAAGCCAAGGAATGCCAAGCACTGCCAGCAGCCGCCAGCAGCTAGGACACAGGCATGGGGTGGTTTCACTCTCAGAGGCTCTGGAAGAAACCAACCCTGCCCACCCCTAATTTCACACTTCTGCCTTCAGAACCCAGAGAATGCACTGCTTTTGTTTTAAGTCACTCAATTAGTGGTGATGTTACAGCAGCAATAGGAAGTGAATACACAGGGCGATAGACAAGTGAGGAGAGAGTCAGGGTTGGAAGAGAGCTGGCCCGCACGGAGCACTCCCCATGTGCTAAATGCTACTAAGAGCGTTCACTGGCTGGGCGAGGTGGCTCCCTCGTGTAATTTCAGCACTTTGGGAGGACTAGGTGGGTGGATCACCTGAGGTCAGGAGTTCGAGACCAGCCTGGCCATCATGGCGAAACCCTGTCTCTACTGAAAATACAAAAATTAGCTGGGCGTTGTGGTGGGCACCTGTATTTCCAGCTACTCAGGAGGCTGAGGCAGGAGAATCATTTGAACCTGGGAGGCGGAGGTTGCAGTGAGTGAAGGTTGCAAGATCATGTCACTCACTCCAGCCTGGGTGACAGAGCAAGACTCTGTCTCAAGGAAAAAAAAAAAAAAAAAAAGAGCTTTCACTGATTCAGTGCTCACCACACCCCCCAGAGGGAGGTGCTGGCATTACCCCCTTTTTGCATAGGGAGAAACTGAGGCATCAGGGAAAGGAGGTTAATGGGGCACTTGGAGGAGGCCGAGAGAGAGATAGAAATTGAGGTGGAAAGGGGAAGAGAGGGGCTGGGGAAGGAGTTCAGGGTGGGGCATAAGCAGAAAGAGGCAGGGAGATATGCTAAGAGGGGGAGAGGAAGATGTGGGCCACTTCTTCCTTAGGCGCAGGGCCTGGAGTCCATGGAAATATTTTCACTATCTTTGAAAGCCAGAAGAAGATAAATGAATATAACAACAGTAATTATGATGATGAATAGAGCATAATGAGGCCCAGGAGGCTGAGGCAGGAGAATCGCTGGAACCCGGGAGGTGGAAGTTGCAGTGAGCCGAGATCATGCCACTGCACTCCAGCCTGGGTGACAGAATGAGACTCCATCACCCAGGCTGGAGTGAAAAAAAAAAAAAAAAAAAAAGGCTGGGCGTGGTGGCTTATGCCTATAATCCCAGCACTTTGGGAGGCCGAGGTGGGTGGATCACGAGTTCAAGAGATCGAGACCATCCTGGTCAACAAGGTGAAACCCTGTCTCTACTAAAAATACAAAAATTAGCTGCGCATGGTGGTGCGCGCCTGTAGTCCCAGCTACTCGGGAGGCTGAGGCAGGAGAATTGCTTGAACCCAGGAGACAGAGGTTGCGGTGAGCCAAGATCGCACCATTGCACTCCCCCCTGGGTAACAAGAGCGAAACTCCGTCTCAAAAAAAATAAAAAGAACACAGTGAGTGAGGCCACCTTGGATGGTATGTGTCTTTCTACTGATGCATCCACAAAATTAAGAAGAGGCCCACAAAGGCACAAGTGCTGAGGACCCGGGGACGGTGTAATGTGGCCCAGAGGTGGAGAAAAGGGAAATTGAGAAAGAGACAGAAATACAGGTGAGAGAAAGGTATGGGGGGGCGGGGGCGGGAGGGAGAAGAGGGAAGAGAGAGACAGAGAGAGAGAAAGAGAGACAGAGACTAAAATGACTGAAGAGATTTCCAAAGTACACAGTGACCCATCCTGGGAGTCGCCATTTTTGAGGGGCCCAGTGGGTCACATGGGGGACTGAGGAGAAGGCAAGGATGACTCACGAGACCACGATGACCACGAAGAAAAAGAGAGCCAGAGACACAGAAATGAGGGTGCCCAACAGAGCTTGGTTCCTCGGGTGTTTGCCATCCGTCTGGTACTGCAGGGCCACGCGGGGTTGTCTGTCGACTGCAGCGGGTGGGGAAACAGCCCCGACCTCCAAGTCACCGCCCCTCCTTAGCCTTGCATCCACCCCACCTGTTTAGCTAGAGATGCTGCTAAAACATCCTTCAATAACCAGGACAGCCCCTGCCTGAAACAAATAATAGTCCATCCTGCTCCAAATCTCCACAGTGCCGAGGTTGAGAAACCCAGTCTAACCCCGGGCACCAGGAAAACGTGGGCTCCATGAGTGCAGGAACTACACCTGTCTCCCATTCCACTGTTGCTCAGTTTGGGGCATTGTAGGGCACTCAAAATATTTGTTGTCCCTAAATACCAGCTAAAGGAAGCAAACAGGCAAATCCAAAAGTGGGACACTCTCTAGGACACACTCCCTTCTTTTTCAATGCCAATGTCATGGAGGAAAATAAAAAAAACTGATAAGAGAAACTGTTCTAGGCTGGGTGCAGCAGCTCATGCCTGTAATCCCAGCACTTTGGGAGGCCGAGGTGGGCAAGTCACTTGAGCCCAGGAGTTTGAGACTAACATGGCAAGACCCAGTCTCTAAAAAAAAAACAAAAACAAATAAAAAAAACACTGCTCTAGATTTTAAAAAGAAGTGAAAACCCTAACAATTGAATGATATAAGAAGTCCTTTCATTGGACCCTGCCTGGTTTGAACAAATCAACTGTGAAAAATATTCTGGGGACAATTATGGAAGTTGACAGTGGGACCTGGAATTATTTGACATTGAGGAATCATTACGAGGTTTGATGGGTGTGGAAACGACATCGTGGCTACTTGGGAAAATGTCACTATTTTTAGAGGTGCATGGTGTCTGTGGCTGTGATTTCTTTTAAGATACTGTGGCAAATAATAAAATAGGCAAAGTAAATATGAAAGAATGTTCATCATTAACGTAATTTGGGCCGGGCGCGGTGGCTCACACCTGTAATCCCAGCACATTGGGAGGCCGAGGTGGATGGATCACAAGGTCAGGAGTTCAAGACCAGCCTGGCCAAGATGATGAAACCCTGTTCTACTAAAAATACAAAAGTTAGCTGGGCATGGTGGTGAGTGCCTGTAATCCTAGCTACTTGGGAGGCTGAGACAGAAGAATCGCTTTAATCTGGGAGGTGGAGGTTGCAGTGAACTGAGATCATGCCATTGTGCTCCAGCCTGGGTGACAGAGCCAGACTCCATCTCAAAAACAAGAACAAAAACACCCATAATTTGATAGTAAGTGCTGCTTTTGAGATTATGATCAGAGAGGCCTGTATGAGGAAGTGACCTTTGAGACCCGAATGAAGTGAGGGAGTGACAAGAACAGTGTGACACAGAGACAGAACAGCATGTGAAAAGATCCAGCGTGACTATTCAATCTGGATAGATATATGTAGGTTCATTGCGCTATTTTTTCTGCTATGATAATATATTTTTTTAAGCTGGGCATGGTGGCTCACACCTGTAATCCCAGCACTTTGGGAGGCCAAGGTGGGCAGACCACGAGGTCTGGAGTCTCGAGACCAGCCTGGCTGACATAGTGAAACCCCGTCTCTACTAAAAATACAAAAATTAGCCAGGTGCAGTGGCGGGCACCTATAATCCCAGCTACTTGGGAGACTGAGGCAGGAGAATCGCTTGAACCCGGGAGGTGGAGGTTGCAGTGAGCCGAGATTGCACCACTGCATACACCAGCCTGGGTGGCAGAGCAAGACTCTGCCTCAGAAAAGAAAAACAGAAACAAAAACAAAAGTTAGCCGGACGTCGTGGTGTGCACCTGTAGTCCAGCTTCTTGGGAGGCTCAAGCAGGGGAATCACTTGAACCTGGGTGGCGGAGGTTGCAGTGAGCCAAGATGGCGCCATTGCACTCCAGCCTGGGTGAGACTCTGTCTCAAAAAAAAAAAAAAAAAAAAAATATATATATATATATATATATATGCACACACACACATATGTTTTATGTATATATATATTTATATATATTATATATGTGTGTATATATTATATGTGTTTATATATATTTATATTTATTTTTATATACTTTTTTTTTAGGTTTCTGAATGAATGAATGAATGAGTGAATTCAGCATATTCTTCCAAATTCCCAGGTACAGCAACGGCTAAGAATAAAATGTTCTTCTAGCATCTGCCATTGGTTCTAGGGGCATTCTAAAGTTCCAGAGGAGTCTTTCTATGTAACAGATGGAGGAAAGTGAATTTCAGAATACAGAAGCAACTTCTGGGTCACACTCTAAGCAAATGGTAAGGGCAGGATTCGAGGCTGCATGTAGGAGCCTGGAAACCTGTATCTAGTGGGTCATGGCCGTCTTAACCACTTGCATGCCTGTCCCATGTCTTCCCCCACTCCAGAAGCTTACCAAAGCAGTACTTTTCGTGGATACACTTGGGACTGATCCTCTGGCAATGTAAACAGTCCAACACCTCTTCTTTTAGCAAGCCTAGGCAAGGGGAACGGGAGCAGTAAGGACAGATAACAGAGGACCGGCAAGGGTGGGAAGGAAGAAGAGAACGAGGAGTTGCGGTTCCTTGGCTCACCTAAATTTCATAGGTCCCACTGCACAGCAGAGGAACTGAGCAAAATGCACAGACAGTTCACTTACAAAATAATTTTTATATAATCATTGAAGAGTTAAATTCAGTTGCAGTCGTTCAGTAGATTAAACGTCCTGCTGTGAACATTTAATTAAACATTTAAAAATTCTGAGTTTGCACTTTCCTAATTTGGAGCCTCCTTTGCAGATACTGGTGAGACGTCTCCTCTTTGGGTGCCTGGCCTCCTCCTTTACGGGTGTACACAGGAGGACTACATTTCCCAGGGTGCCTTTCAGTAAATCGAGACCATGTGACCTGGTCCTGGCCAATGGAAAGTGAGCGGAATCATGTGCCTCCCTTTCAGGCTTGGCTATTAAACTCCCAGGGTGATTCCCATTTGCTTTCCCGTTTGAAGCTTGCTTAGAAGCTGCCATGTGTGTGCAGCCTGGATCCCTGAGTCACCACATGGAAGTGCCACTCAACTTTCAATGGAATTCGGGTGAGAGAAAAATAAACCTTCGTTATGTTAAACCACTAAGATGTGAGGGTTACTTGTTAATACAACATAGCTTAGCTCATTGTGACTTACATACCTTCGAAATACTGTTTTGCTGGTAGTCGTTATTTTCACAAGCCTTAAAGAAGCACATCTCCCTATTACCATGGCTTTGGGGTGAGGGAACCACCAAATAGAGTAAAGAATGGTAGCAGGACTTGATTTGGGGAGACAGGGTGATGCGGGTTAGGAGAATAGAGAAGGAAGAGATAGACGGTCCAGAACTCACGGCAAATTTTGGCGTTGCAGGCTGCAAGATAAAAGAGCTGAGGTGAGTTAAATTGGGATGACAACTTGAAATTTATTTGGGAAGGGATCAGGAGATGGGGTAAGGGGTGAGGCTGGAAAGGAGAGAAGGGAAGATTCGGGAGAGATGAAGAAGGCTGAGCTATAGGGGAGGTGAAAGAGTTTGGGAGAAAAAGTGGGAAAAGGGGATCAAGAGATCAAGGGAGAAGGGGAGAGGGGATTGGTGGAGAGACATGCTGCACCTTTTAATTCATATGATCTTAAAACTTTCTTGAGTTCTTGGATCGCATTTGCCCTAAGGGTCACCAGCTCTTCCAGCAGAGGCTCATCTGCGGAGAGAAAGAGATCTCTGTGGGGTGGGAGGCACCCAGAAAGCCCACCCCGCTACCTGCAGCTTCCAGGAGAAGAGATGAGGAAGCTCCTCTTCATTTATAAGGGGCAACCAAGACCAGGATGACTAAGGGTCCACTGAGCAAATCAATGGCCAGGGAGATCCTGTATCAAGCTTCTGATTCACTGTGGGGCCTAGACAAAACCACCCTTCCTTGGCCTCACTTTCCTCATCTGGTAAATGGACTTGATCTCTCTTCCCTCCTTCTCCTCCTCCTCCTTCTCTTCTCCTTCCTTCCTTCTTTCTCCTCCTTCTTCTCTTTTCTTTCTTCAACGTGCAGTCTCACTGTGCACCCTCTACCTCCCAAGTTCAAGCGATTCTACTGCCTCAGCCTCCTGAGTAGCTGGGATTACAGGCACATGTCACTACGCCCAGTGAATTTTTTGTCTTTTTAGTAAAGATGGGGTTTCACCAACTCCTGATCTCAGGAGATCTTCTCACCTCAGCCTCCCAAAGTGCTGGGGTTATAGGCACGAGCCACCGTGCCTGGCCTCCTCTTTGTTTTGTGTCTACACTCACTCCTTCATGATTTCAATCCATATGGCTTTATATATTACCTAGACTTGCACTGTCCAGTGTGGTGGCCACTAGCCACACATGGTTACTGAAAGGTTGAAATGGGCTAGTCTGAATTGAGACATGCTATAGGTATAAAATGTACATTTTAAAGACGTGCAGACACCTGTAAAATATCTTGACAATTCCTATGTGGATTGCATATTGAAATGGTGCTTTTGATATATTGGGTTAACTAAAATATATTATCAAAATTAATTTCACCTGCTTCTGTTTACCATTTTATTTTTATTTTTATTTTTGAGACGGAGTTTCGCTCTTGTTACCCAGGCTGGAGTGCAATGGCGCTAACTCGGCTCACCGCAGCCTCCGCCTCCTGGGTTCAGGCAATTCTCTTGCCTCAGTCTCCTGAGTAGCTGGGATTACAGGCACACGCCACTGTGCCCAGCTAATTTTTTGTATTTTTAGTAGAGACGGGGTTTCACCTTGTTGACCAGGATGGGCTCGATCTCTTGACCTCGTGATCCGCCTGCTTCAGCCTCCCAAAGTGCTGGGATTACAGGTGTGAGCCACCACGCCCGGCCTGTTTACCTTTTTAAATATGTGGCTACTAGTTGTTTTTTTTTTTTTTTTTGAGACAGAATCACACTCTTGTCACCCAGGCTGGAGTGCAATGGTGCCATCTCTGCTCACTGCAACCTCTACCTCCTGGGTTCAAGCAATTCTCCTGCCTCAGCTTCCTGAGAAGCTGGGATTACAGGCGCTCGCTACCATGCCTGGCTAATTTTTGTATTTTTAGTAGAGACAGGATTTTACCATGTTGGACAGGCTAGTCCCAAACTCCTGACCTCAGGTGATCCAACCCCCTCAGCCTCCCAAAGTGCTGGCCTTACAGGAGTGAGCCACCGGTCCCAGCTGCTACTAGAAAATTTACAATTACGTATGTGACTCCTGTTTGTGGCTGACATCTGTTTCTATTGGATGGCACTGTTCTATATACTGATGCCGTCCGCCTTTATAGCACTAGCCCAGAGGGCTCACTGAGGGTGGGATTTGTATATGCAACTCTCCGGTCAGGATCTCCACGTGGATGTCTAAGAGGCATCTCAAACCCACTGAGGCCAATACTGAGCCCCCTTATTCTCCTCCAGACCTACTCCCAACCTCCCAGTCTACTCCATCTTAGTAAATGGATGTCACAATTCTAGTTGATCAGTTCAAAATCCTTGGTGCCATCCTTGAAGCCTTTCTTTTTCTTTTCGTTTTTGAAATGGAGTCTCGCTCTGTGGCCCAGGCTGGAATTACAGTGGCGTGATCTCAGCCTACTGCAAACTCAAGCAATTCTCTGGCCTCAGCCTCCCGAATAGCTGGGACTATAGGCACATGCCACCACGCCCAGCTAATTTTTGTATTTTTAGTAGAGATGGGGTTTCACCATGTTGGCCAGGCTGGTCTCAAATTCCTGGCCTGGTGATCCACTGGCCGGCCTCGGCTTCCCAAAGTGCTGGGATTACAGGCATGAGCCACTGCACCCGGCCGACATCTTTCTTTTTCTTATATCCCAGTGCCATGTATCAGCATGACTGGCAACAAATCCTATTTGTTGGTTCAATATTCAAAGCATCCATTCCCTGCCTTTAACTCCAATATCTCATCTTCCACAGAGACAGTGTCACCCCCTCACTCTGCTCTGGCCTCCTTGGATGTTCTGTGAATATGCCATGGTCCCATCTCCGGGATTCCGCCGGCTGTTCTTTGTGCCTGAACCCTTCTACCCACAGACCCCCTCATGGCTGCCTCCCTCCCCCTCACGTCTTTACTCACCTGCTCCTCTTTCAGGGACATCTTTCTTGGATGCCCTACCTCCAGCCGCAGTCCCCAGTCCCCACCCCTACTCACAGCACTCGCTATTCCGTGGTCCCCACTTTATTTTTGTTCTCCATAGCATTTCCCCCCATTTGCCTTATTGTGCAATAAAGCATGAACTGAGCAGGCCTGGGTTGTCCAAACCCTGCACATCCCCCCACGATAAAAAAAAACCATATATATATATATTTGGCTCTTGCCTGGCTTCTGGAAGGTAACCTCTGTGTCCTTGGAATATCCTGACTTAAGAGTTCTTGATTTGGCTGGGCACGGTGGCTCACACCTGTAATCCTAGCACTTTGGGAGGCTGAGGTGGGAGGATCACCTGAGGTCAGGAGTTTGAGACCAGCCTGGCCAACATGGTGAAACCCCGTCTCTACTAAAAATACAAAAATTAGCTGGGTGTGGTGGTGAGTGCCTGTAATCCCAGCTACTCAGGAGGCTGAGGCAGGAGAATTGCTTGAACCTGGGAGGCAGAGGCTGCGGTGAGCTGAGATCACGGCAGTACACTTCAGCCTGGGTGACAGAGTGAGACTCCATCTAAAAAAAAAAAAGTATATTGGTTTATGGCCAGGTGCAGTGGTTTACACCTGTAATCCCAGCACTTTGGTAGGCTGAGGCAGGAGGATTTATTGAGGCCAGGAGTTTGAGACCAGCCTGGGCAATATAATGAGACCCTGTCTCTACAAAAAATAAAAAATTAGAAAATTAGCCAGGTGTGGTGGCACACACCTGTGGTCCCAGCTACTCTGGAGGCTGAGGCCGGAGGATTGCTGGAGACTGGAGGTCGAGGCTGCAGTGAGCTGTGATGGTGACGCTGCACTCCAGCCAGGGCAACAGTGAGACCCCATCTCTTAAAAAAAAAAAAAAAAAAAAAGGCTACATGACATGCATGTTTGTTCTTATTTTTATATTCAAGGGAAGTGGGGCCGAGCAGTGGAAAGGGGAGCGATGCTGGAGAAGGCGTCCCCTCCTCTCTCCTACCTTTCAGAGAGTTACCCATTAAGTCCTGCGTTTGGTTCTTGACAAAAGATGCCACAGGGTCCAGTTGATTCCTCTCTGGGGGAGAGGGCAGAGGACACTCCAGTGGGCCCTCAGAGAGCCAAGTGACCCCACCCCCTCCAGGCCTGGCCCCTCCCCTCTTGGGGCGTGGTCCCCAGCATCCCTCGCCCACCCCGCTGCCCGACTTCTCCCAGCACGCACCCAGTTTCCCCACAAACACATTCAGCGCGTAGTCCCGGAAGAAAGGCCCCTCCATGCCCAGCAGCACGGCCTCGGCGCGGGCCTGCAGCTGCTCCAACTGGAAGCGACTGGGGATGAGGGCGGAGTGCAGGTGACTCAGGGCCTCCAGCACCGAGGGGTCGCACTGCAGGCAGCCCCAGCCTCCGGGGGCCACCAGGCCCGAGAGCAGCAGCAGGGTCAAGGCCAGAGGCATGGCGGGGGCCCTTGTGACGTCACAGAGGGAGCCCTGTCAGCTCCGCACCCCAGGTGAGGGCGTGGTCAGGAGGCTCAGGGAGCATCAGGGTGTTACAGGCACGTGTTTGCTGAGCACCTACTATGTGCCAGGCATGGTTCTAGGACCTAGAGAGAAAGAGTCAAGAAAAAACAGAAAGCATCTCCTCTACCCCTCTTGGAACTTACTAATTCCTCTTAAATTTATTCATTCAACACATATTGGATTTTTCGTTTTGAGACAGAGTCTTGCTCTGTCTCCCAGTCTGGAGTGCAGTGGTGTGATCCCGGGTCACTGAAAGCTCTACCGCCCAGGTTCAAGCTATTTTCGTGCCTCAGCCTACTGCGTAGCTGGGATTACAGGTGTGTGCCACCACATCTGGATAATTTGAGATGGAGTCTCGCTCTGTCTCACAGGCTGGAGCGCAGTGGTGAGATCTCGGCTCCCTGCAACCTCCGCCTCCCGGGTTTAAGCGATTCTTCTACCGCAGCCTCCCGAGTAGCTGGGATTACAGGTGCTCACCACCACAGCCAGCTAGTTTTTGCATTTTTTGTAGAAACAGCGTTTCGTTATATTGATCAGGCTGGTCTGGAACTCTTAACCTCAACTGATTCACCCACCTCAGCCTCCCAAAATGCTGGGATTACGGCCTCTGTGCCCAGCCTACATTCAGCACATATTTATTGAACTCCTACTATGTGCCAGGTGCTATTCAACGCCCCCAGAGGTAGAGCTGAGAGAAACAGGAGGTCTCTGCCCTTTGGTACTTAAATTCATTAACTCGGCAAATATTTATTGAGCACCTACCATGTGTCAGGCGCCAGAGATAGACTGAGATAGGATGAACAGAGTCTCTTCATGGAGTTCAGGCTAGCAGGAGCAGGAGGGAGTGGAGGGAAGAGAAATGTGAAACCTGGTACACAGATGAGTAAATAAAATAGTGACAAACCGCATTACCTGCTGGGAAGCAAATGCACAGTGTGATACGGTTACGGTTAAGGGAGCTCCTTGCCGGGCGCGGTGGCTCAAGCCTGTAATCCCAGCACTTTGGGAGGCCGAGGCGGGTGGATCACGAGGTCAAGAGATCGAGACCATCCTGGTCAACATGGTGAAACCCCCGTCTCTACTAAAAATACAAAAAATTAGCTGGGCGTGGTGGCGCGTGCCTGTAATCCCAGCTACTCAGGAGGCTGAGGCAGGAGAATTGCCTGAACCCAGGAGGCGGAGGTTGCGGTGAGCTGAGATTACGCCATTGCACTCCAGCCTGGGTAACAAGCGAAACTCCGTCTCAAAAAAAAAAAAAAAAAGAGAGTTCCTTGAGGCCAGAAGGTGTGGTCTGGTTCTCTGGTGCCTAGCAAGGAGTGAGGAAGGAGACCTAAGCATCTAAGACCACCTCCCCCTTGACTTTGACATTGCCTTTCAATAGGAGAAGTAAAGGCTGGCTGGCCCAGCGCCACCTTAACCACCCTCCTGTAGATAGGCGCGGTATGAAGGAATCTTTCTGGAAGGCATTGATTTATTTAAAGAGGATCAAACCCCCACCCCACACCTACTTCATGGGTCAAGACCCTTTCACATGTAATTTCCAGAGTTGTAAGCCTTTAAAAGGGCAGGGGCTTTCTTTTTGAACTCAAGCTCGGCTGTTAAGCAGCTAAGCCGCCTTGCTCCCGGCCGAATAAATCACCCCTTCCTTCCCAGTTTGGTGTTCGGAGAGGTCTGTTTCTTGCCGCCGTCCCTGCTTTAGTACCAGGTACTCAATAGATATTTAGCAAATCAGTGAATCCACAAGGGAGGGGGCTGCTGAGGGAAGGACACTTTGCTTTTCCCTGAAGTTTTCATCTTGAAAGTTTTAAAATCTAGAGAATACTTGCAAGAATGACACAATAAACACTCAGATATGACTTAACGTTTTGCATTTGCTGTATCTCTCTCTCTATGTAGACGAATTAAATATCAATTTAATCATAGAGATTCAACTGAGAGATTATAAAAGCATATAGAGGGTGAGAGAACTCTCTGGGTTCCGCTTTTTCCTTTTTAATTTTTGAGGTGGAGTCTTGCTCTTGTCACCCAGGCGGCAGGGCAGTGGCATGATCTTGGCTCACTGCAGCTTCCACTTCCCTGGTTCAAGCGAGTCTCCTGCCTCAGCCTCTTGAGTAGCTGAGATTACAGGTGTGCACCACCACGCCTGGCTAATTTTTGTATTTTTAGTAGAGATAGGGTTTCACTATGTAGGCCAGGCTGGTCTTGATCTCCTGACTGTAGCGGGAAATTAGGGATCTGGAGAGAATGATGGGGTTGCAGGAGGATTTTATTTAATGTGATTACTGGCCCAGCGGAATTGCTCCCTAATTCTGGGCATAGGACAAAGAAAACGGGGTGCCTTTTATGCACCTGGGAGATACAGGATGATGAAGCCGGAAGCCAGTTTACAGAAGCCGGAACAAAGAGCGGTTAATTAACTTGTAACATGTCTTGTGACGTACTTTACATTTGAAAAGTAACATCTTGAAAAACACGTTTGGCAGTTTCTATCTGCTCTGTGACCTTGCAGCTGGTCAGTAAGAAAAACAGGAATTTTTAGATGCCCAGGAACTTTGCTAAAAATGTGGGGAGGATAGAGAAGGAATAAATGTTTTGCAGGAAGGCAGTTTAATATTCTGCCTTAAATAGAGCTGGGGGAATTATATTACACAGCACACAACACAGCAAAATTTACTTTATTCTATAGCAACTACAAATTTTAAGGTTTTGTTTTGCTCTTATTGCTATGATTTAATTTCCTTCTTCACTGACCTCGAGCGATCCTCTCGCCTCAGCCTCCCAAAGTGCTGGGATTACAAAGTGTGGGATTAGGGCCAGGCAAAGTGGCTCACCCCTGTAATCCCAGTACTTTGGGAGGCTGAGGTGGGTGGATCACGAGGTCAGGAGTTTGAGACCAGCCAGGCCCATGTGGTGAAATCTGTCTCTACTAAAAATACAAAAATTAGCTGGGCGTGGTGGTGCGTGCCTGTAATCCCAGTTACTTGGGAGGCTGAGGCGGGAGAATCGCTTGAACCTAGGAGGTGGAGGTTGCAATGAGCCAAGATTGCGCCATTGCACTCCAGCCTGGGAGACAGAGTTAGACTCCATCGCAAAAAAAAAAAAAAAAAAAAGTGTGGGATTAGACCACAAGGAGGTGCTCACATCCAAGCGAAATTCTCTCTGCGCCCAGACTGAGAGTCGGGGCCTTGCCACTCACGCCTGCATTCCTTAGGATCATCCAATTGTCTACCTGATGCTGTGGGGGCCATAATTTGAGAAATGAACCTGAGATATTAACTTGTGGTCCTCTTCCTCATCCCGTATTACCATCTGCCTTTCAGGCAGAGAGTCAAGGGACTGTGGTTTGCCCTAAGAAGGGGTGGGCGGAATGGGATGGGGAGGCCGCTCATTCCAAGCCCCAAACCCCGAGGCCCGGGTGTGAGGCAGGAAGGTTTAGGATGCGGAACCGGTTTTGTTTCTCGGGCGCAGCCATCCTAATTTGGTAAGACATAATAAGTCAGGTGAACTATCATCAGATTTCACACCCCAGCAGAAGTGGCTGAGGAAGTTCCCACGCTCATTCTCCAGGCGCACAGATGTCCATCACGGTGTTGTAGGAGGCAAAGGCAAGCTTGGTGTTCTCACGGGGGCGGGGGGTGGGGGGGTGGCGGGTCGCTGATGACACAGGACCCGGCAGCAGCTGGAAGAACGGACGAGCCTGTCCACACCGTGATATGAGTGGATCCAGGTGAAAACAGCAAAAAGCAAAGCAAAGCTAACAAAAAACCCCACAGTTGTAGGGTCCAGCCCTCCAGGGTCCTGCGAGCCCCTCCCTGCTGGTGCAGAGACGAGAAACTAGAAATAAAAGATGCAGGCACAGAGACAGAGAAAAGTGTGTGGGCTCAGGGGTCCACTGCCAACCAAAGTGTGGAGACCTGCAGTGGCCCCGAGCGCCCGGATGCTCTTTCACTGAGTACAAAGCATGGGGCAGGGAAGGTCGGGTAAGGTAATGGTGGTCCGTGGTAGGGTCAGGTAAGTCACGTGTCTCGAAGGTAGGGGGCCCAGGACTTTCAAGTGGCTGAGACGAGGAGAAAACCTAATGCGTCAGCGTTCTTCACATATTTGTTAGAAATGTCGAGGACATTTACTATAAGTAATTCTTATCTTCTGAGATAAAGAAACCAGGTGCAGAAGCGGAACGTGAGATCAGACGTGGAACGTGAGCACCGAAGCACAGCATCACATAGAGACAGTTAAGCCCCCGGATGTCTGCGGGTCTCCCTGACAGCCCTCAGGCCTACCACAAGAGCTTTGGGGAGTGGAGTTTACTCTTAATTTCCCCAGGAAGGAGATATCTCGGCCATTTTGGACGTCTCCTTCCCTAGCTGGCGCTGCTGCACAGCCGAGGCGCCCTCCCCTCCAGCAGCCCTTATGGGGGCGTGACAGAGGCTTAGAGCATCTTAGGCTCACCTTGTTCACAATGTCACCTCAGTTCCATGCTTCATAACCTGATAGTCATTAGTAAAGGTTATATTGAGTATATACCTTTATGATTATAAGTAACTATAAGATTACACGTGATTATATAAAGGAATAACTATGTGCTTATATTTCTAATTCTTTTCTAAATCAATATTTATATGGGAGCAGGATGAAGCTTCAGAGCCTTGCCACGGCACTTGCGGGGTTCCCTCCGTCAACACAGTGAAACCTACCACTCAATACCATTGACATAAATTAATTTCTTTTCTTTTTCTTTTTTTTTTGAAGACAAGGTCTTCCTCTCTCACTCCGGCTGGAGCGCAGTGACATGATCTCAGCTCACTCACTGTAGCCTCAGCCTACTGGGCTCAAGCGAGCATCCTGCCTCAGCCTCTCAAATAGCTGAGACTACAGCTGTATGTACCTCACCATGATAATAATTTTTTTTGGCCATGTTGCCCAGGCTGGTATCAAACTCCTGAGCTCAAGTGACTGGCCCACCTTGGCATCCCAAAGTTCTGGGATTGATGACAGGTGTTAAATTTGAATATACAAAACCAAAAT